GTCAAGGTTTATTTACCAGGTATTTTTTGTAAAAGTGGGTCAAACTCCAAGGCCAAGGGGTCATTGGTGGTAACCAAAGTTGTCACAAGGAATACATCTGAGAAATATGAAAACCATAGCCTCACCCAATCAAAAGTTACGGGCAAAGTTAAAGTGTTTGCAGACAAAGAGAAAGACAGATAGATGGACAGGGCAAACATTATGTATACTCCAGAATCCTTAACATTGCAGGGACATGAAAAATTTCTCAAATGAATCATATCCATCAAAAAAATGAATAACAAATATACTAGTATATAAAATATATATAATATGATTTATATATTTCTCGAGATATTCTTCTTATATATTATGCGTCTCTTTTTATGCCCCCGTTATCGAAGATTCGGGGGTATAAAGTTTTTGGTCTGTCCGCACATCGGACTGTTAGTCCGCAAAAACTTTGCCCAAAACTTTTGATGCGTCTAGAAAACGCAAGTCAAATCCAGTATCCAAAGCAAGCCCAAAAGTGTGCATCCCAAGATGCATCGTGCATGCATCTTCAAAGGAGGGCTTGGAGTTGATAAAACAAGCTCTAAAACTTTTATTTGTTTATTCATCCAAAAATATAGGTAATAAACCAAATATTTGAAGAAGCAGGCACGTAGCATCGTTTTTGAAAGTGGGGGGGGGGGCAACCAGAGAAAAATTTTTTTTTTACTTACCTAGCTGTAAAAGTTTGGGGAGGGGGGGGGGGATAGTGGCCAACTTTTTCCAAGGCCAACTTCCCTTCACTTCCATTTTTTTTTTTTCATACAATAGTACATTTCCTTGATATCACTACACTGTGGTAAGAAGGGGGGGCAACCAACCTTTCAATGGACATTTTAGATAGTAAGGGTAATGTTGGGAAAAAAGTGGGAGGGGGCTGGCCCCCCTGTTGCTACGTGCCTGGGAAGTCTTTGTAGAAATTGATAGTATTACATAATAAATGATAAACTCCCCCAGCCTTGTTGAATAAATATTAGTTCTTATTTACTCAACATAACTACATAAAATTTTTGCTTTTGTAAAATTGTCTGAATCCCTTCCAATGATACTCGTACTTTTGATCAAAGAAAGAGGGCCTACAAGGCGTGGACGATCCCCACGCTCTGAGATAATATGCTTCTCAATTTTCAAAACTCGCGGAAATGTTTAATTTTTCTAAAATTATGTTCTCAGTAACGTCATCTTCAAAACATTTTACCATTTTATTTTGCTGAAAGACTTATCATTTGACTTTTTTTCAAAGTTGACAGTTAAGCGTATTTGGAGGAAAACTGGTTTACTAAAGCCGTAAAAAAATGAATTTTGAACATGAATGGGTCAAAGTCTCCATTCTTAAATGAAGGAAACGTAACTGTGAAATCTATTTCATTTGTCCAAAAAATAGAATCTGAACCCATTCTACATAAAAATCGAATATTTCTGAAAACAAGAGGCCCATTGGCCACATCGCTAACCTGAGCAGCTTTGACCATGCTATTCTTCACCAGTTTCTCCCCATTGTAACAAATATGTACATATTCTGGCCCTGTGGTTCTTGAGAAGAAGGTTTTTATTTAAATTTTTATGTGCCCAGATCGATAGATCCAAGGCGTATATTGTTTTTGCCCTGTCTGTTTGACTGTTTATCTGTTTGTCTGTCTGTCTGTCTGTTGTCAACTTTAACCTTCGCCATAACTTTTGAACCATAAGAGACTTCATATTTTGTATGCATACTCCACTAATAAAGTCATTTCAAATTACATCAAGGTCAATGACCTTGTGACCTTGACTGTGACCTATATGCTAAAAATAGCTTTTTCCACTGTTTGTCATAACTTTTGAACCATAGGAGATGGGGACTTCATATTTGGTATACATACTCCATCAATAAAGTCTTTTCAAATGACGTCAAGGTCAATGATCTTGTGACTTTGACTGTGACCTATATGCTAAAAATAGCTTTCTCTATTTTTTGCCATAACATTTGAACCAAAGGAGATAGGGAATTCATATTTGGTATGCATACTCCACCAATTAATTAATTTGTTCTTTCAACCCACATGATTTGAACAATTTAGAATCCAAAATCAAGCTTTTGCCAAATGGTTCTTGTGACCTATTTTTGACTGTGACCAATATGCTAAAAATTTAAATTTTTATCCAAGGATGCTTTGTACCTTTGTTGCCAGTGGTTCTTGAGTAGAAAATGTCAAAAGTTTACAGACGGAAGGACTGACAGCTAGGCAGACGGACAAAATGTAATCAGAAAATATATTTCTAATGTAAAAATTTGAAATTGAAGACATAAAGATTTAAATACGTTTTTTCCTATATATTTCTATGTAAAATGTGTTAATTCATGACCTTGAATTTTGGTAAGAGCCTTTTTTAATTAATAAAAAAAAATCAATTAAAAAAAATTTAGCTGGTAAAAAAATTGTTTTCAATTATCATTCTATTTATAATATTTCAATGCATCACCACAGGATTTATTGATATTCAAATTATTTGAATTTTTATTTTGAAAAAACGCTTTTCCCCACAGACTTCAATGCAATCTTGGTTAATTAATGAACTTTTTGAAAATTTCTCGTGGGCAATCCTTTTCCACTATAAAATGCTTTAAGGTAGGATTCTTCTCATATTTCTAATATTTAAAAATTAATAAAATTTTCACAGAATCAAGAAGACAATATCAGTAAGCGACAGTATCCGTGAAATTAAATTTGACCGTTTTATATTAGAGGCAAGGTCGGGTCAAAGTCATTATCTTTTTCCTTGATATATTTGTTACCAATCATGTGATACCTACTTCTATTTCAAAAGTTTAATGATTGTTTTTTTTTGCATAAAAACATATTACTTTATCCCATGTTTACCCCTTTATCCCGTTGATATGGCTCATGTGATATCGTTTTCGTATCACACAGTTGTGACGTCACAACCCTATATAAAACAGTGTTAAACATTATTTGTGGTGTTGATTGTCCATTTGTAGTGGATTTTTATCCCGTTGTGTGTTTTTATCCCCCAACCCATAAAAACCACATGATTTGATAAAAACAATTTAGAATCTATATATATCTCCAGAATGATATTACCAAATTTACATAAATGATTTAACTTTGGATATTGGCTAATCCAATGTTTTCTTAATTTTTTAGGATATTTTAGTTATTTTCATATGCTATCTATATTTAACTTTTTCTTATTTTCACATATAATGAAGTAGTCTTATAAATGTACAAAATGATACAAAAACAAAAAGTTTTGATCGTTTACTAAGAGAGAAAAAATACTTTTTATGGATTTTTGGCTCAAATCTGCACTTTGGTAGGAAGCGTTTAAAAGTTAATAAAGTTATAGTTTGTTTGAAAAATCATATTTATTTGATATATGTTTAGTCCCTCATTATTAATCTAACACATTTGAAAATTACCCGATTGTGTAAAAATTATAACTAAATTCATTGTTCTATTATAATTTTGAGAGGCCAAGTTTTTCATACGCCAATCCGCCAAAAATATAGTCCCTGCTAGTTTTTAAACACAGTTTACCATTTCTATTTAAAGTTGTACAATTGTGATGAGGAAAGAAAATGTCTTTTAAATTCCTTACACCTCAATATATATGACATACAAGCAAATATAGGAATGACAGCTAGGAAGATCCTACTTAATATAAAATTGTGTGTAATCAGAAAAGTTCACTTAAGCCTTTGGCTCAGGTGAGCTAAAAAGTACGCTTCAACAAACCCATTCATTTCATTCACACTGACAAACATGGATGACACATATACATGTACTTCGTACTTTAGTGGTTAACGCGTTCCGTCTTGCTTTTTCTTTTCATATATCTTATAAACATGAGTGAAAATAAATAATTAAATATAATATTAAAACAATAAAAAACAGAATTGAATATGTAAAAGATTATATTAACCATTTAATGTCGAAAATAATAACTTTTCATGAACTTTTAGAATTGAGAAATGTCTTTTCTCAGAGCGGGGGTTTGTCCTCGCCTTGTACGCCTCCTGGATCCGAGATGAAATTGTAGTAAAAGTTTACAATGACTAATCAAGGACGGTGTGACATAACTGCTATCTGGGACCCCTTTTTCTACAACGAAATATATTTAATCTACAACGATTTTTATATTTTTCAAACATGAGTGAATAAATACGATGCCTTTTGAATACTTTCAATAGTTCCGACATGTTTTATTTACGAGGAATACTGCATTATCTGATTTTTTAGACCCTATCACCATAGGCGCTTGCTTTCAGGATGGTGTATTTTGTGTATTTTAAAATATATTTTTCTAGGTGTGTCTGAATGCCCTTATTAAAATCAAAATATAAATTCGCTGAAATTAGCCAATTTAAAAAATGTCATAGGCTATTTACTCTATATAAAAAGAGTACTCTTTTTTTTCTTTTTGTTAAAAATAGTATTCCATAAATGTAAAAATATCAAAGATTAGTTACATACAAAAATTTGAGTAAAATTTGGACATTATTTTTTTGTCAATTTACCGGAGACCGTAAGTCACCTCTTCCTTTTGATAAGAAAATCTCACTTGAGCCTTTGGCCCAGATGAGCTTTGTGGCCCTTGAGTACTAATTTCAGCAGATCCCAGAATTACAGATACCTGGTATTTTATTAAGACCCCAAATCTGTAACAGGAAAGGAGAAAATGCATAGCTGGACTGGGAATCTAACCCGGGACTCCTGCATTTCTAGTCTGGTGCTCCACCAACTGAGCTATCCAGGCCAATATCCATTACATTCCTCCCTCTTTAAATGGTCTTCACCATCGAAGACATAACCTAAGTTTTTATTACCCCAAGACTTTCACATGCAATTCCAGGGGTGGTCAATGGCATCAAATCAGTAACATCAGTTATTCTGGAATTTAATAGGACAGGGTGGGGTTTTCAGTTCAGTATGTGCTCAATTCCTATCATCCAAAGAAAAAGTATAAAGCAATTAAGTTCTTTTATTTTTTATTTCGTCTACACATACAAATACATGAATAAAAGTAAAAGTATCAAAATCAATAGCAATGTAAAAATAAAAGGGCATTTGCTGAATTTGTCAAATGCTGCAAATGGCTACATAAGGTAAATATTAATTTCAAATGCAAACAATGTTTTAAATTATGTCAAAATATCCATGCAAGTCAATATTTAACTTGTGCAGATTCAGCAAATGCCCTTAAACAGTTTCAACAAGTGATATTTTTAAAAATGAATGTCTGGAATTGCCTGATTATGCTTTTATGTTAATTTTTTCCAGGTGCAAAATTTTTTAAAATTTTATTTTTTGGAAATTTTATGATACTATCCATGATTTAAACATTTCAGCACCTACTACAGAGGAGTTTCTGTCAGAAAAACAAGGGAATGTTACACCAGTGAAATGTACAAGAAAGAAAAAAAAAGAATGAAATCAAAAAGTGAGAAACAATTTTTATCCCTTGTTTTTCCAACACTAATATCATGATTTAGTTTTTCTACACACTTTCATTCACAAATCATTCACACAATACTGAATAAATAATGAATTCTGAATGATAAACTTTTACACCCTTACTGGAACCTATTGAATATTCTATAATAGGTAGCTTAATATTTGTACAAAAAATTTCATTTTTCTTTGACTGGGAAAAAAATCCCCAAATCAAAAAAAACCCCTAGATATTGTTGCAATAAGTGACTAAAAAATACCCACCCCCCTCCTTACCTATGAATGTTTTGAATGAAAAGTATATTTAAGAATTGAATTTTAGAGACACTGGGATTAAAAAATATTTGTGTGAAAGTTGAATTTTTTTTATATGGATCACAAACCTATTCAAATGTTTCTCTTATAGATGAAATCTAACTGAATTTTCAAATTATTATTTACTATATTATACCACACAGGAAAGCAAGAGCTAAAATTGTATTTAAAAATTCTTTTAGTTAAATTATAAATCAATGAAGTTCTTTATACAATAAAAATAAAAAAAATTGTGCAGATAAAATTCTTATTAAAGAAGGGATTTTTTCAGGTACCAACAAAAATATGAAATGAATGTTCTCTAGTTGCAGAACAAATTTGGTACAGACGACACTAGCAGCATGCACAACCCCCACAGATTTGATCCTCTGTGAAAACTCCACTCCTGACAACACACACATCACAGCCTGATTTTAAAATTCCTAGGGAATGTTTATAATTTAATCGGATTGATTAGCCATGTCTTTTACCACTTGTCCTTTAAGTTCTGAGCATGTGCTGATTTTCATAAATTTTGATGAGGCATATTTTGTTCGAACAGCCTGGAAATAGAGAAACAATGATTCATCAATAAGAGCAATACCATTGAATATTGTCAAACATATTTTTCATCAGAATATTGACTGATATACAAAAACATCAACTTGCAAATGATATTTAATATAAATAATCCATTTCTGTAAAGGTTGACGGAATTCATGGATACTTAGTTGAGGCAGGAAAGATAACTCCAATGTACACAAAAGATACTCACTGTTAATTTGTAGGTTTCAGCTTTTATGACTAGACTACACAACTTTTGCATTAATGGTGAAAGATCCTTCTCTGAGTAGGAACTGTAGTGACTTAATGTGTCGGTCTGTAAATAAATAAGAACTTGGGTAAAACTTGTGATGTTACAAAGTTTGTCAAAAGATATCTAGTATTAGGGCTGAAACGATTCACCGAAATATCGATATTGTTCGATATAAGTGCTCGGTTCAATTTTCGATTCACCATCTTGATTTTCGGTTCGATACATTTTTTTATAATCGGGTTTGGTTAACTCTTTGAAATAGAGTATTTTAACAGTTTGACACTCACGAGGGAGAAAAAGTTTCAGAGTAGGCTGCCTCTGCTATTATTTATACGAATAAAGTGATCAACAGAACCACAAGTATCAGAGATGTGCAATTAACAAATTAGTAAATTCGGGCTAGTAAAAATTATAACTACGCATGTAATTTACAACCGGTATTTTACTCATTTTTTGCTATCAAATCCCCAACCAGTGAATATTTTCCAGGCAGCATGCTCCTACTGTCAATAAATCTCCTTACTTTTCTCCATTTTGCAGTACTTCCTGGCTTATTTACTTCCAAAAACGATCGTTTTTTCCTAATCCGAATTTCCTCCGTTTATTGTAAATACATGCAGATATCTCAGATCACTCAATCAACTGAAAGATCAGTGTGATTCACATGAAATATATTTCTAGTGTATTTAAGGATTTAATATGAAAACAAAATGAATTTATTTTCATTCTAAATGAGCTACTGCAAAATAATCAGAAAAGGAAAGATCTTCAGATATTTTTTTAAAATTCATTTTTATTTTCTGTCATGATTTAATTTTAATAGTGAGAATAAAATTTTAATTTTCAAAAGATTGACCTTAGTACCCTGACTTTTTCAATGATTAATTTTTTTTTTCAACATTTGTTTTATTTTAATTTTTGTCCTTATATTTGGGCTAATAACTTTTTACTTGGGGCTAGTAACTTTAACACATTTGAATTTTTGTGCATACCCCTGGTAGTATATTTCTATTGTATCACCACCTTTTACACTTTGTTTTTTAAAATCTGAATACATTTTCTTTAACCTTATGAATAGTTTCGTTCTTAAATTGTATCGTATTGAAAAAATTGAATTGTGACACAAGTATTGCAATACGTATCGTATTGTCAGTGATTACGAGTAAATAAAAAATGTATAATTAGATACAGCATGTGTTATCGAGTGATCATTCAGATCATTTGCTGGATTAAGTTAGCATTTCAATTTCTGTTCGTATTGTACAGTTTGACCATCCTTAAAAGACTGAAACTGCTGTCTAGGGTTTCAGACATACGATGGGGGAAATATATTTTTCTTCTAAGTTTAAGTTAAATAAATGGTTGAAAATCTCAATAAGCACGCTACACATTTATGTTTGTCAGTTTGTGAAAAATGTGTCTCTCATCAATCAACCTAGTTTTATGTTGATACGACAATTCAGTGATTGGGTAGCACATGACAACAGGCCAAGAATTCATTGAATTTTTAAAAAATCCTGCTTTTGGTCAATTTCAATCCTAATATATTTTCAATTTAGTTGCTTTTCATGCAAGATTTTGTGGGGATCAAACTTCACAGTTTATCTATTTTGTGAAACATTCAAAGTATAACCTTATATGTCTTATATATTGAGGTGTAAGGAACAATTTCATTCACAATTTAAAAATGAAATGGAAATTAGTGATTAGTCAAAATTATATAGTTATTATTATTGGAGAAATTTTAAAAAGTTAAGGGACTAAACCTTCAAAATATATCAAATAAATATGATTTTTCAAACAAACTAGAATTTTAATTTTAAACGCTTCTTATCAAAAAAGCCAAAAATCCATAAAAAGTATAGCAAACGATCAAAACTTTTTAAATTTTGTGAATATATATGTGAAAATAAGAAAAAGTTAAATATAGGAAGCAAGAAAATAACTAATATATCTAAAAAATTAAGAAAAACCTGCCAATATCCAGTTAAGTTAAATTATTTATGTAAATTTGGTACTCTCATGCTATAGACCCAATATAGTAATATGTTTTATGCCAAAAGGAACAATCATTTAACTTTTGAAATAAAAGTAGGTTTCACATGATTGGCAACAGTTATTTTCTATTCTTAATGTCAAGGAAAAAGATAATGACCTTGACCATATATGGTCAAATTTAATTTCACTGATACTATCATACTGATATTGTTTTACATTTGTGAAAATTTCATCTGACAACTTATTGAGATATTAGTGCATTTATTGCATTGTGTAATTAAGTGTTCCCTTTCGAGTTGCTTACCCATTTTGATCCATCTAGTAGTTTCATTGAAAGACAAAGGGCAGCAGCTGCGATTTGTGAGGGGTAGTATTGCACCATATCGTACTCAATGATTGTAAGTTCCATCAAATACTTGGCCAATGTGTGTTTGCTGGCATCAACCTATCAAAAAAGATTCAATGAAAACTCAAAAATATCTTTATTTTCATTTATTTTATCAGCCGAAATTCTCAATGTATATTTCTTATGTGATTTGAGTCTATTCTCTCTGCTGTTCATGTAAGACGACTTACCCCTCCAGCTTTGGAGTTGCGTCTGAGGAAATGTAAACAGAGAGGTTTTCCCATGCTGAAGTCCAGCGTTTTGAGGATAAGAGCCTCCATTTCTCGAATATCCTTTTTCTGGTAGGCATTGTCCGTGATGTAGACAAAATCAGCTACCTCTGGGGCGTACATCTCCTCGTATTTGGATGCAATCAGCATGGAGGTCACTCCAACTAATTGGAGCTTGTTACGTGGCACTTGGTGAATCTAAAAATTTACATCAAATTTGTTTTTAAAGCACAAAAACTTTAAATATAGAAAAAGTACGTAAGGGTTGCCCGCAACCCTGTGTCTCGCCTGCTGTCGCTGTGGTTAGTAAGAAATGATTGTCTGATAAACTGAAGCATTTATTGACATTTCAGAAGGAATAACTCAAAAAGTGGATCGAGTCATTTTGCTGGTTTTTAAAGAGATATTGTCATGGACTTAATAAGAACTGTAAAACGTTTCTATCTGGACTGACTATAGGTACAGGCGTTTGTGGTTACCCATGATGTATCCACTGACAAATTATCATGCCACTATAAGTTATAGTTGCTGAGATATGGACCTCCACCATAAATTTATGCAAAGTCACTCATGAAAAATGTAGGTCAAGAAATAATTCTGGTACAGGCGTTTGTGGTTACCCATGATGTATCCACTGACAAATTATCATGCCACTATAAGTTATAGTTGCTGAGATATGGACCTCCACCATAAATTTATGCAAAGTCACTCATGCGGAAAAATGTAGGTCAAGATGACCTAATTCTGGTACAGGCGTTTGTGGTTACCCTGATGTATCCACTGACTAACTATCATGCCACTATAAGTTATAGTTGCTGAAATATGAACCTCCATTATCAATTTAACCAAAGTCATTCATGCAGAAAAATGTAGGTCAAAATGACCTAATTCTGGTACTGATGTTGTTGGTTACTTATAACCTGTACAATGACAAATCATCATGCCATTATAAGTTATAGATGCTGAGATATGGACCTCCACCAAAAATTTAACCAAAGTCACTCATGCAGAAAAATGTAGGTCAAGATGACCTAATTCTGTCGACGTTTGTGGTTACCCATGATGTATCCACTGACTAATTATCATATCCCTATAACTTATAGTTGCTGGAATATAGGTCTTCACCATAAATTATCATGAAAAAACTAAGTCCAACTTAAGGAAAAAATACGGAAAAATTTGAATTTTTTTTTTCAAAATCATACTTGGGATATAAGTTTTTATCCATACTGAATATTGTGTCCAAATTTCAAGAAGACTGAATAAAATTTGAGAAAGTTATTGCAGTTTATAAAACTTTGACATTTGGGTTAACCAAAAGTTGGACGCCGACGACGACGACGACGACGACGGAATCTATGGTCGCTATGTCTCGCTTCGCGACATTCGTCGCAGGCGAGACAAAAATCATAACCAAAAGTTGGACGCCGACGACGACGACGACGACGACGGAATCTATGGTCGCTATATATTCGCGACAAGGCGAGACAAAAATCATATTTACATCCTTTTGTTCATGCATATGCTTCCATGGATTATTACAACTCATTCTACTAAATTTTTGTCTTCTTTTTTTCTTGGTTTTTGATTATGTACATTATGAAATAATGACAATAAAAAGAGTCAAGTGTAAAAACACTCATTAGCGTCTTCAGACAATGACTAATGATGACTTACTTGTAAAAATCTGTCAATAATGGATACAGTCAAGTAGAGAGTTTCTTGTAAAAGGTGGAATCTGTGGTGAACCTGACACAACCAGTCAATCAGAATGGCGCGCATTTTACCAGTTATCTCGTAACCCTCAAGGAATTTTGGCCTCACTGGAAACTTTTGCTGAAAATACAAAATTGTACATCTTTTTTAACCAAAGAGTGGGATAACTTCAAAATTAATTCTGTTGGTAAAGAATTATTTTATTTTTGGTACTGGTTACATAGAGTGTAATGACGACATTATATTATTATTTTACTTACTGCGTAAACAATTCATTACATAAACAAGTACAGTGATTGTAAAATAGGTATTAAGACTGGTTTAAATCTAACCTCCAATTCCAACATGTACTGGTAGATGTCGTTGACATATTCACTAACAAGTTGTGGGTTATCTTTGTCGTTCTCATCAATATCTTCCACTTTCAGTAAAGCTTTAGAGAATGCCTCAGGTTTATCCTCACTGATGTCCATAGACTCGGGAGGTCCCAGCAATATGTCTGGTTTAGAGACATTTTTCACTGCTTCTATGGATGCTTCCTGTAAACGATAGTTTACAACATTAAGCTATTTATTTCACCAGGTTTTGTGTTTCAAGGCATGTTTATATCAATTTATTAACTACACATTGCAAATATCAAAAAAATGACTTCATGGAAAAGTACAGTGATACAAAAAATATTTTCTGTTTGCCAAGATTAGAATAAATTTATTCAGCATTGCAGCATTTGCTCATGCTTAGCAAATAAACTTACAGATTTGGTTTCTGTTTCTACAAGTTCTTTTAGGGACGAAGTGGCTTTAGATTTGACAATTTTCTGTCTGGTCACTATCTGCTGCTGCTGTATGATCTCTTTCTTGATTGCATTGGTCTTTTTACTGGGATCTATCGTAATGGCTGAGACTTTGTGTCCAATGTTTTCAATTGTTCCAAGGGCTGATCTTGTTCCCATATGAGATGAAGGTCGATGAAGTTCTGTTTTAGCAAGTAATCCGCCATCTGGATTTTCTTTGTTGATGAGAACATGTGTGCTGCCAATTTGTGGACGTGCCTGAAATAATTCACAATTCTTCTATTAATGAACAATTATTTCATATTTGATAGCCCTTCTGTTCACAAATCTGCCCCCTTTTTCACACCTCTGTCCTTCTTTACTGAATGAAAGTAAGTCACATTTGACTTGCATTCAGTAATTTTCAATATTCACTGCATGTCCATTACAAGTTGCATTATCATTTTTTTCAAATTTAATTACACGAATAATCATTGCAGAATTTTATGGACTATTTCTATATAAATATAAAATTTTACATCATAGTTCACTTCATACTGCACATAATCTTGCATTCAACAAGAATATATGCAACTCGCTATAGAAAACATGTCTATTCCTGTTTTCTTGATTTTTTATCCACAAACATATTTTATTCATTGAATTATGCATCACTGCGTTAATGTACTGCAAATACATGGACATATCAAATAAATATATTCTTTCGAAGTCCGTATTTCTTTACTGACAAAGCGCCCGGGAATTTCGTGCTCCAGGTCGAACAAGTCCTGGATTGTTTACACCACAAAATTCACATTTAGCTGCAACTCTTACCGTCTGTGGTCTATTAGTTAAAGCCATTGTGTCTTGTAGATCATGTAACTATCTTTCCAATCCTTTTTATTGTGAAACCACTGCATACGATGCTTGTAAGTGCCTGCTGCCTGTTTTCACAACATACTGATGCTTGTTCTAACCATATTCACTGCGGAGGACTTCAAATTCTTACCGCTGTTCATTGATTGGTTAATTTTTAAAATATACAAGTTTTTGATTGGCCAATTCATGTTTTAGCTTGTAGCAACCCGAGGTGTGCAGTCAATAAAAAATATATAAATTAAAAAAAAATCTTAACTGGGAGTTTGCTTATAAATCGAGACTTTTATTTTTAAGTGAAACAAATATGTTTTTAACTTTAAAAATTTTTCATTGATGGAAAGCACAAAACTCCATTCATTCGATGCACCTTGGATTTTTACCATTAATCTATGTACAATCACCTGTTGTTCTGTGCAAATTAAAAATTGCATGATGAAACATGAAATATAGGTATATTTAAATTAAACTAACTAGATCTGCATTCAGAAAATCTATTTAAATCATTCTAAAATTAGATATTCTGTATAGTAACTCGACTTATAAATCAGAGACATATGTCTCTGTTATAAATGCACGAGTCGAGTATGATCGATAATCGATAATCAATTTAATGATTCAATCATTTTAGCTATAATTAACCATGTTAACAATTTATGCAATATTCTTAAATAAATAATTTGTGATTTACGGATTCTTCCGATGATTTCACCATTACCATTTCTGAAATGTACATATTATCTCAAGTTAAAACTGATTATCATAAAAAAAATATTAAAAGCCATATAACAAATATGTTTTAAACTTATTTTTTTTTAAAAAGTACTGGCGCAGCCCTCGCAAGCCTCTTTTAGTAAGTAATAGGGCTGGGTTATTATTAAAAAAAAGATTAAAATATTAAACAGAAAGTAATCCGAGATCGCGATCAGAGATAGAAATTTTAAAAATAAACGGTGTAAATAATATTGGAGGCACCTCGATCACTGCTAATACATTCAAGGTTAAATACAAGTACAGATTCATCTCATTACTCCCTTGTTCCATATTTATAAACATAATCAGATTATTTGCAAGAATATTTATATGTTTAAAATGTGCGGTCAATCCTCCATCATTTGTGTTAAATAAAATGCCATTTGCTGTCTAACTATATGCTTTCGACTACTTTTAGGACCCTTCGCTAATTTTTTTTAGTTTAAACTTAATCTAACGTTACATTAAAAATCAATATTTTTTATTATATTTATTGAAAATTCGAGAAACTTACAATATTCAACTTATGCATGAAGAAGGATATTTTTAATTAAAAAAAAAAAAAATAGCAAAAAAAAAAAATTGTTTAAGAATAACTCTAGATGTGGAGTGTGCTTGTAAAACTCCAGGCTCTGGTTTTTCATGTTTGGTATTATAGAAATAGGGATTATACTATTCAAAACCATATTGGTACCCAAAGTAGGGTTTCCTAAATGGAAATACAATTGTGAAATATGAAAGTCCTATCACCATCTGTTCCAAAGTTATGGCCAGGTTAAAGTTTTTTTCATTAAGTACAGAAATCTTCAAGATCAAGGTCAGAAGTTCAAGGTTATTGGTATCCAATGAAAAGTCTTGCCACAAAAAATACACATGTGAAGTATGGAAACCCTAGCCCTAACCATTAAAAACTTATGACCAAGGTTAAAAAGATTTTAAAAGTACATTGTAGGTCAAACTCCAAGATCAAAGTCAGAAGGTCAAGGTTATTGGTATTCAATGAAAGGTCTTGTCACAAGGATGACATGTGTGAAGCATGAAAGCCCTAGCCCTTACCATTCAAAAGTAATTGCCAAGATAAATGTTTTTTCACAAGTTCAAAAATCTCTAAGGTCAATGTCAAAAGGTCAAGATTATTGGTATACAATAAAAGGTCTTACCACAAAGAATACATATGTGTAGTATGGAAGCCCTAGATCTATCAGTTCAAAAGTTAGTTAACAAGGTTAAAGTTTTTCATAAGTACGGATATCTCCGAGGTCAAGGTTATTGGTATCCAATAAACAGTCTTGTCACAAAGACTTCAAGTGTGAAGTATGGAAGCCCTAGTTCATTCAAAAGTTATGGACAAGGTTAATTTTTTATGAAAGTAGGTCAAACTCCAAAGTCAAGGTCAAAGGTATCAAATGAAAGGTCTTGTCACAAGGATTAAATAAATATATAGTATGAAAGCACTAGCTCTAACCCTTTAATAGACATTGTCAAGATTTGCTTTTTTAAAAGAGATCAAACTCCAAGGTCGAGGTCAAAAGGTCATAGTTTTTCGTATCCAGTAAAGGTTTTGTTTTTTTTTTACAAGGATTACATATGTGAAGCATGAAAGCTCTAGTCCTTACCGTTCAAAAGTTATTGTCAAGGTTACAGTTTTTTCATAAGTGCAGAAATCTCCAAGGTAAAGGTCAAAAGGTCAAAAGGTCAAGGTAGGTGGTATTCAATGAAAGGTCTTTCCACAAAAAAAAATACTTATGTGAAGCATAAATATCCTGTGAAGTATAAATGTCCTGGTTACTACTGTTCAAAAGATATGACCAAAGTAAAGTTTGGAATTTTTGTGTAAAAGTGGGTCAAACTCCAACATCAAGGTCAAAAGGTCAAATTTGGTGGTACCCAAAGTAAAGTCTTTTCCCAAGGAATACCCATTTAAATATGAAAGTCATTGCTCCACCAAATCAAAAGTTATGGGCAAGGTTAAATTAAAGTTTTTGCGGACAAACAGAGACACAGACAGACAACAAAAAATACATATGTAAAGGATTAACGTTTTTAACTGTTGATTTTGAATTTATTTTTGTCATTTATAACACATACGTTCTAAAAAAAATTGCAGGTTTATATAAAATTCCACTTTTAATATATATGGTAAAAATTTTGTTTTGTTATCAGAACTTACTGTTTCCAAGTAATAGTTATTGTATATTTATTATGGTGTATCCTGATTTATTTTATTTCGATTTATTTGGACGAAGGGCGGTGACGAGTGCGAAAACTCCGCCCTTCGTCCAAATAAATCAGGATACACCATAATAAATATTCAATAACTTTCTTGTATCATGGCCAATCAAACGTCATATCACAAATTATTATGCATGATTTTTAATTACACCAATAGAAAATGTAGTTTTTGTCAGGTGACCGCATGGATAATCTATCCTTCCTGCCAGTATTTTAATAAACTCATTTTATGTGTGTGTGTTTATGAGAAAGGACGTCGGATTGCAGCATCCCGTCGTAATTTAAGCACGGATTGTTAATGAAATTCACAAGAAAACCTTTAGATATCAAAAAAGAAAAATTCTAAGTTAAGGAGGAAAATTCAGGTGTTAATCGAAAATCAAGAAAAAAGATACCCGTTGAGCTAATGACATATTCGAGAGCTGTCGCATTCACGAAACGCTGTGTCAGGGTCAATAACTCTTCATCTGTGGATGAAGTACATCTGCACTTATTATAGTTGAGCAAAGAACACAGCAAAAATGGTATTTTCTGCTAAAGCGCTATATTACAATAGGTATGATATTTTGATATAATTCGGTATGAAATTCAAGAATATCGAACTTGATTTCTCGTTGCGGAGGACTAAATATTTTCAGAGCTCCGTAAAAGCATTTCGTAGTTTGGGATATGCACTGTAATTTGAAAGACTTTTATTTCACTTGCAGAAATTTTGCCTTTGTATAGCCCATTTCATTCTGTAACTCAGATTCAATATACATGTAATTTAAAATGATGAAATCGCCTTGGTGTTCAATAATTTATTTACACGGCAATTAAATAAACTTCAAAGGAAAAACACCGCAGCCATGATACAAAGTTATATTGATTAATCATTTGAAATTTTGACTTAAAAGCGAGTTCTCAGTTAATTAATGGTCTAGGGGCCCGGTTGTATACTCATCATTCATTAAAACGTAGATATTTGAAACTAAAGTTCTGTTAACTTTTTTATCTAATAGTAATTAAATAAATATTCAGTAATAACTTTTTATTAAAATATAATGCTACTTTTCGAAATCGTACATTTCCCGCGCAAATCTCATTCCAGAGCAAGTGTAAAATTAGTCGAAACTTGATTGGCTTTAGAAACCTTGGCTCAAAACTTTGTGCAAGAGATAGACTGCAATATTAAAACAATGATAACCTTTTTTATAATTATGAAGTGCCAAGACACTTTATAAACGACAGTTTAAGTTTCACAATTTCCCACTAAAACCAGTACTTACAAGAGAATGCGAAACTAAGTATATGTCACGTGACATTTGTTGATAAATATTTTGGTCATATTGGTGTGTTCTGACAGTAAGAGGTTGGTAACTGGTAAGGACACACGGGATGACACAATATTAATTTATGTGTGAACTGATTCTCCAGGTAAAGTCTCTGTTAGAAACCTAATTTTAGTTAGTTTGCATGGCCTGTACGATGTAATCTGTGACATAGTTTTGTAATGTAACGTTAGACATTGGTAGAAAAAGTAGTGATGGATTTGTTTATATTGATTTGTTTTTGTTATGAAATTGTACTGTATGTCAGTCTGTCTTCCACTCAGTCAATATAATTGTCTTTGTGAAGTCTGTCAGCCCAAATGCCAATCTGTAACTGATTATAAAAAATGTGCTTTCAAGATTGGGGGGTGGAGGATATAAATATAATTTTTAAGCTGAGGAGAACAAATCCAAGAATGAAATTCCAACCTGTACAACCACTGAATTTCTCTCATTTTTTGGAGATCCAGGCAGTTGAGGTTGGGGCAACGTAGCAAGCAAGGGGAAAAAAAACATTGGACAGTTAGTTTTGAAGGGTATATGTGTAAATTATCAAATGTTTTCTTATGTATTGAGTATATACTGGAAAATGTTAATGAGGAGACAAAATTTTTTACAGTGTATTTAGTTTTGTTTTCTAGAAAGTATTTTAAGTATTTTGTGGCAAATAATGGGGAGGAATGCATGTCAATTAAACCAATTAAGAATCTTTCCAGGCAGGCTTTTCACCTGTCACTTGTAGGGCATGGTCTTTTCACCAAATATAACTGGTAAGGACTCAGAGGAGAAAAATGTTATGGACCACGATTCAAACCCAGAACCCCACACCCCTGAGTCGCTAAGGTGCTCTACTGAATGTGCTTTCTGGCCAATGGTACAATCCAACCTGTCTGATATTTTTTTTGCAAAAAGATGGTTTAAATTGGATCTTTGATAATTTTATTCATCTAAGGGTTGAGAAACCAAGAAAACTCTGGAAACTGGTGACTTGCCAGATAGTACATGATAATTAAGTGGCTCATATGGAGCACATTTGCTCAGTGTACATGTCAGTGGTTTTTTATTGTTTAGCCAGTAATCAAAAGATTGCTATATGGTTCAAGCCCCACTATGGGCATGCACTTGATGTTTATGTTGTGTCCCTACATGATACACTTCATCTGCATTGTGTCTCAGTTCACGGGGCTGCAGTGGGTACCAGCTTATGCTAGGAGTCTACCTGCCATAGACTGGGGTCCCATCTTGTAGAAATCAATGACTCTTGTCCAGGTAGCATCACAGCTGAGTCTCATGGCTCAGAGTAGGTCATTTATCTTATAAAGGGTAGGAAAAAAAAGACAAGAAATACCTAAGAAAGGATGTTTATTTGCCAGTAATAAATACTAGACCATTTACAGATATCTGATGATGGCTGAAAGTAGCTCTAGTAGCAGTGGCTGGGAGTTTGTAGATAAAGAAGGAAGAAGCTTAGAGGTATGTCCATTTTGAAATATTTTAATGCAACAAATGTGTTACATCAATAGTCATGCATCATCCATTATATTTACTAAGTTAACATGTGAATTGATATCAACATAGGATCCTTAACAGATTACACAAAACTGTGGCCAATATTTTTATGCAAAGGTAGATCCTTCAAACTGCATGCTGCTATTTTGCATTACACCATGTTCAGTACAAACTTATGAATATTTACATACAAGCAATATAATTGCCACTCCCTGTTCTTATAACTGCACTAGAGTATTCAGAAAGTGTGGCAGACTTACATGTAACAGTTTTGGCTTGTCAAGATACATATTTTGGTCTCTTAACTTAAAGGTACATGTATATTTATCTTCCTGTTTAATCTGTTAATAGTAAACTCTGTTTTTCTTTTCCAGAATTCAGATGATAACCAGAGCGAGACCTCTGAAAGTTCAATTGAGGTCGTCTCTATGGATACCAGTGACCCTCAATCTTTGGAGTCTGTTCAAGAGCCACCTTTACCTTCTCCCACGTCTGGATCATACCTTATTCTGAGGCTTAGGAGTAAAGAAAAAGGTTATGGCCTTAATCCATTGATTATAACCTGGCTGGGGGCCATAAAACTTAGAGGGGCTCACTTTTGATCTCACTCTCACTTTTACCAAAGGATTTAATAGTGGAAAAGTGAGACTGAGATCAAAAGTGAGCTTGTCTAAGTTTTATGGCCCCCAGGCCTGGTTTGAGATTTTGCCAGAATCAGTTGCTAAGTTAAGAATAAATATAAATATTTTATTACTAGGTGTGTAACTATTTTTCTGTGTTTAATAGTATATTTTGTGGTTAAAATAGATATTTTATCATTTATTATGTTGCAAAGGAAATACTGGTAAACAGAAAACAAAAAATACACAAAAATCAAATTTTTAAGATCATTTGCACATAAATGTAGATATTCCTTTCCTGCATGAAAAAATCTTATAAATAAATAAATATTGTCTACTGGACAAAAATCATTGGTATTTTTTATAAATAATGCATGCATTATATTTTGTAGTGCAGAAAGAGATAAAAGTTTTTGAGTGAAGTTGGATGTAAAATGTTTGGCTAAAACTCACAAAAATGATTAAGTCTGCCTTATATGTTGGAATATGTGGTTAGTTAAAGAAATGAACGATACTTTAGAGCAACTTAAGTTTGAAACTGGTTTCCTCTCTCTTGATTCACTTTAATGAAAAAAAAGTTAATTTAAAATCTTTTTTTTGGTACATGTAATTGCAAAAAGGACAGGGCAATATTGATAAAGGCATGGCATCTTTAAGACTGTACAATAACTTCTTAAACAATAAAGAAAGTTGTAATTTTCCCTGTTCAGACTCTCTGACAGAGTCAGATGAATCTGACCACCAAGGCAGAGATCAAGGAAGTCTGAAGAGACGTAAGAAGTCCAAAGCTAAATTTCCCAGGCCACAGGAGCCCTCTCCTTTGTCGTCAGGGTTGTTGACAGCTAGTGAGGAGGAGAGGGATTTTGAGACCATTCCTGATCCTCAGAAGGTAAAATGTGAATCTCCTGTCTTAATTCTCTCTCTCTCTCTCCATCACCTCATGCACTGTATATGCTTTAAATAAACTACAGAGGGTATATGTTTATTGTTCATTAGAAAAAAGGATAATGATTATCAATCTTTAAACATGTGCTCTTAGACTCGAATTGTGTCATGATTTCTTGATACAGGAGAAAGCTGAAGTTTGTACAAAAAAAGAAAAGGAGACTGTTGAAGATGTAACTGAAGAAGAAATACAGAATGTAAGTTATTTAGTATAAATTCATCCTTCTGTCCAAGAGAAAATTTTTAAAATGACAATATTCAATTGACCTGATTACAGGTACACATGTAGTTAACATATATCCAGAGTTTGTATTAATTATCTTACTTCAGAGCCTGCAGAGAGGAGAAATCGGTTCCATGCAGAGTTTTCAGGTGTTGGATGCTCCAAGTATAGAAGACCAGGAACCACTGAATCTTCCTCCTTTCAATGAAAATGGAGGGGTGGATCAAGGGTCAAGAGAGGAGGATGAGGACTTTATGTTTCTTGGAGTTCCTCAAGGTAAAAATTCTTGTTGATCCCAGATAATTCGCTGTTTAAGGGATTTGTTTTTCCACATACCGGTACTCAGTACTTCTATGGATCCTTTACATGGTTGTATTAAACAGATGACTTGGACCTATTGTTTTCATTAACTCATAGAATAAAGGTAGCTATTATTAATTTAATTAAGTTAGCTTTATTAATATTGCTTTATAGATGACCCAGATACTGAGTCCTCCCCAGAAATGGCCGATGAGCAGGATGACCGCATTGAGAGTGACCGGAGTGAAGATCGTCATAGCGATGACTTCTCCACCCTGTCCAATGTTGATATCAGTGACCTAATGGCTGAAGACAACCTCATCAGACAATATGTATTCAGACCTAATCCATCTGTCAATGTCACCTTGAACTTAGTGATGGTTGTGGTGATTTCTATTGCTGTTGGCCTAGGCATTGGTCATGCCATTGGTGAGTATTGTAGTACTACAGTAAAACTTGCTAACAGCGAAGTGCCAGGATGGACAATTTTGCTTCATTATAAATATATTTCCTTAGATCCATTAAGTTTATAATATATTTTAAAGCTATGGGGATGTCATCAATTTGTTATAAGAGTGTTGGCTATAACCATGTTTTACTGCATGTGCTTGTGATTTAATTTTATATTTGGGGTATCAGATTTTTGCATAATGTATGTATAAGCTTAAAATTAAGAAAAAAAAATTATTTATTAACAACAGTTAATACATAAATTTTACACTCATGCCATTGAAAATGGGATGTACAGTCACTACAGTGTGACCCATGTTTGTTGGTATGTCTATGTCAGGATTTTTGGCCTATTGGCCAGGGGCAAACAGATTAACTTTTTGTAATTGAAAAACAACAGATATTTTTCCCAAGTAAAATTTCATATACAGTACTACTTTTTAGTCAAAATACAATGTATGACTTGGCATGGTTATGCATTCCTTTTTGTGAGTTAGCTATTAACATTTTACTTTGTGTGAAATGTAAGAGGTTTAAATTAACATTGTCTGATGCCTGATCCAAGTATGTTCAAATTTAATAATGTATTGCTTACAAAAATATGTTAAAAACTTGTAGGAACAGCCAAAGAGAGATTTGTCAATATGAACTTAAGAGAAATGTCTGTCAACATGGATGAAGATGGACACTGCCAGTTTGATATGGAGGTAATTTGTGTCATTGGTGATACACTTCACATGAGCACAAATGGTTTTCCCAAGATTTTATTCATAAGTGTCCAGATAAGGCAGCAAATTAATTAATTTTGTAATAGCCTTCGAATAATTTGCAAGTATTAATCATTATTACATAGTACATACATACATTATATACTGTATACAGGGAAATTTTTGCCCTCGTTTTATTTTCGCTCCCGTCACCCTTGACACAAATGGGCAAATTTAAAACGGGGCGAATTCAAATAACACAGTATTAATTCTTAAGCAGAACTGGGACTGGGCGAATTTAAACGGGGCAAATTTGTAAGCAAGTGTAAAAGGGCGAAAATAACCCTGTATACAGTACTTTCCTTGAAATGAACAAATCATGATTTTCGTAGTAAGTTGTATGTTTGGAGATCAAAATATCTGTTGTTCCAATAGGATGTGGAAAAATTAACTGTGGAAAACATAGAGCTGAAGAAGGAAGCAAATAAGGCTCAGAATGAAGTTGTTGACCTCCGTTCAGAGGTGATGAAACTGAGGTATAGTTCTATTGTGACGTCCGCAGAGGAGGAAAAAAGAACAGCCAACAAGAAAAACCTGGAACTCAAAGTAGAAGTAAACAAGTTACAACATGAAAATGAAGACTTGAAGAAACTAGTGGGGAGTTTGAAGTATGGATCACATCCTGGTAATGAAGAGGGAAAAATGTTTGGTAAGTTCAATTGGAGTTTTGATGTGCCCAAATTACGGCATGACATAGGACTTGACAATTTTAAATACAGAGTTTGATATGAAAGAATGTGTAGAAAAAAAATTGCCTTTGATTTACTGTTAAAGAGAGGTTTAATCTTTTCCATTTGATAAATTTTGTTAGATTTTTGAGATTTACAATCTCACAGAGATTTACAGAGATTTACAATCTCACAAAGACCCATTAGCAACTCATTAGACTAAGACCTGAAGTTTGACCATGTATTTTACTTGCTGAAATGTAGTCATTTCATAGATATAAAAGTGTCTCTGCAAAATCTTAAAAAATCTTCCTCTCAAGAGCAAGAGAGTCATTACTAGACAATTTTATATGAAAGCATCCTCAGATTGTAGATCCATTTTTCTCCAAACTACGAAACCAGAAGTCGGGTAATGCTACAATGGGTGGTATATAGTTTTTAGCAAAAGAATCTGTGGATGAATTACAAGATCCATTAATTACTCAGGTTAGCATTGTGGCCTATGGATCACTTATTAACATTTCATTTGGTTCTCAATATAATTGAGAATCTTGCAGAAAATTAACCTGTTAATTTAAGATGACTTCCCCCAGATTTTTGTAATGTAATGCACATAAAACCTGTGTTTATTTTAGATGAAGAGTCGCAGATGGAGGATTATCTTGCATCTTGTTCACGGAGACAAGACCATGAAAATGATGAAATGGAAGAAGAAACAAAAGATTCTATCATTGAACTCAACGTTAAACAGAGTACGGAGAGCCCCTCTGATGGACAGAGGGAGGGGGATAAAAAGCATGTTAGCATCATAGATGTTGTACACCCATTTGCCCATAATTTAGACATTGATTACCATGTTACAGAATCTTCTCAGGAAGATGATATTGAGGATAATATTGATGATGAAAATGATGACAACGAAAGGAGCTCTGAGCAAATTTCCCAAAGTGAGAGCGAGATTGAGGAAATGCCAGGTTATTTTCCTTGCAGTAGCCATAAGAATAAAGCAGACAGACCAGAGGAATCAGAAAAGCAGCAAGTGAGAGAATTAAATGTTGAATATCCAGGAACAAACACTGAAAAAGTGTTAAAATGTGATGCTTTGGAAGGTGAATCAGAAGAGTCTGACAGAAGAGAAAACGTAAATGATGAGTTGTTATGGGAAGATACATCTGAAATAAAATCTGAGTCAATGGAGGATAAGCATGAAGATATTGAAGAGGATGTGGAAATTCTTGATGAAGACTTAGGAGACGAAGTAGTGGAGGATGAGGATGTGTCTAACACAAGCTCCGAAAATATCAGGTATACAGAGGAGCAACCGAAGACAGAGTCTGGGGGCCAAGGAACAGAGGAGAAGAAGAAGGAAAGCAGTCAGTCCAGTGTGAAGATTGATTGGAGAGAGACAATGCATAAGATCTTAAACAAAACAAAGGCTTCAGTGTCGGTTGTTTCTCAGCAGATTCAGGACACATGGAAACAGGTATGTAGAACAACCACTTCTCTAGATTTGTCCTTTAAACATCAGTGGTGAAATTTCTTTCATTAGTTATTTTGCTCACTCAGTCTAAAATTATTTTTTCATGATACATGTAGCAGAAAATGAGGAAAATTAACATTATGCTAACAAATGTTAATTTGCAAGAGACATTGTCAATAAATAAATTAATTGCAGTGTTGAATCAAGTGCATAATTCAAATAGCATTAGATTTTATTTGTGAAATATTTATATTTTCAGGTGAAAAATATGTCGGAAGATCTTTGGAAGAAAAATGAGCCAGTCCTTACAAAGCTGAAAAGTAATGTAGTCACAAATGTTAAAGAGGCTACTCAAAAGATCTCAGAAAAGCTGGAAGGAGCCAGGAACTGGTTACGGCACCACAGACCTTATCCAAGACACAGACAGAATGACAATCACCACACAGAGAAAAAACACAGACACAAAAACCACCACTGGAGAAATCAAAGAGAAGACAAATACCCAAAACATAAACAGAATGATGATATGTACCGAGAAAAGAGAAACAAAAGAGATTCTAAATTTTACAAGGCTACAACTGGAAGAAGATCATACAAAGAAGAAAGAGATGATGATAAGCCTTGGGGCAAACACAACAGAAAAGCAGAAAGATTTGAGAGGAAGAGAGAAAGAAAATTCAACAAAATCAAAAGAAGATTTGAAAAGATGCATGAATACCAATTCTGCAAGATGAATATGAAAAAGAGGCAGAAGTTCTTCAATATACTGGAGGACTTTGATGAGCGATTTAGTGCAGATAAAATGTTAGATGATGATCACAGGTGGTACAGTTGTCAGTGGGATTGGTGGTGGAATGCCATGTCCTTTCATCTAAACAACTTCATGTTGATGGATCCAAGTTGCCAGGGAACATTGTTACCATGGCAGGAGGGAATTCTGATCTCTGGGAGATGGGAATGCCTTGGATTCTCACAAAATCTGAAGAAAGATGACCAGTTTACATTCAAGTTTGATGATGATGAAGAAGATGATGATGATGGTGATGATGATAACAATGATGAGAGCAATAAAAAACACTTTAATAGCATGCCTTATTTTGATGACTTGAACCTCCAGCAGACAAACAATGATACAGAAGAGTTCCGAGGCTGTGATCCAACCAAAGGACTTTGCGATTATGACAAAAATGACTCCTGGTATCTGAAGAAGATGAAGTTTCGTCAGTATCAAAGATATATAGACACTACGGAGAAAGGAAAAACTGAGTGGATGTTTGCAAGGGCTAACTACAGGCGACATGAAAGGGAGAGAACTGACTGCAGTCCTGGTGTTCATGGGGTGTATGTGTGTGGGTAGTATAACACACAGACTATGGTTTTACTAATAAAGAACTTGTTTTATTTTTAAATTTCTGAAATTGACATTTGCTTTTGGTAATAGATGTATGGCTTTTCAAAAATACAGTATAAAATTGTTGTTTAAGGTTTTTGTAGATCTAGTAAAAAAAAAATTTTTTTAGTGCTTGCCAGAAAAAAAAGGATGGAAAAAGTTTTTTTTTTATTATGAACACACTAGAAGATATATTGTGCTTAAGAGTTATGTAATCATTATATTTTTAGCTCAACAGAGTTTAAAGTTCAAATGACCTTTCCTGATCACAATTTTTCTGCTATCAACTTGTCTCTCAATCTATTCATCATTATTATTCTTTCACATATTCAACATCTGCAAGAACCATAAGCTTACAGTTACTTAAACATATTTGCAATAATTCCATGAAATCAACTCGTTTTATCATAGTCCACTTAGGGCTAGATTTTGGTACACAATTAAAGAGGGAAATTTAAAAAATGAACAGCTAAGTCAAAAAAAAAAAAAAAAACGAGTGTGGTGAGCATTGTGGCCCATGGCTTCTTGTTTTTCTTGGAACATCACTGGTAGTTAAAATTGCTTGTACCAGTTTATTGTTTAGTGATTTGCTCGTTAATGAATACCTACTGCACAAGTGCGATAGTTTTCATGATATTTATTATAGTGCTTTCAAAGAAATGGTGCTTTTTAATTGAAAAGGTTATTCTTATGTGAGAATACAAGGAAAGAAATGGAACATTCATTGGAAGTCGGTTGTGTAAAAAATTCACCAATAAGAAAATGGAGAAATAAAACATATGTTGGTCGATACTTAAATACCAGTAACAAGAGAGATTGATATGTTTTACATTTCAGTAATATTCTGCTATGATTCAATGTAATTCACATACCTAAATCATGTTTCTTTTACATCTTTTAAAGGGCCCTGTAGTCATTGCTATTTGTAGAGCTCTATGAACTTTCAAAATGTATTGAATAGCATTAATTACTAAAACTTGAGGAGTATTTTTCTATACTAAAATAATATATTATTGGCTGTAAAGTATTAAACCATATGATATTTTTTAGAAGGATCTGTTAAGTAGCATGTTGACCACCCAGGATCCATCAAATTGTTGTATTTCTTTTTTACAGTATAGAGCAAACAAATTCATTTGGGTTTTGGAGAGTTGAGAAACTCTAGAAATATTGTCCCATCATGTTTCACTTTGAACACTTTTATGGGAATTCGTCATTTTCCAAGTGTATGGACAGGACATATCAGATGCATACCAGATTATCCTCACACATGGAAACACATGTAGTTTGATGATTGAAACTTGCTTGTTTCTGTTAATTATGAGCTTATAAGTGCTATTGTTTGCTATACATGTATACACTATTAACTTTTGTCATCAATTTTCACATAAAAATAAAAAAATCATAAAAAAAATGTTTTATTTTGTTGGTGATTCAATATATATTGCTTGATAAATAGTATGCACTAATGCAGAGTAGGAATTAACATATGTTGAAAATAGTAACATGCAAGTATGGCATCTATTTTATAAATTTTATGTAGGTAATGGTAATTTTGAATATACATCACTGACTTTGACACACAGTTTGATTGGAACAAATCCAGTTGTGTTTTAGCTCACCTCAACGAAGTTGGGTGGAGCTTATGTAATACCCTCGGCGTCGGCATCAGTGTCGGCGTCCCAGGTTAAGGTTAAGTTTTTTGGAGCAGTTTTCTTTTTAAGTACTTCTATGTCCTATATTGATTAGACATGCATGGAAGATGCTTCTAATGTGTTTCACTGTACCTGTCAAAGTTTCAGATGCTGCAATTTAAGCAAAGGAATGACCAGGTTAATATTTTTGGAGCAGATTAACATTTTTGGTGCAGTTTTTGGTGTAGGTCTCATTTCCAAAAAACTATAAGCCTATGTTGACCAAACTTGCATGGATGGTACATCTAAGGATGCACATTACCAGGCTTGCTTCGGATGCTGAATCTGACCTACATTTTCTGGTTGAGTGAACAGGTTAATGTTTTTGGTGCAGGTCTCATTTCCAAGTAACTATAAGCCCTATGTTGACCAAACTTGCATGGATGATATATCTTAGGATGCACATTACCAGGCTTGCTTCGGATGCTGAATCTGACCTATGTTTTCTGGTTGAGTGAACAGGTTAATGTTTTTGGTGCAGGTCTCATTTCCAAGTAACTATAAGCCCTATGTTGACCAAACTTGCATGGATGATACATCTTAGGATGCACATTACCAGGCTTGCTTCAGATGCCGAATCCGACCTACATTTTCTGGTTGAGTGAACAGGTTAATGTTTTTGGTGCAGGTTTCATTTCCAAGTAACTATAAACCATATGTTGACCAAACTTGCATGGATGATACATCTAAGGATGTACACTACTACACTTGCTTCGGATCCTGAATCTGACCTACATTTTCTGTTGAGTTATTGGTGAACAGGTTAACGTTTTTGGGGCAGGTTTCATTTCCAAGATACAATGAGCCCTATAATGACTAAACTTGCATGGATGGTACATCTTAGGATGCATACTACCAGTCTTGCTTCAGATGCTGAATCTGACCTACATTTTCTGGATGAGTGAACAGGTTAAAGTTTTTGGGGCAAGTTTCATTTCCAAGTTACATTGAGCCCTATAATGACTAAACTTGCATGGATGATACATCTTAGGATGCATACTACCAGACTTGCTTCGGATGCTGAATCTGACCTACATTTTCTGGATGAGTGAACAGGTTAAAGTTTTTGATGCAGGATTCATTTCCATGCAACTATGAGCTCTTTAATGACCAAACTTGCATGGATGATACATCTAAGGTTGCATTCTACCAGGCTGGCTTCAGATGCTGAATCTGAACTACATTTTTTTCTGGATGAGTGAGGAGGTTAAATTTTAAAGCAGGTTTATTTTCTAAGTAACTATTAGCCCTATATTGTGCAAACTCGCATGGATGATACATCTTAGGATGCATATTAATGGACTTGCAAGTTCTGATGCTGAATTGACATACATTTTCCTTTGATAGAAATGGACCAGGTAAAAAGTTATGGGTGCAGGTCTATCACCAAGAAATTATAAGGCTTTTAAAATAAACTAAACTTGCCCAAATGATGCATCAAGGGATGAAAACTCTTAAACTTGCTTCAGATGCTGGATTTGATCACATTTAATTGATGAAGAACTAGTTTGAAGTTTTTATATAAGTCTGTTCCAAAGTATCAGATCAAAATTTCATAAATGTTGCATTTTTGGATGTACACTTTTTGTTGGGTAATTGTGTGACTTTGCCTTACGGTTAAATAAATTCACATAAAAAGTAAAGACAACATTCGTTGAGGTGAGCTCTGTAATCTCTGATTACCTATGTTTAATGATAATTATACATAGCAACATTTCATTTGTGAGAAAATTAGACTTTCAAATTAAATCTTTTATCAGAACTCTTGTAAAAGAGAGGAGCAAAAGTATGTCGGGGGCAAAATCTCTAATTATAAAATGGAAGAGACCTTTCATCAGCAATATAATAAAGATGAGAGTGATAGTCAGTAAAACACACTTAATATGAACACAGATATTGCAAATTCACGGATATAGTAAAGTTATCTTGGATCCCCAGCTATATATATTTAACAGTTCTTTTTACGGATATAACGAATTACTGATACATGTATAGCAAAGTAATTTCACAGGTCCCAGTGACTTCGCTACACATGTACAACAGAGTTTTACTGTACCAGTCAAAAATTGGTAAAGAGAATTAGTCTGTTATATTCCTATATTCTGTCATTATATCTGAGGCAATTATATGAGCCTTTAACTTAGTCAAAGTTCAGTGTATTTAGTTTTCATCTGTGTATATGGATGTATGCTACATGGCTTTTGTAAAACACTTGGTAGCAACACAAGTAACTGTGCTTCTTCCATGACAGCAGAGAAATTGATCAAACATTTGCACAGGTCACAATTACTTGTAAACTTGCAATAAAAGTAATAAACAAAGGTAATGCAAGATTACCAGTACAAAAATGTACAAAAAATAATATGGTGTATGCCTATATGAATCCTCTTCAACTTTTAATAACTGAGAATTTTATATAATTTTAAAAGAGAGAAAAGTTATTGCAGGGTTTTTACATTCTAATCTAAGGCTAACTGCATTGTTAAGGATTCTAATATATAAAGGAAAAAAAAAACAAGCCAATAATTGCTATCTGATTTTTTATTTTTATTGACTTTATTTATTCTCATTATTTAAAAAAAAAACAAAAAAGAGGACAGCAGTTTTTGCTGCAAATTAAAATAACTGAAATACAAACGTACCCGATTATCAAAATAACATGTTGATAATAATTTCCAGTAAATTGTCCATTGACAAAATATACATTAAAATAGACAATGCATATGACTTATTGCGATGTAATAAATCAAAATTACCCAGTATCTTTTTTTTTTTTTGAATCAAAAGAAATAAGGGAATATTAAGAATTTCCTTTCAGGAATAGTTCTACAGTGTATTGCAATTAAGCTTCCTTACATAAAACTGGCTACTGAATAGTAGTGTATCATTGTATTTGTATTTAAATAAATTCCATATCAGTACAGTCATTGAAATAATAATTGTCAATCAAAAAAACACAGTACATGTATTGTGATTACATGTATATTGTAATAATAAAATGTTCAACAGCAGTCATTCGGTAACCTTTACACTGTAAAAGTGAAGAGGTGTATTCAAACTTATTATAAAACTTCATCTACCGTTAACATTAATTAACGTAGATCCAGTAAATACTCTGTCTGCATTGTAATTTCCACAACAGAAAAAAAATCAATACATGATGTAAAACTATGAACAGAAATGCTTGTTTTCAATTTTAACGGTACAAGGTATCAAACAAATAATACATTTATTGTGTTTTGAACATCTTTCACATACTTTACAAAATTCATGTGTAAAGCAAAAATTTAATAATTTTCACTTCTGAAATAAACAAAAAAGTAATTGCATTGTATGTTCATTAAATATGATTAATTGTCAAATCCAAGTTAGTAATTTAGATTATTATACTTTCATGTTAAATACTAAAATCGGATTGGTTTAGACGCAGTTAACAATCTGTTCTATTACCCTCAGCCTTAGCAACACATGTGAAAACGGGTAACACAACGGTAATGCCAAATGCGTGGAAATTATGTGCGTACGGTTCACCGTAGAATTCTCAAACGTCAGTTGCGCGTTTGAAAGAACCGGAATAAACATGACGTCAATAAAAGCTTGTTTCCGATGTAGCTTACTTGAAAACAACCAACGACAGACGAAACATGCTTGCGAGTGCAGAAATAACAAAACTTTAAATGATAAAGGACTCGTAGAGTATCAAATAAACAATAAAGAGGTCAGTAAATCTTTTTCAAAGTAGCGGGGAGTTTGAAAGCTTTCTAAACGTGAACGAAAAGGCGATCGACGATTTTTATTGCTGACATAGTAAATCAACAAGACAGTCAGTATAATAAAATAAATGGTGCCTGTTTTGGAGGGTAACAGTTGAAATTGACACCCCAAGGAAAACCATTGTCAACCGACACGTCAGCGGAGGTTGACAATGGTTTTCCTTGGGGTGTCAATTTCAACTGTTACCCTCCAAAACAGGCACCATTTATATAATAACCTAGCAACTTTTTTTTTTATTTTCATATTGCATAAATATTTGTCTCAATTTGGATCATGTTTATGAATACACATAGAGCTTAAACATTTAGAACAATTCAAGAATGAAATAAAGTGGGAAAAAATTAAAAAATAACAAACACAATGTTTTGACAAATGCATAGTACACATATCATTGAAGACCCCTCACTACAAGGCTATACAACAGCTCCCTGGTTAATATTGTACTGCTGAATCCAGGCCGAGATTTTCTCTAAATTTTCTTCCAGGTCGTCAGGAGTATTACTGGGAAGTTCATGCACGATTTCAACTTTATACGAGTCTCTAGCTTCGTCCAGGATTGTTTGGAATATTTCACACTGGATGTTGTCTTCCAGTTTTTTTCCCGAGTAGCCTCTGAAAAATGTTAATAGTAAAAGTATTGTATAACCAAATTCAGCAGCATAATAAACCTTGTATTTTGTACACTCTTGATTTAAATTTTCTAATTACATGTGCTTGTTACATATTTTGTACAGCATTCAACTGGTTTTAAAATCTGCAATATTTGAAAAGAAACAGTATGTGTTACATGCATAATGAATTTAGACCTTACCTGTTCTCAAGCCTTTCATACAGTACTGTGTTATCTGTTCTAAGAACAAAGACAATATCAAACCATCTCTCAGGGAAAAATTCACACCCATGATAGTCGACAATGTTTCCACCAGCAGACATGACTTCTTCTAATTCATCTATAACCTGTAAACCAAGTATTCAGTTGAATATTAAATGTTGACTGCAATCCAAAATGCTTTGAAGCGACAGTAACATTACAATTTAAACTAAGGTTTGTCAAACTGTATTTGGTTTCCTATTTTTTACAAAGTGGCACTGGAATTTTATGATATCTTACATATATGTGTTGTATTTATAATTGGTAAACAATCAATGTGTCTTAGTTATTAAAAAAACAAAAATGCTACTCTAGAAAACAAAGTCTTGATATCAGCTTCATATACAGAAATCCTTCTTTTACCATGGACATTCCTCTTCAATATGCAATGCCATTGAAAAGGATACTACTATTAAAGTAAAAGAAGAAAAATTCTGCATTTTTTTTAAGATTATGATATCAATGGTTTAAGTACATACCCTGTCTTCATCCAGAACGGGACACTGATACTGTTCATCCCATCCCTCATACAACTGGCCATCCTTGGCAATCTCCCCAATGTTAACATACTTCAGGTTCGTCTTCTGGGCAAGTTCTGCTGCTAAAGTGGATTTTCCTGTTCCAGGAGTACCTGAAATGTTTTAATAATCTGTCATATACTTGTATAATAATCTTATACATGCACTGTATACAGGATTATGTTAATCCCATGCTATTTTTCACCAAATTACTCTAGCAAATAATTTCTCTCCATTTCTGAATTTGCCCAGACACAAATGTGATGACATCTCTGTTAACTTACCCAATTTTGAATTTTCTAACTGAAGAAAAGGCTGAATAAGGGGGAAATAAAGAAGAGGATTTTTTCTGTAAATTCACACATATAGGCTACTTTTATAGATATATGATCTTCAAATGAACATATCCTAGAAAAGTCCAGAAAAACATGTACATTGAAAAAACAGAGAAATGTTACCCTTGAAAATATAGCCAGGTCTTTTGGTCACAAAATGCAGATAATACAAAAAGTAGGTAAATATAGCTACTTTGGGTAGGTTTAATTACCTACGTAGCTATTAATAGAAATAGGTAGAAATATATAATCTTTGGACTAGATCTGAAGATTTACCATAACCTGAAAGGCCTAGACTTCAGGGCTCTCGATTCTTTAAATCTGGGGCCGATATTCGGCCCCGTTCCCAATGCAAAAAGGTACCTTTTTTCCCAAAAGAAAGGTGTAAATTTCCCAATTCCCATAGCAAAATATTAATTAAAAAATAAAAGTCCATGAAACTTAATCGCAGAAAAAAAACTCAAACAAAACACACTTGCAAATGAAAGTGAAACTGTATGACTGTTTATTTGGATCGAACTAATAAACTGGTAAACTGGTTCGGGGAACCAGGTTATTATTTTTACAAAAATGTGTACTAACTATGAATGCAGAGTATCTTGTCATGTAGTTTCAACAAAAAACATCATTTTGGTTTCAAAACTAGACATTTCATTTAAACATTAGTACCTTGCACCTAGAAACATACCCACGCTTCGGCATGTTCAGTCTTGCACTGTATTGGTAAGCAAAGTTGTCCATGTGATCGAGGAAATTTGGGTCTATGTGACTAGCGACTGTCACTCAGAAAGACAGATAACCAAAATATCAACACTCAAAGATAGTTATGACCATGATGACAGAGCAAATGTACTTTCATAAATAGCCTATGTACCCATGTTTGTTCTGTTTAACTGTTTATTGAAAACCAGAGTTAAATTGATGACAAAATGCTAGAAAAGCAAAATTTGAGGATTTTTTTTTATGAATGTTGGTTATCCAACTTTTCCCAAAATGACGATAATTTTCCGAATTTGCATGGCCCCACCCCAGTCCCAAAAAGTGGTGTGAGAGCCCTGGACTCACTTCCACAACAACTCATTGCTCTAGTATACTACCAGAACTAGTACAGAGCTACTTTTTATTACCTATACATAAACTATAGCCTATACTATAGAATATTACATACAGGCATTTTCTTAAGTTTTTAATCATGTGAAAGGTTTTATTCACAACATACGGTTGTGTATGATACACAACCGTATGCTGTGCATAAATTAAAACCTTTCACTTGATTAAAAACTTAAGAAAATGCCTGATTACAAGTAACAGGACTTTTCAATCAATTAAATAAACAAGAATAAAAACATTAAACTAATCAGTTTTGTGAGAATACCTGTTATCAAAAGATTTGGACCATGTGGTCTTTTTGCCAATGCCATTTTTTCATAACCGGAAATGATGATTGAGAGTCTAAAGGAGAGAAAAAAAAAGACAATTATTATCCGGGTTTTAATCCTTCTTTATAATGAAAATTCCTTCTCTGACATTGTCCCTCTGTAGAAAACAACAAGATATGAGTATATTAAAGAACAAAGAATATTGCACTTACTTGCCATAATGCATGGTGATACAATGTACTGATTATAATTATATCTCAAGGCGAATACAATATAGTACAACTTGATTAGTAAACACTGTTACGTTCCGAATTTCCTCCAATTAAACTGACTGTCATGAAGAGACTGATTTGAAAAATGAGGGTTCATACACACTTAGACGACAAGTCAGGTAAAAGTATATCTTGATTATGGAGTAAAATATACATTGTTTATGAAATGAAATTAATATAAAACGTAAATCATATAAATTTAACATAATGTTGCAAAAAAGTAATTTTACAAAATAAAAAAAGGATATGTACTAAATTATTTTATCATTGCTCTTAAAGTTACTGATTTATGTTTGTTGTATAATTAAAATACGACAAATTAAGTACAGAATAGAATAGAATAGATTTATTCCAGATCAGGGCCCTTGTGGGCATATTACATACATGATTATTAAACAGAGCATATAATAGTTATTAATAAGATGTGATGTGTTCTTAGTACATGTATATACTTAATAATTTACACATGGTTCATAATTGAAATAATTGCTAACATGTGAACTTTAAATACATATTGTAATTAAAAATATATAAAGAAGTACACCGTGTACCATAATGCAAAAAACAGAGATATACATACACAGAAATGAAAAATATATATATAAATATTTTTTTTTATACATACCAACACATACATACATACACGTATATATACATGTCCACACACATACATACTGAGTAGCTATATTCCACTAAATTGCAAAAGATACCACGGGACAGTGCATTGGTACTTTATAATTCACCATGTTTTGTTTGCATATCTTATGAACAAGTAATATTTATTAAGTGTTTGAAGTATACAAATTTTTTTTAATTTCTTAGATTTGTAGAAGACACACTTTATTGCACCCTTGATCAATTAACAATAACTTCACTATACATTCTTTTTTTTTTTTTTTTTTTTTTAAATTTAGTACATACAGTGTTTACATGCACCTATTATTATTATAAAGAGAAATAACATTATATGCATCAGTATTTTATATGGCTTGTCTAACCAGTTCACAAACAGCTGAAAGTACTTCAATATTTTCACAATTTAGAACCCACAACAACTTATTTTCATTATTTAAATGAGAAAAATTGATACAGTGTCTTTGTATAACATTAATCATATTTCTTTCTGTAACAAAACTCAAACATTCAAAAAGTGTGTGTTTTTCATCTTCAATAACATTCATTGAGCATTTAGTACAAAGTCTCTGATCTCTAGGAATGCCAAAGTACCGGCCTCTTTCAATTTGTAAATGTGAGAAGATGTACGCAACCTACATATTAATTTTCTTTGTTCAAATGGCAGGCACAGTAAATTTTTCAAGTCCAAAATTTGTTTTAATCATAACATAATAACACAGTTTATCTTGTAACAATCTAATATTCCACTCATTCATGTAGTATGAAATTAAATGTTTTTTGCATTTTATCTTGAAAGTTTACAATTTGTTAGACAAAATATCCTTATTAACGTTTATCATTTCTGCAATTTTACTATATGTTCCATACCAAGATGGTATACTGTTACTCCAATTAATCTTACTTTGAGAATATGCTGCTCTCAATAATGGGAATGACATATCTAGACATTCTAATCTATGGACATAATTCAAAATACTTTTTATAATATCAAAATGAAGGGGGAAAAAGCTCAGATAATGAGGAGAAGTTTGCACTTTTCCTATGCAAAATATATTCTTACAAAATTTTAAGTGTATTATCTACTTCAACTTTAAAAATATTATACAGAGAGTTTGGAGGTTTTACGAAAAATACTTGGTCGATTAATGTTCCCCCATAATGTTCCCCCTATATTTCAAATATAGCTCGTAAATACTTTTTTTGCATGTATCTGATAATCAGTGTATAGACCTGTAGACCTATATATATGACATTGATCTGATGTATCATATCTTAGAAATGTAGACTAGTGAAGTTCCAGTAGACAGATTATGGGGACAGATCAGAAAACTGTCGTCACTGAAGTTCTGAAGAAGAGACTCTCAGAAGACTTCCTGGCAACAGATTTAAGATGGAGTTTTTTCGTCGCAGCACTGTACAGTTACAGATTTGAAACAGTGCTGAAGCCTTTTCCGCTGCAGTTTTTAAATGAGAATGGAGAGAAAGATATGAAAAAGCTTGTGAGTTGTTGTTATGTGTCACATATCATATATGTATATATATAATTTATGGCAAATGGGTATATAAATTTGTTTCTGGTATATAAACTGTAGTTGCAGAACTGCAGCTCTCCGAAAAAATAATTATTGACAGACCGGAGAGCTACAGTGCCACCCATTAAAAAAACTGTATATTTATTGCGCACAAAAAAGTGTGCATGGTTCTGGATTAATTCTTCCAAATTCTTACCTCAATTGCAAAAAAAGCTAGATTAAAAAAAATTCCTTACTCTTCTATCAAGTACTCTCGTAGTTTACATCTGTTCGAGCGTGTTGGACCGAATTATCTTGCCAACCAAAATAGCAGTATAAATGGGCAAAATTTTCGATGATCTCAATTTCAGGGCCAGGAGGGCTATTAAAAACAATTGTAAGGCATGTTTTGTTGTGGAAACAGTGAAAGAATATGGTAGGAACACAGGATTAGTAATTTTTTTAGATGTAAGTTTTAAAAACATGGAGAAATAAATCGAGAAACAGCGCACTTTTTTGTGCGCAATAAATATACAGTTTTTTCAATGGGTGGCACTGTAGCTCTCCGGTCTGTCGATAATTATTTTTTCGGAGAGCTACAGTTCTGCAGCTATTTTAACTGTAGATAGTTTTCGATAGACCAGAATTTAGCGAGAGTTATTTCCCGGCTTGGCCGCTATACTGGAGGTCCAAATGCTCATATTCCTTCATTGTTCAACCAAACTAAAATTTTTATATTTGCAATTTTGAATTAGAAATCATTATTTTTCTGAAGTATATAAATTTTTGGAAGCCTCCTTTATTTAAAAAAAAATATTTATTAAAGATTTTCCACCAAATATTTCTGCTACAACTTCTTAAACTTCAAGGTAAGACAAAGAGGGGAAATCACAGAGTCAACCTCCAATATGGTGACCAATCTACTTCTTCACTGTTGAATCAAATTAGACTAAGTATCAATATAGTGAATATACCCAGTTAAATTGGTATGTACAGTATCAGACCTAAACCCTACTTTACAGTGGAAACAAATCTTAATTTCCTATATCATTACAGGAGAGGGTGGTGGATAAGGTACCCAAATTAAATCAGCTGGAATTCAGTAATAGTGAGGTACAGGACTTACTGACATGGGTGACAGACACCAAAAACTTCTCTATTGTGAAAACGGAGTTATCAAAGGTAACTACATTTAAAAATTATTTTCAGAATTTTAATTATTAAACAAGTGATTACTGTAAACAGTTATATCCTTCCTGTTCTATACTAAGTAATGAAATTCTGAAACATTCACAAAAACAAGCACTATGCATTCTTAGTTCCATGATGCATCAAGTATATTTCTTGGTACCTAGCTTCATTGTAACAGCTAAAAAGTACTGATATTTGATGAAAACCCATTGCATACCGGGTATATTTTTATTAAAAATTTGCTTATTTAAAATATGATCGTGATAACTCTTAATCACTTGTCATTTGTGTATTTATCAACAGTTTGAAGAAATCCAGGCAATGACAAAGGACAGTGGTGTGTCAGCAGTGAAGCCAAATTTTGTCTTTGAGGTGAACTACTCACAAGGTGCTGATGCTAAATTTCAAGATCTCAGAAAAGGGAGAGAACTCTTATATGCCTATCACGGCAGTCGACTGGAAAACTTCCACTCTATATTGCACCATGGATTAGCCTCTCATATGAATAAGGTAATGCATCATGCATAGTTGCAAGCCACAGGTTGACTCCCAATTGTAGTAGAGTGAATATGGACTCATGGCTTGCAATAAAAATGCTGCATGTAAAGTATTCTTTGCACATTGCATAGACTTTGTGTGAATTTATGCATATTCTGTTCTTTATATAAACACCTGAATGCTTTTCATAGGTTGGTGTGTTTGGGGAGGGGACTTACCTCTCCAGTGAACTCTCTGTGTCCCTTCACTACAGCCCCATGGGGAGGAGCTGGGAGAGAAGCAGCCTCGGGGACAAACTCAGCTGTGTGGCTGTCTGTGAAATGATTGATCATCCATCTGTAAAATGTCAGGTCAAGGACAGTAAGTACCGAAAGGTCAAGGACTGCAAAAAATAACAAATTTGATGATACAATTCTTTTAAACCAAATAATACAGCTTAGGAGAAATATTCAATGTTAAGAAATAGGTTTCCATTGGATAATTTTAACTTTTATGACCTTTTCTAAGGGAGATATGTGTCAAAAAATCTTAGGAGTTTATAGTTCATGTTTGAAGGTTAAAGCGATAAAAGATAAGATTCTTCATCACTTTACAATCTGCAAAGGAAGTCATTGCAATAAGACTTGTCTCATGGTTCAAAAGAAAATGTATTATTTGTAGACAACAACAGATCACGTGCTGGTGACAGCATGGCAGGAAGGGTTCCAGACAAATACTATGTTGTCCAAAACAATGAAGTGATCCGAGTCAAATACCTCCTGGTTTACTGCCAAAAGTCTGTCAGTCAAAGGTTAACTTTTATCTATTCACCGAGAAAATATCACATCAGCTAAAACTGATGACCAGCATTCATTACAGAGGAATCTTTTATTTTGAACTTTCATATGAAGCATTAAGAAAAGTTTAAGGACTTTCAAAGGAACAGAATTAACTGATGCACATCTTCTTTCAGGGGATCGACATCTGCCATTAGATCCTGGTGCTTCAGACACAAGTTTTTACTGATGATGATAGTGTATGCACTCATCCTAATCATTGTTGGACTCGCCAATTCAAAGACTTTCCGCTATCAACTCAGAAAGTTTGGCATGTTCAAACAAAGATGATGAAACATGACTAATAATTTTTCCTGCTTAAATAGTATTACAAGTAATCTTTCCTTTTTAATGCAATTGCTGATTGTATTGTTCAGATCACTGGCATTTATCTCAAGCATTTATAGTATTGTGGACATTAATGAAGCATTTATATGTAAATCGTATCTTGTCAATCTCTACCACTTTTGTGCTATACTTGTACATTTTTTTTTACCGATTGTGTATCAAACTTATTGCATGTGAAACAGATTGCATGCATTTTCAGCTATTTTTAATAATCATAATGTAATTAATTGAGAAAAAAAAATTATACTCCAAATCCAGGGAAATCAGAAATCTACAATATAAAAGGTTCATTCTCTATAAGGCCATTTTCCGGCCTACGATAAAATCACTTTTAAATGTAATTTTTAATATAACTATTATCATTCTAGTTCATGATTTTGAGGTTTGTTTTTCAACATCGATCATCTAAGTCACGTGATTTAGAAATAAAAAATGGCTGTCAGTTAAAGAAAAATTGAGGGTAGGTCTATTTAAATTAAGTTTGTATGCATAATTGTGAATGTAAATGATTAAAAATTGTTTATTTATGTCGGAAATACACCAGACCTAAGTAATAAATTCGAAAATTCATTAGATATAAGGTTTAAGATACTTTTTATGACAACAATTCCAATACATCCAGATTTTGCATATTTTGAACGAAAATCTTTAGCAAAATCACACTGAATGATGCTGAAATAAGTTTGATTTGCAATTTATTGAAAAGTATTACATCATAAATAATTACATTGTAAGTTTATATCATATCTATAGAGGTGGTACTTATTTTACGCATAAAATAACCATTTTAGAAACGAGGTTTCTAAATTTCTATTGAACTGTAAAAGTTATGAATCAAATGTTGAAAGTACTTAATGGATTTTGATTGTGATTAAATAAATTTGAAGTTGTAATTAAGAAAAGAAATTCAACAATTGCGAAAAGAATAAAGAATTAACAGCATAAGAATCAATGAAAGTACTTGTTGAATGTTCATGTAAATAGTCAATACAAATAACTCAGAGCGGTTGCATTAAAATATTCATCTCTAAGTAAAATGAAATAATGTTGAAAATGAATTTGCTTTTATTCAATTACTCCTGTTGCACGATACATTCAATTGAAAATTTCATAAATTTTATGTATTTACATGTATAAAAGATGATAACCCCCCCCCCCCCCCGTTACCCCCTCTCCCCTGTGCCTAACGGCACAACAGGAAATGGAGCAGAATTTTAACATTTTCTTTAATTAACCATGCATATCAAATTCTGAAGTTTTGGTAAACACTAGTATACGTACTTAAGAGTTCTACAACATCCCAGGTACAAAATGGACCCTTAGGGATTCATGCTCCTTTTCCACTCTTGTAACCTGTAGGTTAAATTCAATCTCTTTCACAGTGAAGCGTCAAAAACTTGTTTAGCACGGATAGAGACAGTTCCATATCTTTAGTTTTTAGCATTTAAAGTAAATGAATGGTCTTTTTTTATATTATCTTTTTTAAAAAATAAAAAGGTCCCGTCCCACGCTGGGCGTTGATTATTAATACAACTATGCATTTATAAACACTTGACCTGAAGTGAATGATTCTTTATCTGGTTGAAAAATCCTTAAATGGCCTATGGGATAAAGCAACATTCAACTACGGTATATCAATCAAATATTGTATTTAGGAATCCCTTTCCTCCTCACCAGTTTATTTTCTAAGACAGGACTAATGTTATCGTTACTTGTATCAATGATATTAAAGAAGTGAGATGAATAAATTGAGTCCTATAAATATTAAGACCCAGTTAACAAAATATGGATCATGATACTCGTACTGAAGTGTCCATATAAACATTAAGTGTATACTAGTACCCATAGGAAAAAAGTCTTATAACACAATTAATAAAATGCATGTTACCGCTTCAACAAAGATTACTTTCATAATTTCTAGAACATATACATTATTCATAAGAAAAAACAATTTAGAATATATGGAGTTCTTAACGGAATTCAAAGATAGCAGATATAGATTTACTAAACTATCATTATAAATATAAAAGATACTCCTCATATTCACACTTTTAATTCTATTAAAAGTTTTTATTTCTTAATTTTTATCAGACATTTCAAAGAAACGTCTCCACTTGTATTTTCATGACATCCAGTCTTCTCAGTCAATTGATTTTTAAATTTTTAAGTTAAAAATTCACTTTTCTTTAAAATAAATATGCATGGCTTATATAAATCTGAGTAAATCAACAGAAAATTGTACTATAGCTGAAAGCTTATAAAAAGAAATAATCTACATAAGCTGATATCCTTCATTGTGAGTAGTTAGCTTTTTTGGCAAATATAGTAAAAATAAAGTGAAAAGTTTTTATTTAGGTGTCGTAACCACCTTTAACCAAACTCAAATTTTGGTAGTTACTTTTTATGCTTATAAGAAATTTATATGCAAATTTTTGTGTTGGTTAAAGGTGGTTAAGACATGTGTAGGAGTTATCTAACACAGCCACCCTCTTGAGTTTTCCCATTACTCTAATGCTAATACGGACCGATGGTACCTTACTTTGTGACCCTATATCATTAAAAATACTTTTGTATCATTAACCAACCAATATTTATCATAAACTTGGAACATAAGCCTAGTGATCCATTCAATTTTTTAAGGAAAAAATACTATTTGAAAATTTGAAGTCATTGTAGGCCGCAAAACGGCCTTATAGAGAATGATCCTTTATACACTTTGTAAACAAATTACACATATCAGGGATATACAGGCATTTTTGTTGTTTGTTCTTAAATCTGATTGTCCTGTTTCTAATTTGGGAAATAACATTGTAATGGGAGAAAAAAAATGGAAAATTCAAACCAGGCACCAAGATTATTGCAAACACTTTTATGTGTCAATTTACTTTTGAACTTCTTAACAAATCATTTTCATGAAGAACTGCAACATAGCTTTAGATTATCCCCAAACTCTCATTTATTTTTGTAAAATAAAAGAAGTTTCCCTGCAAAGCAAGACCTTTTCCTTTAATTGTTGTAACTTTTCATCAAGACAGTCTGTTCAAACTACTTATATTTTTTGTCAAATACAAGTTTTAGAAATCCATTGATTTTTGATCTCTAAACTACTTCATAGCTTTTATTATAATTTTTTGTAGTTTTATTGAATTTGATGCCCCAGTTGCAATAAATAACTTGAGGATTTATCAGTAGAATTGTACTGGTAAATATATTAAAGGTGAAAATATAACAAATCCAGTCTACAAATGTTTTTGCTATACACATGTACATGTTAAGCTTCTTGTAATTTATTACACAAAGCAAACTTGGAAAACATTTTTATTCAATAAATATATAAATCAAATACATGTATCTTGATATTTAAAATAACAGTAAAAAATGCATAGCTGACAAAACTCACTGTTGATCTGGAAGACCATCAAAGTAAAAATAGTGCTGAGCAATCATGTGACACAGGTACACATACTTTGTATTAAAGCTTCCATTTATTTACACATCCTTATAAATCTATGTGTTTTTATTAATAAAAGATTGCATAATAAATACATGTACAATATCAGATGCTCTTTCTTATCCCTGCAGGGTCACAGAAACTTTTTCAGCATTTTAGTTGTTCACAAATAAAGTGTAGTCTGTGTCTTTTTTTTTTCAGAGAGAAGAACAACTTACAGTATCTACCTGGTAGATCGACGATATCATTGAATCTTTGAAAATGTCTGAGTAATCAAAATAGCTGGCAGTTACTCGAGATAACTTGTGTACTACACAAATCGCTGATCATCACTTTAAAAATGTACATGTGTAATTCAAATAAGTTTAAATCATTTGATTGAATATATGTCAGATGCAGCACATGATATAAACTTGTTTTTTTTCTCCATTGCATCATTCAGTTTGGTTGATGAAAATGATTAATATTTTGTTTGATAACATCCTGATTTTTTATCTGAGTACAATGACAAGTTTCTGTAGCACTTTAAATGTTCATATGGCAGTCATTTACATTTCACCTATACTTCTGAATTATTAGAAGAGATAGATATATGCGGCCACTTAATATACTCTTTTCTTTCAAATTCATACTCTTTTAAAATACAGATCAATGTAAATTTTCAGTATGAATTCCGATATCATCCTCTACCCAGCATTCCATGGACAGGTTGTCACTTTTATTAAGATCCTCGAAATTTTCCATTCCCCGGAGATCCTGGGCTGACGAAAATTCTTTAAATATTTTCCTGGAGAAAAAACATTAATCAATTATCATATGAATATGAACAGCTTTGAAAACAAGTATGTGTGTCTTAAAATTATGAGAATATTCTGGATAATGAGTTTAAATGGTGTTTATCATCATGCTAAATACAATTCACATTTAATAAAAAAAAAAACTGGCTAAAAATAACCAGTTCAAATATATTTCTGTTAAAATTATAAATGACATGGTATGGTTATTGTTTTCATTAATATATTCCAATTATTATCTCATACTGTAATATTTAAATGTATATGATAATTACAATATACACAGTCATGTATATGAACAAAACATATGATGTTGTTAGTAACTGCAAGGATTTAAATATTACTTCTTTTTAATTGAATACCTGTTTTAGCAGATAAATGAAATTCACTCTCTTTAGCAGTTTTAAAGTTTCTTTTTTTTATTAGTTTATCAATTAAGTTTTGATAGGTTACATAAATATACATTGTAATCTCTATACCAGAAGTCAGAATGCATTTTACACAATATTTAAAAGCTGTCTGCAGCATTCAATATGGAGTGCATGGTAAACTCATTAGACACTCTGACAGTGAAGAAATCTTTACAACACAGATATATATTTAACATACAAATCAAAATCAAAATAATATTGAGTTATAATAACTGTATAACCAATCAATAGGCAGATATATGTCATGCAAGCACAATAGATAAGCGAGTAGCAGGGGGAGATAATTAGGAATTATCTGCTCTATACTTGCCATTCTCTACAGCTCAAGTACAAAACTTAAGAAAATAAGAAAGCACAATAAATGTCAGTTAAGTTTAAGCTATGGTTTTAGCTGCTGTGTATTCAAATTCATTTAAATTGAATGAATCAATTTTATGACACAATTCTTGTGTAGATCTATATAGCGATACATATAGCCTACCAGACACAAAAACTTCTCTCTTGCATTTATTTCTTAAGTCAGTTTGGAAGAATTATACTTTATAACACCTAAAAATTATATGATACTCCATAAACCATTCAAATGAATTTTAAAAAATGCTACAATTGTCATTCTTTTTAAAGAAAAAAGGGAGAAAAAAATAACATCCATTGAAATTGTCAGTTGTTTGTTTTCAAGTCAAACCACAAGCTAAGATATGCAAAAGTTTCATCTGCTTCCTATAACCCATGATACAGGAGTGAGCACTATTTCCAACATTGGTACTTCACAGTTATGAATAAATTTTGGTGCTTACCTTGTATTTAGTACATAGTATTTTCACAATTAACATACTTCACAGAATATTTAACTTTCATGTTAGATTAAATTTAGAGTGGAAACAAGGATTGTCATCTGTTCAGTGTTCAAAAGAATTAACATCGTGTGAAAACTACTGGCAGTAGAGTGAACTCAAAATTAGCACATTTTCTACATTCTAATTAATTCTAAATTTAAATCAGCTTTCACTACAAAAAAGTGTGAAGACTTAAAATAAAAAAAATCCACTCAAAAGGCAGAAAATATTGTGCAGCAATTCTCAACCATCTATATACATACAACTACATCCACAGTTCCCAAGTCGTCAATGCCTGGCCTGAACAAGCAACAAAAAAATTGTACCGTTATGTTCCCACTTAAGCAAACAAAAGAATGAAAAAAATACTCCACCATTAAAGCTTCACTAGATTTATCTATAGTAAGCGTGTTGGGGAAAAAATTATTAAGAATCCTCATTTCTTCTACAGTATATAGCAAAAATAAGTATTTAATGCCAAAAAAACAATGATTAAAGCAATATCAGTAATATTCCATGTTACTGTTTTTCTCCCATGAACCAGTAAAATACTGATTCAAAGAAGAGAAATATTTATTAAGGGTCATGCAAAGCTTGTCAATTTTCTGCTTTTGGGAATAAAGGGGAACCATTTATGACCAATATTTTAACCAACAATATCCTTATATTTTATACATTGCTTCATGCCTTGGGAATTTGATTTATTACCTCACAGCTGATCAAGTTGTGGTATTGAAAAACTAACAGTCATCCTTAAAAGATAGTTTGACATGTCAGATATTGGTACATGTATCTTATCTGGTTAAATTCTGTCACTATGAGATGAAAGAAACAGAAAAATGAGGGGAAAAAACTTAAAACTGGCATTTATGCATTATAATAATGTTAGACTGAGAAGTGTGTGTAAAAATACAAACCTTTTTCTTCCAAAAAAACTCTTAATGGACCCAAACTTGGTCTTTTTCTTCACTTTGGACACATCCTCTGTGGATTTGGAGATGTTTTCATTTGATCCCTTGCCAACTTTATCCTTTCTTTTTGGCATATACAAGGGGATTTTGGTGTCTTTCGCCAGAGCTTTCAGGTTCTTTCCATCTGTGGGGGTGACAGGAGGGGATGGAATCTTGGAAGCTGAGGGCATCTGGTCTAAATTTGGATAACTTAATCGACCACTAGGAACAGGCAATTTCTTGGAAGTTTTGTTGGGACTCTTTGGTGCTGGACCACTAGGAGTTACAGGATCTGAGGAAGGTCGGCTGGCAGATTCAGCGTTTTGATGGCTGGGCCTCATTGATATATTTTCTGTAGCTTTCACATCCAGTTTCAGTCCATTCTTGTTAATATCAGCTGAGGTTTTCATACCCTCTCCCTTAAATGAATGGTCCTCCTCTGAAGGCTTTTCAGCCTGCACATAAGAGTTCCTCTTATTGTCTATGTACTCATTAGCATCAATTTCAAACAGCTGCATGTCCCTTTTCTTATTTACAACACCAGTTGAGTTATCAGATGGGGCTGGCACCAAGTGTTCAGGCTTCAGCTGCTTGCTGCCTGCAGCTTCACTTGAATTTTTTCTTTCCACTGATAATTTTGAGGATGTGTCTGACAATCGAGATTTTTGAGATTCATTTCTCCTTGGACTAGGAAGAGGTTTTTCTCTGCGCCCCTGAGGAACCTCAGAGGTCACATTCTTGACCTTGACCTCTGGTAGAACTCTTCTTTGATGATAGTTCTCATAAGGATTGTCATGTTGTTCCTTTACTGGACTATTATGAGAATGAAAAGAACCAGATAAATTCCTCTCTTTATCATAGTCTTCCTCATCATCCTCATCACCATAGATACCATAGTCCTCCACAATCTTCTGCTGAAAGGCAGGTCGACTTGACTGAATACCATTGTATGAGGAGGTGGCAAATCTGTCCTCAGCAGGTCTTCCAGACTCGGAGGACATACTGAGGGGCTGGAAATACTGCTCGTTTTCTTCTCTATGACTACTGTCCCTGTCCCTCTCTGCCAGCAGTCTCTGGAGAGACAGGTGAAGCTCGTTCCTGGCCCTGCCCTCCCCTGGATGATCTCTGGGGGAGTTGAGACTTGTCCCTTGAAATGACCAGTCCTCTAACATCTGGTCTCGTCTTTCACTCCCCCTGTTCGTGAAATCAATGGAACTTGCTGGTCTGGCCCTACCCCTCCTAGTTGATGGAGGGGGTCTCAGATTCTCCTGCTCATCAAAGGCTGGCCGACTTGGAGTGCTGGAAAATGGGAAATGTGGAGTGAGAGGGCGAAGATAGTTTGAACTTATTGCACTCTTTGGGTTATCAGGTCGCCTTCTTATTTTAATTCTCCTTGGAGGTTTCTCAGGACTACGAATTTCTGGAACCTTGGCCTGTATTTTTGACAGAGAAGAATACATCTTGTGTCCTGATTGATAAGGCAAGTAGACACTGCTCTCTTTGCTCGTATTCATGAAGTCAACATATTCCTGTGAGGATAAATCAGGATGACTTCCGAAAGTATGATGAGAGTGAGAAGGGACAGACACTGGGCGGTCCCTATACCCCTGTTCTTCCCTCTCTCTCCTCTCCCGCAACACTTGAAGGACATATCTGTAATCAAATATTAATAACACTTAAGATAATGCAAAGACATGAAAAGCGATGAATGCATTTCCAATGACAACTAAAAAGCAAAAAATGTTGATGTTTTTTTCAGAATAAAACAATTATTTTTACCATTGAATAAAAGTATTGGTATAATAAGGATGTTTGAGAATTTGATAAGGAGCTAATACAATACCTCCTAGTGGTGTTTGGTGAGGCTGGATGACGACTCTCATCCTCCTGAATCCCACTGTCCCGCGCACTGGACACCTGATTAGCTTCAGCGCTGCTCCCACTTGAACGAGATCGCATCGAATTTCCACTCTCTCGAGACCTGACAGAGAAAAAAAAAATGTCTATGTTCAGTCAAAATACTTGTAGTATGAACTAAACACAAGATGCAGAGAACCTTGAATGGCATTTATAAATGTTTATACTGAAAATGTTACAAACTAAAAAAAAAATTGCCTCCAATTTGTAAAATTGCCAACATGTTGCAAAATAGGATAATAGGGGGTACACATTTTTATATGAGGACCACAAATTGAATGTTATACCTGGAAACATTCAGGAACTGGGAGGCATGCTCAATGTCATTATTCATGATGTAGAGGAAGCTTTTGAGGCTGTACAGGGCAGCCTCCAGATACTGTCTGTCTGGGTGATCCACGGCTGTATGCTTTAACAGGTTCTAAATAACATTAAATTAAAATATATTAGTTCACAGTACATCTTTGTTTTCATCATGTTCCATTAATCGAAGTTGAATACTTTTTTCACTATGATGATGTTATTTTGAGTCAGGCTTTGTTTTCTCTAACGTACAGTAACAATTCTTTTCTTTGCCAGAATCTCTAAAGGAGTGGTTTTGAATATCTAATAATATAATGAAAGGAATCTAATTTAAAAGTTACCTTCAGTAATAATGAGTATTTTGGTATTTGTTGTAAAGGTTCCAACAATAGTGGTATGACATTTGAAGATGCTAAATTTGAACTCTGGAAATTAAAAATCAAAATCTGCATTAAGTTTAAAGTCATTAATACTTGCTAAAGAATAGATAAAATCACATTTTAAGCAAACAGAGCAATTTGACATCCTTCTTCAATTTAAATTTTTTTTCTGTTTATTCACTTACCCCCATGAGAGATTTGAAGTGAGGTGATTGTGAAAACCATTGATTCATGTTATTGATGATAGAGGGAAAGTCATTAATGTATTCTTTATATAAAGACAATCCTTCTCCCTGCAACAGTAAAAACAGAACTCAGATTTAACAGATAAATAAGACAAAATATAGACTGAATTACAGTTCCAATTTCAATAAAATTTGCTTCAAAATAAGAAAGTTCAGTTTAATATCCAAAGTAATTACTTCCAATATACATGTATATATATATATATATATATATATATATATATATAAAAACAAATCAAAAATGCTTTAAAATTTAGGTATGCTTATACAGCTCATCTATACTCATTCTGTTTGCATATTCCATGTTTTTAAATTCAAAAAATCCCTTCTCTCCACAAGAACACTTACGTCTTGCTTCTCCAACATTTTGACAAAGATGTCGCCTAACATGCCAGAGATCTTCCACTTCACCAGTCTCTCTTCCATCTTATGAAGCTGTAGACAATGCTGTTCATACATCTGGGGGATGTAGGAGGGGATGAGGGCAGATAACTCCCTGGGGGTCATGATTTCAGCCTGTCTGAGGGGGTTCATGTAAGCATCAATCAGGGTCCACAGCTGAGAGCAGTAGGACCGCTCGGCTTCCACAATCTCCTGGGCCGCCTTCTCTCTTTGTACTGAAGATAAACACAGGATCATCACAGGGATTCATAACTGACATTGATTTATATTTCACAGTAAAAAATGAATTAAAATGATTTCAGCTTTTCCCTTTTTCATACCAAATACTGTGTTTCTGCACTTGCTTTTCTGTACTATTAAAACATCTTTTATATCACTTGCATTCAATATGTATATTCACTTAAAATCTTATACCATTTAAATCAATAGAATTTCTATTTCATAAATATAAATTAACTTTGACAACAGATGTTATCAGTTTCAATGTATTAATAAGTTAACAGAAATTATTTCAATTGACCATATTAGTAGAGAAAATTAAAGTGAAAGTAAGATTAAGTGAGGCATGAATCACCATGGTTACCTTCTTCCACCACCCTTTCATGGAGAGGTAGTTTCCTTGGATGAACATGTTTATCATCAAGGTAATCTGTGAGTTTAAAAAAAGTAACTGGATACAGTGATGTGATAATGGTGTCAAGGTAAAACAAGTTCAAGGTCAGAGGACTTAATTTACAACTTCCTTGTCATTTTACATTGCATTAGCAAATTTTAATTTTAATTAATGTAGTAATGCATAGGTAAATTTTAATGGGAATATACTGGGGCTAAAATAAGCAAATTTCATTGAAAATACATGCAACACAAATTTGAAAAAAATAACAACAGATTGCCAGGACACAGACACATGATTATGTATAAAATGACAGCACTGGAATTTTGATACTTGATGTGATTTTGTTACTGTAATAGGGATCTATTATTAGCATATATTGCTCAAGAGATTTTGATCAAAGTGTGTTTGTTTTCCTAGAAATAAGATAAGTATTTATCAGATATTCCTATATTTTAATTCTGGGGCATTAGTAGTTCAATATTTTTATGAAAAAGTAAACTGTCTAAAAATGTGGATTCTAAGTGACATGATACGTGCACATTCATCCCAAGGTATTACTGTAACCCTGAACACCAAGACTAAAGCCAGTGTTAGTGGAGTACTTACAGCTTCCTTCTTTGTCCAAAAAGAATCCAGAATTCTGTAATGTAATTAAAAGAAATAAAAGTAAAATCAAAATCACTTACGAATCATGTGTATGTTGGCAAATGACACATTAAAGTATTTCTTGCTTAAAAGATCAAATGAATACAGCTAGAGAGGTTTATGTTGGATAATAAATAAGGCAACCAATTCTTTTACTTGTACAAAAAAATTAATTGAATTTTTAAGAAATGAATGCTGGCCATCTCTACCTGTAACAATACCGCTGAGAATTCAACATCTACATTCTTTGATATACCCAAAACCTCTTTACCAAATTTTGTTTAATGTTGAAGCAAGAATGAAACACAGACATAAATTTATCTTTAAATACTGATCATGATGCTAAAGAAGACCAGCATAGCTGCTTATATTACCTGCAGGTTTCTAAGTGTTCCGTATTACCTGCAGGTTTCTAAGTGTTCAGTATTACCTGCAGATTTCTAAATGTTCAGTATTACCTGCAGATTTCTAAAAATACTGCAGATTTCTAATGTTATGAAAACCAGCAAAAAACACTTGTATTACCTGCAGATTTCTAAGAGTTTCCTCCTCATCACTGGAGGACAGTTCCAGGTGTAGACACTTCTCGTGGAGAGCTTGTGATAGATTGAGGCTCTTACAGGCCAGGGCAGTCACCGAGTGGGTATCACAGTCTTCTGAGGCTAAACAAAGTGTAATGTCAAAGAAATCAATTCTTGTATTCTTCATTTTTTTTTGTATTTTCAACACTGAAATATTGCAAATCATATAGGCAGTGAATAAATGATAGTCTATCGCAGTGTGATAGAATAAAAGAAAAACAGCAAAACAATAACTCTTGATTTGTCTTTTCTTTATGAAGAATGTTGTAAAAATATTCCCTGGCCTAGTTATCATAAGATAGATTAAATAAACCATCCCAAGATAGGCTTAAACTGCCAAAGTTTTTTTTCAAATATGTTGTTAAACTTTATGTTTATAATGTTTTCAATTTCAAAATTTCTGAGCTATGAAGTCTCAACTGTTCTCAATAAGATCAAGCCAATGAATTAAACAGTTACAAAAAGAGAAAGGGAAAATCAAAGAAAATGCAATAAATAGAAATTACAACATTTTATAGTTGGACATGGAATTTATTTCATTTGTGAGAATCAGATTTTTTTCTATCTCCACTTGTGCTTTGCACTCTAGAAAATATCAGAAATCCTGTTCCACCTGTGAAATAAATTCCATACATTGAATATCTTCTGTTTAATACTTTATCTGATTTTACAAGACACTTATCCTGACTTTAATAAATAAGTAAATAATACTTTGTTGAGTCAACTGTACCTTTACATTCAGCTTGTAGGATGATAAATTTTGTTTACTAGGAATTCAAGTATCCATGTAATTCTACCCCTCTAGGCACATATAAAATGATAGAGACCCAACACTTCAAATAACAAATCAATCTTGTTGTAGTTTTCAATGCACCCTAATGCTTACCTTGTCAAATTATGAATTCAAGGGGGGTGAATAAGATAATAGAGATTAAAAGCCATCTCTAAATGAAAAAAAAAGTTTGTTATCTTGTAGGAATTAAAATACAAAATGAGTTCTGGATTGCATTTCAAATGTACCTTAGTATTCATTCAAAATGTGACTAAATATGTTGGCATCTAGTTGCTAGACACTTCACTAAGTGTGTCCTTTCAAGAAAATCTGATAACCTACAATTCTGAAAAGAAATCCCTAACCTTCCTTATAGAAAAGAGTTTTAAATTCTTTAGTACAAATGCATTACTTATTCTTTTTTTCAGAGAGAGAGAGAGCGAGAGAGTTACCTTTTTGCTGACTGAGACTTGCTAGGTAGGGTTGAACCATAGGGAGCCACATCTTTCCGGGAAGAATCTGGTGCATGGGACTCCAATAAATGAGACCTTTCTGCTTTAAACCTATAAATAAAACCATCTTAATTAATTAATTTGTTCCAGCAGATGAAATGGTCATGTATGCAGATAACATAGGAAATGTATAAGTATCTCTCCCTTTTACTTTTGTTTTTCTAACTACATGTAAATTATAATAATACATGCTGTAAAAGATGTACCTCACTCTTCATATTTTTTTTTTCTAAGCTTTAAAATTGGACTTATAATCCCTTTTATCTTATCATAAATACTGCATTATTTTAAATAAAGCAGTACTTGTTTAGGAATTCTTCCCATTTTATTTAAAAACTTGCTTCTTTGAAAGCATCAAATGTAAGGGGAGATAATAAAAGTTTTTTTAATAATTCTTTGACAATTATTTTAAGGCTTCAAGAGCATGACATTGTTACTTGAGCTCTTTTGATACTCTTGACAAACCAGCACAGGTTATTCAAACTTCATAACCTAATGTTCACCGAATATTTCACTACAACTTGATGGAAATCTGTATTTGATAACACGGGAACTCACACGAAACACTACTATACAAGATGGGTGGGGATACACACGAAATACTACTATACAAGATGGGTGGGGGACCTTATAATTTCTGAAATATTACACTTTACATTGATGTGGATGGCTCAAAAAGCAAGGTAAACAAACATATCCTATTACTACATCTCACTAACATACAGACATAATCTAATGGACCAATCTCACTCACAAAGTACATGTACTTTAAAAACTTTGTCACTGAATTGGGTATAACTAAGGTCTTCTTCAATTAAATCTGCATAAAAGCATTTATAACCTTGTATAATATTATGACATGTCATAGGTAAAAGTGAATTATTTAAACAGTGTACTAATGTACAGAAACTTGCACAGGAAGAAACAAGACCTTTCAGTTAAAACTGAAAGACGTCTTTCAGTGACTTTTCAGTGGCCATTCAGCCACTGAATGGCACATACATTTCAGTGACCTTTCAGTTGCCTTTCAGTCACATTTCAGATACCTTTCAGTCACCATTCAGCGGACATATTTCCGTTATCTTTCAGTGACCTTTCCCTCAACTTTCAGTGACCTTTCCATCAACTTTCAGTGACTTTTCCGTCGTCTTTCAGTGACCTTCCTGTCGTCTTTCAGTGACCTTCCTGTCGTCTTTCAGTGACCTTTCTGTCGTCTTTCAGTGACCTTTCCGCCACCTTTCAGTGATATTTAATTTTAGTCTCAACTTAGCGATTTTTTTCACTAGCTTATTGATTTATAATTAATCAGATATTTTTTTTCCTTATCAATGAAGCAATATTTTGACTAAAGATTTATTATTCAATCTTATTTGTGTTTTTTACTTATCGTAATTTAATTCGTGTACCTAAAAATATGTCTAAATAATATTTTGATTTGATAGAATAAATATTTATTCAAAATGATATTTAATTTTCTAATTACATTTTGAAAACACAATTTCGTCAAGTGATAAAGAATGATGATCCGATAATGGAATCAAAAATTTACATAAATGCCGAATAACATTCTATAGTGCTTATACGTGTATAATTTCAGAGAAATATCTATTTTTGATTAATGAGACAGAATTCCTTATATACCTGATCAATTTCGTTTCTTAATTAATTGTCAAAACCGCAGGATATTTTAGCTTTTGAAAGACATCATTTTAAAAATCATTTTACATGAATAGAATAAATCATTAATACATGCCTCTCGTAGAAAAAACTAAATATTGTAGATTTTAGCTTTTTAAAATGATATTGTTACTAAGTTTCTAGATAGAGAATTTACAACGATCTCATATTTATAACTGACACAGGAACAGGTGCCCGTAGCTGATAATTGTCATCATCCCGATAGGAGATGTGTAGTAATCAGTCTGCCCCAAAAACCCGCGCAATTAACATAGAATATACAAAAGATATACAAGATATATACACATCGCAGCTCCTCGATACAACAGGTGAACCGATTGTTCCATCGATTTCTACAAATTGATTGATTTTAATTTCCTACTAGACAACAAGAAGTCGTAGCTCAATTGGTTAGGTCGCGGACATGTAAGCAGGAGACCCGGGTTCGCTCCCGGCGATGTGCGCGATTTTTTTTCTTGCATTAATTTTTCCCCCCAATTTTTTTTTATTCGGAATTAGATAAATTTGATGCTATTATACCAGAATAAAGTGAAATAATTTTTTAAGTTAAAAAATAAGCTGATTATTCAATAAAAAGATGCAAGTGAATGATGGCTGAAAGGTCACTGAAATGTATGTGCCATTCAGTCGACTGAATGGTAACTGAATGATCACGGAAAGGTCACGGGAAAGGGTCTTTTCAGCGACCTTTCAGTGACCATTCCGTGGGCATTCAGTTACCATTCAGTCGACTGAATGGTGGATTTTCATCCTGTGTTGTGTAAATTTAAAGGGATCCTTATCAAATGATAGAACTGCAAAGAGAATTTTCTTTGTTTACTTTTTCTACATGTATACTGGAGCCAGTACCTCCTTTCCCATATTTCTTTAAAATCAAAACCTAACTATCATTTCATTTTCGATTCAAATGTATCCATGAGCAAGCTCACAAATGATTCTCCCTGCAAGTTTCCACAACCCAGTTAACTTACACCTTATTGTCAATGTTAGCTTTGGACAGATAAGATTCATTAAAAATTCAGAGGTTTTAACAGAATATGTGTCAGATTTAAGCAACTAACCATTCAAAAATCTTTTTTCTCCCACTGCTATTAAATTTGTCTTTTTGTGTCAATTTAAATCATGTTTTACTCTTGGGTAATGTGCAATCTCTGTGTCAAGTTCAACACCTTATATAGAAATATCCCAGAAAAAAATTAAAGTTTGTTCTGCTGGTGTCCTTGAACTTGTTTAAATTATTTTGGTCAGTCCTACCCCTGGGTTACAAGCAACCTTTGTACTATATTTTCCTGCAAAGTTACAATAGTATGGTCCATATGAAAGTTAAGCATTTTTTTCTTGAACTTCAGCTTGCTCATAAGTTTTGACAATGACTTGATATACATGTATACCCTCTCCTCTACTCTTCTTCGTGTGAAAACACAGATACTTGTGGACAGGACCCCCCTCCCCGATTATTAATTTTCACAATAGAGGCACATTCTAATATAAAGGTGAATAATTGGTTGGTGATGAGAAAAATTCGTGATTAAAAGAAGATTGCAGAAATTGGGAATGTTTCTCGCTCGATCGCTAATTAAAGTTGATTTAAACTGTTAGATTATGTTACACAGAAAAATAAAATAACATACACTGTAAAAAAAAAAAGAGGTTGAAACAGAACACATTTTACTTTAACTCTATACTCTAGTTTTAACTAAACACTTTCGTATATTCATCCAGTTACAAACAAAACGAGGAGGAGAAAATGACACAGAATCTTGTATGGATCAGATTTACAGGGTCTTCTTGACAGTAGAAAGTCAGTGCCCCTATGTAAAGTTACTCCACTACACAATAGGTAATGTCTGATCTACATGATAACTATGGAAATAAAATCTCCTAAGAACTGCTTCATCATTCACTGGAAAGTTTGTAAACAATTTCTCCTTTCTATATACTGATTTTAAGTCTACCACATTTCCATTCAGATCAGCTTTATAATGGGTATTTAATGATGCAAAGGGGAGAAAGATATGGGTGATAAAATTAAATTCAGACCATAAAATTCTCATTTTGAAGACTGTATACAATTCATATCACTTTCTAAGCCATTCATATCATTTTCTACAGATTGACTAATATTCATATTAAGAATAAGGAATGCACAAGAATCCTTTATTAAACTAGAACTGTCCAAACGGGACAAAATACCCCCCGCTGGGTTTTTCAGAAGTAAGTTTTTCAATAATAAAGACATGTATCAAAAACAAATTATGAAATTTTTATTCCAGTGACCTTGAACTTCCCCAAATAACCTTGGGTCAAGGTCATGACACACCCTTGGGTCATGGGCAATCTTTGTGTGAAATGAGAACCTACCAAGTTTATGCATAAGAAAGATATGGACCGGACACAAATTATGAAATTTTTCTTCCAGTGACCTTGAACTTCCCCAAATGACCTTGGGTCAAGGTCATGACACACCCTTGGGTCATGGGCAATCTTTGTGTGAAATGAGAACCTACCAAGTTTATGCATAAGAAAGATATGGACCGGACACTATATATAATTTTTCTACCAGTGACCTTGAACTTCCCCGAATGACCTTTGGTCAAGGTCATGACACACCCTTGGGTCATGGGCAATCTTTGTGTGAAATGAGAACCTACCAAGTTTATCCATAAAAAAAAATATGGACCGGACAGGGAATATAAAAAAATTTCTTCCAGTGACCTTGAACATTCCCAAATGACCTTGGGTGAAGGTCATGACACACCCTTGGGTCATAGGCAATCTTTGTGCGAAATGAGAACCTACCAAGTTTATCTATAAAAGATATGTATCAAACATGATTTATGAAAATTTTCTTCCAGTGACCTTGAACTTTCCCAAATGACCTTGGTTCAAGGTCATGACACACCCTTGGGTCATGGGCAATCTTTGTGTGAAATGAGAACCTATATAGTTTATCCATATGAAAGATATGGACTGGACACGAATTATGAAATTTTTCTTCCAGTGACCTTGAACTTTAACAATGACCTTAATCAAGGTCATGACACACCCTTAGGTCATGAGCAATCTTAGTGTGGAGTAGTAGATTCTAATGTCCCTCTGTAAAAAAGATATGGACCGGACACGAATTTAAAGATTCATTCTATATATTTCTAGGTTAAACTTGGATTCCCTATTGTGGCCCCGCCTTACCCCCGGGGGTCATGCTTTTTACAATTTAATATCTACACTACCCAAGAATGCTTCCACATAAATTTCAGCTTTTCTGGCTAAGTGGTTCTTGAGAAGAAGATTTTTAAGATTTGTTCTATATATTTCCATGTAAAACTTGGATTCCCTATTGTGGCCCCGCCCTACCCCCGGGGGTCATGATTTTAACAATTTAATATCTACACTACCCCAAACTTCAGCTTTTCTGGCCCAGTGGGGAAGAAGATTTTTTAATGATATGTGTATGTAAACAGCTTGAATTTATACATTCTGCTTTGAGTATATGAAGTACATTTTCATCCTAAATAAAGCCAAAAAAATCCAACAGTAAATGTCATAAAGACTTTTCCATCATTAAGTAAATTATATATGCACTATACAGTAAAACTCATTTGGTATAGGGTGGTCCTCAACACATTCTGAACAAACCCTAGTGAACAGCTGTCTCTCAACTTTACAAATACATGAAATATCTTTAAAAAGGCTTGTTAGAGACATAAAGACCTAGAGGTCTATGATTCATCCTCCTTGATGAAAAACAATTTTCATTAATAGCTGTCTGATCTTGGCCACTTAGGTACTTAAAACATGCTGAGACCTCTGATTAACTTCATGGGATAACCTCTGTGTAAGAATTGTAAATCTGACTTTTAACTTCAATGTCACCTACTTTTCTTCCCAGGTTTTCTGTGTTGCTACAACTCCTTTTAGCTCTGTTTTGATTGAGTCTACCTCTGACTGCAAAAGAAAAAGGTTTACCTTCAAAGCCAAACGGCAATTATTAAACCAGAAATCTTTGATGAGACTGTAGCTCTACTGGTATGTACTTAAAATAAAGAAAGGTGTATCTCAGGTGTAGTACTTGTTACCAAGTCTCAATGAAATTTTAACAAATTTAATATAAATTTCTTCTTTTTTTTTTTTTTTTTTTTGTAAGTATGGAAACACTGTCAAAATCAAAAATGGCCATGGATAAAGAATTTTAGATCTTAGTTTATTCAACTAATATACATCTAACTGAAAGTGGACCCAAGCTGTAGGAATAGCATTTTGATTTTTAAAAATTTTTAACAGACATATGAACAAACAACATACACCAGAAGAGCTAAAAACTGCAAGTTTAGAAATATAGGTATTCATACTAAGTCTTCATTTTCTAATAGTCTATAGATATATTCCAAATGTATAATTTATTATGCTAAATTATATTTTATATTTTCTCTAGAATTCAGAATGATTGTCAGCACTTTTACTGTGATTGAAAAAATGATTAATTTATCATATTTTAATTTTGTTAACTATATTAAACACCTTAAAACATTTACACCAAAAAGTTAGATTAGCCTAAACTAAGACTTTTTCATCATATAACCCAGTGATACATCAGTAAATGACTCAATACACATGATGTCCAGTATTGACCTTGAGACTTCTGACTAGGTCGGTGAGTTCTGTGATCTGTCGTAGATTGCTCTCGCGGTCAGCTGATAGTTGCTGCTGTAGGGACTCGTCACCGTACTGTGTCTTGGCCAGCTCCTCCATCGCCGACGTAAAACTCAGCTTCATCTCCTGCACCATGTCCTGAACCTGTCAGTCACAATGACTATAATTAAACCACTAATCCAAGGCAAAGGGCTAGTGTATAGGTATAAGTATAGCTAAAGGACATAATTTAGTTTTGAGTTGAAAGTTCGAGCAGGTATGATCTGGTACTTTTGACCTGGGCATATTCCATGAGGTGTTATTAGCTGACTTATGAAAATATAGGCATGGGTGATTTCCTCATGAACATTTACAGAAAAACTTTAATGAAAATTGCGTAAACATCAAAACTTTATTTCATTCAATGCACTAAACTGATGAACTGTAAGGGACAACACCCCCCCCACCCCCCCCAATCTTATTACTATAATTCCTCTTCTGTAATAGAGAAAGCTAATGATAATCTATAGCAATGTAAGACTATGCATCTTTCATCAAAGATAGCAATTTACTTTTAAAATGAATGGTAAATATAACATACATATGTATTATTATAATATTATAAGATAATTCTTGACCAGATTTATTTCAGCTCTATTCTCATCCTTTGATATTCCCATATAATATTCCCAAATATCATTACATTCTTTTTCTTTACTTGTACCTATAAAGTTGGCCTAGTTAAGTTTTACACATTCAAAACCTAATAAAATTCATTTAAATTTTTCAAAAAAATTATTTGCAAAAGTTAAAATAAATTTAAGTTTCAAAGAATCATTGATCTCTAAAGATAAGTCTGAATTTTTTTTTTACCAATGGTTTATCGTCACATATGAAACCAAATTACAATAAGGAAATGACACACACTTCAGAAACTAGGAACATAGGAAGTTGACTTTTATCCTCTTTAAATGAACCAGGAACTGTTGCTAAATATGACATAATCGTTACTTGGTGGTGTCTGGTATATGCTTTCTAATCAGCATTATATCATACTTTTTGATTTTGTTTGTAAAAACAAAAAAAAAAAAAGAAAGAAGGTTATTTATAACTAATATCTTAAACCTTTAAAATTGTGTAATTCTGGCAATCCTGGCTTAGAAAATAAATTGATAATTATTTGTTATACTGGTAAATTGCACCCCCCCCCCCTTCCTCAAAAAAAGAAAAAAAAGAAAAGAAACTGAAGACTGACTTGATTTTATCAGAAGGACAATTTAATCGTTTTATGAATAAAGTACCAAGTTGACAAATGCATATAGTGCATGACCAGTGAGAAATTAATACCGGTAATACACACATGAGAAAGGCACCACAAAGTGGATCTAGCTCAAGCATCGATCCCCTCGCAAAAGAGCATATATGCAACATAATTTGTAACTTGGTTGTGCACTCATTCACCCTTCATTATAATAGCCCCTCCAACTTTGTTGTGAGGGGATAATAAATTTATGAAAATTATTTAGTTATTTCCATTTGAAATGATAGACAAGATCAAAAGGGTTGATAAAATCATTCAATGCTTATAGAGGTCAAACCCTGACCCATGTTAACAAGAATATTTTTCCGCCCTGTAATTACCGACAATTACCTGATAAGAAACTGATATAAAACAGATTGTGGAATGAATATCTAAGTATACAATATTTACCATTGCTATCTGTTCTGTCAGCTGAATTTGCTCCATGGCTGAAAAAGAAGAAAAAGATGTTAAGAACACTAAAATTGCACTTTTATTTATATTTTTTTATCACACTCTTTCACCTAAATTAATTGTAAATTTACCTTCCACACAAAGCAAAACAAAAAAGAATTTTTTCACATTCGGTCCATTAGAAGCCAGATCATGTCTTTGATTCCTCCGAATTCAAAGGGTTTAAATCTTCCATTATAATCTTCAATCAGTGGAAAAATGTTTAAAAAACGACACCTAACAGAATTTCAACATCATAAAGAGTCCATGTGACACCACATTTGAAAAAATTCACCATAAAAAAAATGATTGTTATCTCAGAATAAGTACTTCATGGAAATTAGAACTGAACAGCAAGTTCAGGTTATTGTTAATCCATTATTAACTTGGCCCTCCTGTTCTTCTAATGTACACACACTAATGTAGATCTACAGGTACAGTTAAAATAAACGATCTTGCATGTCTGATCAATCTTATCTTTCCAGAAGATTAAAAATACATCAAATTCATTAAATGCCCCACCACTGATATGGTTATCTGTTTGGACACTATCAAAAAGCAGGGAGGTCAATATTTAACTAACTCCCCAATACACAACTGAATTCCTTACCTAACTAAATCTATTTCTATCTTCTTGCGACAAAACATCTGTTTATATAAACAGTTATAGATATATTGAAAAGAATTGGCAGGAAAGTTCAATTTAGTTAATGGTCTTCAGAATTCAATAGGTTCCATTTTACAAAACCGGAGAAGGGATTTCCGAACACAAAACATTTGAATTGACATAACACTGTAAAAGATAGTGTGAAAGGGTAAACTTCTATATACTGAAGTGTAACAGTTTAAAAACTAAAACTCTTTATGAATCACCATAGGATGTTTACATGTTCTCTTTGAGAATCTGAAAATACAATTGTTTGTCGATAAAAACAGAAATTCCTCGATATCATTCAACATACTCAATAATATGTATCTTTTGTTTTAAAACCGCAAAAACTAAATTAAACTGTGACATTTATAAGTAGTCTCTTTATTCCTTTTATCTTTAGAATTTTTATTTAATAATGAAACTTTATGTCAAGCAGAGAGTTAGAGTCTAGAAAATGTCTTAGAAACAATCTACCACCTGTAGCTCTTTGTCAACACCCCCTGGACTAATATCTTATCAATGCCAAACATTTTAAATAGAGGCAACTGTATGCAGCTGTCACATCAGATATCAATATTGTTCTTAGTGTATTCCCTTGCTATATTGATCAAGTCAAAGTAAGATGTATTGCTAAGCTGTTAAAATCTTTTGTTGAAAGAAACAAATACTGGTGAAAATTTAAGGAAACTTCATTACCTGGTGATGATTGTGACCAATTTTGAAGAATTACCAAGAATGTAGATTCATTTTAACAAATAAATGCTGTCAATTTTACATGCAGTAAGTCATGAATCAAAACCCAGTATAAATTCAATAAAGCATACTGAACTGATGAATATAAACTTGTGCATACCAAATACTAGTATTAAACTTTCAAATATTCAGAAACAATTTTTCTCAGGGGACCAGTGTCATCATTAATAACCAAGTGTCTGATTTGTGGTATACCCTCAGAGATGGGGTATGTGAATAAATCAAACACTTGGCTAAAAAAAGACAGGCAAGCATAGCCTAGGCCACTAAGAGAGAGAGAAAAAAAAAAGGAGGAAGAGAGGGGGGGGAGAGGGATTCAGGCCAAGAAGCTACTAAATGTTGTATATACATGTACTGAGTATCACTCTAGTTTTGTTAAACATGAGATCTTTCATTTGAAACACCTAGAACTGTGCCCTTCAAAACTGTAATAAGATGTATACTGTACTGTGTACTGTATTTTTTAAAAATATTCCACAAACTCATAACAATGTGTTTTATTTCTGCACATGAAGATAAAAGTAGGTTTTATGCACAATGAACATCTTGTGATATTGAATAAAGAAACACAGATGTTCACACTTTGTAAAGAATAAATGCACAAAAAATGAAGAGAAAAGAAAAAGATCACAAAATCCACTTACTAGGGTTCATTTTCTGTGATCTTCAACAAATCTGGATCTATTCCAACACAATATATATATAGAAATTCATATAAACAAAAAAATGATCATATCCTGTTGGAGTATTCACATAAAAGATCCAAACTCATATTGAACCAATATGTCACTGTAGAGGACTAGGCCCATATCCTGAACAGTATAACAAATCCCACACCGGCTAAATATCTCCTGTCCAATTCAATCCAGACATGAACAAGAGAATTAACTATTAGCAGCCCTTACACCACTCTTAACCTGCTGGTAAAGCCATACTTTTAAAAAAGTCCTCAATTCCCTCTCTGTGTCCTTTCTTTAAGCTGGGGATTTAAATAAATTCCCTGCTTGTTCGGACTCATTTCTAGTAGACATGAAGAATCGGATGTCTTAATATATTCCAACCCCAAGGACACCAACTTTCTTTACTTTTTCATTATAAAATGCCGGGGTATAGCAGCTGGTGTATATGTTACCAAAACAGAGGTTATTTTGATCTACCTGATCTAAAGAGTCTGAATACAAAATTCTGATTCAGAATGAATGTCTCAAACTAAATTACCTACCCTGATCATCAAAGTAAAGTTCCATCACCTCAAGTAAAAATTAATAACTTTTAAAATGAACTAAATGTTTCAGACGAAGTGGTTAAAATCCAAATTACTGGCACATCTATCAACAAACATGTACAAGCCTTTTTTTCCACCACGTACTAGGATTTGTATGAAATTTTGGAATGTGACACTCAAACCTGTGTGACTTTTCCGAAGTGCAGCTCTTCAACATATAAACATTATAGTGAGGGAAGTCTGTACTTACAAAATCAACATCCATTGACATTCTTCCCCATATTATAAATGGACATGTCAATATATATAATGCAGTGATGCACATTAAAATATAGTGCAATAGAATGGAATCCGCCCCCCCCCCCACCATTTTGAAAATATGTGAGCAGAATTGAGAAGTTTTATTACCAATTTAATAAATATATATATGGCCATGGAACTTATTTAGTTACCTTTTGACCATTAACATCTGCCTAATAACAGGATTAATCTTTTCCTTCCACATACAGAAATCAAATGTTGCTCTTTACAGGCAATAAAGAATTAAAAATGAATGGTCTAGACGGAAACTAATGTTTTTATGCAGAGCTCTCCTTAATCTTACAATTCAGCCAATATTCACTGAAAAAAGTTCAATGTTCTATTTAATATACTTATACAATTAATACAACTGCACAAAATCATTTTAATCTCCTTTGAAATATTATTACAGCAGTTTTTTTATAACTTCTCTCAGATTGTGCTACAAAATAAGAATGCAAGAGTGAGTAACACTGAAAAAATATTCATGGTTTGCTCAGAATGTTTCTATTCCATTAATCTCTCCTCCATTTAGTCTTCAAGTGAATTTAATTGACTCTGACAATCTATAACATCTTATATATAAATTATGTAAGAATTGAGCCACACCTGTAATTGATCAAGGCACTTCATATTTGGATGACGCTTATGAACTGGCAAACCAATGAAATAATTTAAACTACTCACCATCCGAGTTCCCCAAAATCAGATCAAAATTTCAAAGTTTAAAAAAAATCCACTAAAACTATCTTGAACCAAACATAAAAACATTTATTTGACCTCCTTTTCAAACATCTGCTAAAGTATGCATTAATAATCAAATTATAACAAAGTTTAAATCATAATACATCAACATTTGGTCAAAATTACATAACTACAAGAGCCATTACCTGGCACAATTTAATCAGGACAATCAACTACTTAATAGTTAGACCCTGACTTTCAGACCTGACAATAGGAGCCATCAATAGAGGTCCTACAAGTCCCTGATTACCTTAATCCTAGCGACCCCTTCACATAAGTATCTTTGACTTCCAGCTAATCTCTCGTAATTGTGATTTAAATCTCACTGTTTCTCATCAAGGAGCAAATTCACTGGTCATTATCCATGTTTCTTGACACTAATTTGCAGATATTGTAATGTAACATGCATACAAGTGAAGTATTGAATTAAGAATTGAAATTTTCCTGTCAGCATTTCTCTTAATTATAGTGTTGTTGACAATGATTTAAAGAAAGACACACAATATGTCCTTTTCTGCCCTCAAGACTAAGGCAACTAAGGTAGCAAATTAATTACATCATTAAATATTTGTCAGAAAAGAAAGTTTACCTTAAATCTAAATGCTTTATATTTAATCCTGAAAGGAATGTAAATAAGGTATATAAAACCTTTATTATAAATATTGAAACATCAAGTCGTGAACGTTTATCATTTACCAAGGTTGAACACCCTCATTAAAAAGTGCCCATTTTTATGCTTGAAAATTTTCTTGTTCTAAAAAAGAATTAGATTTGTTAAATTTGTATATACTCAAATGTTGAATTAATTTTTAATGCCCTAATTTTTGTACTTCTGTAAAAACCAATTTACCGGTACATCATTCTGGTTGAATTACTTAAATTTCAAAATATGATAAAGCTCATTGTGAAATAATATTTAAAACTTAATTTATAATTTTCCTAATTCTAAATGAATACACACATAACGTAATGTAAGAGAATGAACAAAACAAATTATCACATATTTCACAATTTTTGAACATAACCAAACTGAGAAAAAAATATTATGGACACTATATGGTCTTCTGATGAAGAGTGGGACCATTAACAGTGATAAGATTAATCTTAAGTTTGTTGTCTTTGATTGAAAACAAAAATTAGAGTGCTTCATTATATCTAGCCTTTGATCTGATTTACAAAATCTATCATACTGTTGACAGTCAGTGACGAAGACTTCAGTGGGGAGATGATATGTACTATATGTATACATTGTATACTGTAGCTAAATTTTGATTTAAACGTGTACTAGTAGAGGTAGCATAGATTTCAAATACAGTCTGTAAATGTATCAGATACTCTGCAGTTTTTTAGCAGGTACTAGTAGGTACCTATAGCTAGTACATTCACCTTTAATTCGGTTCTCTTGCAAGTCAGTTGTATTTGTTTCATCAGATTACTTTAGAGGAATTTGTGACCGACCTGTTTCCGAGTTCATGTTGGTAGAGTACACTACAATCTTTTTGCCAGTATTTGCTGTCATTTTGAATTCATATTTATATTCTATTATAGTTTACCAAAAGCATTAGATTAAATTCTGATACCTTCATCTTTATGATCTTTAAAAACATCTTTATGATCCTAGGATTTATTACAAAATTTCTACAGATCCTCTTCTAGAAAATACTGATTTTTAAGGACTTGCTTATAAAACAGACATCAGAGTTTGGGTCAAATGTTTTTAAATTTCCAAAATTCAAAATGGCAAGAAAACAGGGTAATTATTCTAGATATCATTGTGTACAAAGTTGAAATATGGAATATTTTATTAGCAACTACCCGGTAGCTATGATCAGAAATTGGATACCTGATTGCTATGGACAGAGGAAAAGATACTTCTTTTATAATAATGGAAATCATAAAATTAATGTTCAACGGCATTTAGTAAGTTATGTCATATTGATGTGTATATACTAAATAGGAGCTGACATAATCTAGTTATAGCCTAAATTTGCTATGACGCAGAATGTATAAAATGCATAAAAGCATGTGAAGAGAATATCAAGATTTGGCAACAATACAGTAACTAACTTACCCCCTTTGTCACTCCTGTCTCCTCCCCCCTCCTGAGAATTCTCTGCCTTTCTTTCCATCCTATTATTTTCCTTGACCTCTGACTTGTGTTCATTTCCCGCCTTTTCTTCCTCTACTGGCGGTGGTTCTCCCAGGGTAGCCACTCTGAAAATACACCACATTTCATCACTACTCCGTGGCTCCTTTAAGTACATTTTGATTTTCGTAAACCCTGTCCTCATTTTCTTTCTCGCCATTTTCCTGATCTCCTCCGAGTCAGGCACCATGCTTTCCTTTAAGTCACCATGATGAATAACAGTTTTCTTCATTTATCACAGAATTCTGTGAAAAATTCTCACAGAAAAATAAATGTATTAAGAGAACTTTAAGGTTCTTGTCTATACAGAACCTTTGATAAATTCATAAGGCACACATAATACTTGTCCATCATGTGCGAATACTACGTTTGCTTATGCTACTCAACACACAGGATGAATTAACTTCAGCATAGCACTTCACTTTGGCACTTTTTCAGAAAATCTGGTTTCTACCAAACAATTTCTGGGAACTATACACAGATGTAGAAATATTTGGCTTTTTGATTATCAGAGAATCTACCAGTGTCTTATCTTTATCATATCAAAGTAAAGAGAAACTGTTCTGGTCAATTATCTATAAAGCTAACAAAAAGTTCACAGCCTTAATCTACAGTGAGATCAAATCATTTGGGAACTCTCAGACTTTATAAATTAATTTCTAAATTCTTAGCAGCTTATCTAATAATGAAATACACACACCCATGCCATCAAAGTTATATTAATTTGTACATCATATAACTATGGGTAAACTTCACCTACATCATGGACATTGCTACATTCCAATAGAAACCATATCCATCTGGTCTGTAGTCCAGGGCATTACCAGACTGGGCAGGAACCGAATGGTCAAGTGTTGTTTATTAATGACCAGATCTCTGGGGGGCATTTGTGAATTATGGAGAAAGAACAAAAAACATATACAGAGCTGTCATGTCCATCAGCTTTCCTGATGAATATCAATTAATTTTATATAAGTATTCACCCTTACTGTAGATATATACTGGATTACTAATTGACTTACATTGTTCTGAAATAGAAATCAGTATTTCCTTTTTGCTTTTCTTTAAGCAATAAGCATGACATCTAGTATATCTAGAGTACAAACTTTTAATTCCTGTTTTAGATTGCTATGACTAAAAAGATTTCTTTCTCCCCCCCCCCCCCCTTTATCTTTTTTTATACAGTGGAATAAAACAAAAATAATTGATTTCTTTTAAAACTTAATTCTTTGCTAGAAAAGAATCATATTTAATTACAATTCATAAGTTGAAAATTTAATTGCTTTTAAAAATTATCTTTAATATATTTCAAAATGTTTTGAAGTACACTAGAAAATCTTATCTATAGAAAAATAGGGGAGTGCACATTTTTTCAGTTTTTGTCAAGTGCATTTTATTGTGAATGTAATTCATTTGATGTGAAATATTCTTACAAATAACCTGCAACTTGCCCCTAAGCTTGGCAACAGGTATGATAAGCCTCAAGAACATAATTGACAGCATTCAAAATTGGTCATAAATAACATGAAAAGTGAATTATAGCCAGTAAGGTGGTTTATTGAATCTGCTTGAGCACCCACCTAAAACTTCACATTCTGTGTAAACATATTAACACTCTCATGCCATACTTGGCAACAAAATGATATTCTGAAATGACACTTTAATCCAAATACGTAAAATGGAAACGGAAAATGGTTTTTTCAATCTGTAATAGATAAAACGAAAAATAATTAAATTCCTCTTTTTAAATGCTTTTGAAGCCATTTTCATAAAAGTACAAATTATGCAACTTCCTTGTGAGTGACAATGCAATGGACAGTTATAATGGGGATGATATTAACCAAACTGATTGAAAATTGAGCCCATCATTACTTAATTTTTTAATCTTCCCCAAATTGTTTATAAGTAACTTCTAAATAACTATAGATTGACACTGTAGAATTGAAAAGAAACAATACAGTACATCTCCCACTTGAGTATCTATAATCCTGAAAAGACATACATTGAAAGTCAACAAGCATGTCCAATTAAGTCCTAGCATATTGATACAGGAAGAGTTTGATAAAATTAAAAAAAAATCTACAGCATACCTTTTTATGATGCAGCTGTAGGTTTCTTCATCAGGAAAGAAAAGCAGAGTCTCAGGAATGGTGTCCATGGCAACCGATTCTCTCGTAACAGTTTTGTGACTTTAACAGGACTAGCGGGTAGAAATCCTGTCTTGTCATCATTCCCACAGTGCGCTTGGTTACACTTCAATTCACACCCACAAAACCAAAGACAGGCAGGTTTTCTTTTCATTGCATCCCATTTTTAACACACTAAATAGAAGATTAGCTCAACTTCTGAAAATAATCTGCCTTGGGAATTGTTAAGAAAAAAAACTATGCTGTTTTCTTTTCTCTTGGTCTTCTTTGCCCTTTATAAGCCTGATCTGCTACTCTGTGTGGACCTGACTAACATATGAAGGTCTCCCCTAAAAATGATTATAATCATATACACAGACAATGTGGCATGAACTTCACCAAACAAAGATAAAATTAAGATACATTTATCTACTTAAAAATCCCCAGACCAGCCCAGTTTTCATTTAATTACAATGGACTTATCATTGTTTGAGACATTTAAATGACACTCAAACCACACAGTCTTATGTTCTCTAAGCTCCATAAAACACCTTAAGTTTCATCTGGAAAAAATATGTACTTTTTCAATACACAGCTTGTGTCTACTGGAATGCAAACTGTACATGAAATCAAGTTGTCAAAAATTATAGAAACAAATTCGTGTACAACATGTTTATCCACTACCAAATGAAATAAGACTGTAAGGTATAGATGAATCATTTTGCTGTAGGTTATAGCTATAATGTTAGGACATAAAATATTAGTACACATGTAATTGAAACCAAATACATTTCAGTTAAGCCATTAAGCAAAATCTGTGACATCCTTTGCAATTAAAGAGTGATACATGTACCACATCATTTTTTTTTATTCAAAGGATAAGTATCTCTTGAAAATAAATTTCTCATTTATTCTTTTCAAGAACTTTTTTGGATTTTTTTTTTTCAGAGAAATTAATACAGCGGGAAAGAGTTTGTCATTCAATTAAATTCCCATTGCTGAAATTTGCTGTTATTGCATAATACAGATAAAAATCATAGAATATAGTATGTTTTAAAAAAAGGATTGAACATATCACTTGAATTCTATTTTGCTTGAAGTATTACCTGTCACTTTGTATTCAATCAGGCTTGGAAAACCATAAGGATGGTCAGAAAGTACAGTACACTTCTAATAAAAACAAAATAAAACAATCAGTAAATTAAATCCAAAAAGATGCCTTTGTGAAACACTGATGCCACTCTATGGCAGCTTAATATGTCAAAGGTGAAGTTTCTCAAATGCAATTTAAACTCCAAGGTGTGAATATGATGTGAAGAATTGACTGATACTATACAAGTTTGAAAAATTTGAACTAAGAGATTATTAGGAATATGATAAATCATATACAAGCTGTGACACTTATAAGAGGTTGTCTGATAGTAACTCTGTAAGCATCACAATACCACTGAAATTGCAAGTGTTGCTGAATTAGAAGACCATGGTAAACAAATGCATTTTTGGTTTCAACCAATTCCTCTCTGTTTACAATTCATCTGTTTAATTCAATTTAGTTGGTGCTTCCACCTCTGATAAAAGGGAGAGCCCATTTATTTATTTCTCTTTTCCATCAAGATTCACTTTAATTTTCTTCTTAATTTATTCTAAAATTTAAAAAAGGAGCTCATTTTCATACCCCCCCCCCCCCCCCCAAATAAAAATTGTCAAAGAATTGGCACAAGAGTGACAATTTTAAAAGAAGAACAATTTGTATAAATCAAATTTAATATTCTTATGGTTTAAACAGTATTTAAATAAAAACTGCTTAAAATTAAGAGTATGCAACTGTAAGAAAGCAAGGTATTGCATCTATAAATACTTACTTTTGAACAACATTGCAATCTGGCTAATCGTGCTTTTTCTAATAACAAGGTGGTATAATTATTAATTGGATGTATTATATCATTATATATATGATAAACTACTGAAACCTAATCGTAAGAAAATGTTCTGATATTGATTCTATATCCACCGAACAACTCCCGATAGCTCACTTCGTCTACCGATTAGGCCTAAATATTGCTACCAACAGTCTTTGTTGATTAAGCATGTAAGTTTTGAGGAAAAAATGCTAAATTCACTAAAATCTGATTAAAACCAATGACCAGCCACTTTCCAGTTTCTTGCATCCACCATGAATGAACATTTATGGAATGCCAAACCCGATAAAATAAAAGTATCAATGTGGGAGAATTTCAAAATTGAAAAAAAAAGACGTGGTTTCTCTAACGTCTTTCTGTCTAAGAATTGAATTGTTTTGAATTAAAATACTTTGTTTTTTCATTTTTTTTATAATGGTAAATGGGTGATTCCACAAATTTGAGACAATTTTCATAAGTGAAGAAGTTAATATTGCTCTTTCTTCTTTCTCTGTCCAACATGGTTCAATGAGCTTTGTAATACATATGCTCTTTAATTTCAACGATAGTCACAAGTCAAAGTAAACAGATTATATTAAATTTAAGAAGTAAAATCAATTTTTTTATGCTTTGGTCATGACCGCAACGATATAAAAACATGCAATTTCTATTTTTCTATATATTGAAAAGAAATATTTTTTTTAACCAATGAAAAGAAAATGAAAAGAAAATTAATATTCTGTAATATAATAGAAGTTGTAGAATTTTGGAATACGTTTCTATTCTGTGGAAGGCCAAATAAATCGCCAGATGTAAGAATATGCTATTTGTGTAATTACAAAATCAATTTTTGTTGTTGTAAAAAACAAATATTAATACGTTTTAGGAAGTAACAGGCATAAAATGAAGTAAATTATATCACGAAGGCTTATTTTTTACTAATAATTAATAGCATGTAATTTTATTTGCACGAAAGACTGGTGCTGTGGTCATGACTAAAATTTTCGGTCATGACATCAAATTTTTGGTCATGACATTTCTTTATTATACATATAAAAATGTCAATGAATAATTCTAAAATAAAAACACCAAAACACCAATAAAAATAAAAATAAAAAACAATGTAACATCAAATAAATTAAACGGTCTAATTATGCATGATTTTTGTCTGTCAAGTCTAACTCTTAACGAAACACTAAAAAAATCAATTGTTTTATGCTTTATTAAATAAAAAATCAATTATAATGTTGATAGTTTAAAATATTTAATGATATATGTTGTTGTTTTAGCAAAATTAATAAATGATAAAAAGTTTGAGTTGAAAATAGTAACTATTGTCATGACCACAACATATTAAGTTGCGGTAAATGACAGTTTTGGTCATGACATAAATTGAGTTATTACCTGATCAGCTCTCCATACGTACTATATGGATGGTACAATGATGTACATTACATTGCAGAAACATTAAATAAAGCCGTTTGGAACAAGTTTACTATGTGAAATATTTGTATTATCGTGTTTTAGAACATTCGGTCATGATCAACCATAAAGGTACTAATAAAAAAAGATACTTACAACGGGATTTTTCTTCTAAACCTTTTGACCTACACTGTTCCTTGCCTGCCATCAAAACTTTTAGTAGTTTATAAGCCTTCTTTTATGGAGAGTAATAATTCAAAGGGCAGTAACTCTATTTTAAATAGCAGATTGCACAATCGTTTCGGTCATGACGAAATATTAAGTGACACAAAAATATACAACAAAATTTTAGTAGTATGATCAAAAAACCTACTGAATAAAAAAAGAAACATACTTAGGAGAAATGTATTAGAATAAATAAGACAAATAAAACTGAAAAACAAAAATTAGATGCGTCAAAAAACCCACAGAAAGTGGAAAGTCTATCATAGGGACATTGATATACGTCATTGATACATGATACAGTGACATTATTTTTCATTATTAAAATCAAACTTTAACATTTTTGCACATCAATACAAAAAAGAATATCTTTTTATTTAATATTTAGAACAAAATCAGGGAAATTTTGTTATATTTAACAGGAATATTAGAGTGTTTTTCATGAGTGACACAATTTGTCTCAAATTTGAGGAATCACCCAAATAAGATATGTCTTAACAATCCATGTTCATAATACTCGTGTATAAGGCAGGCTTTTTTTGTATGAAGTTACAATAAAACCAGAAGTCTCTGTCGAGACTGAAGCTCTACTGGTTTGTACTTATAGCAAAGGAAGAAAAAAGTTCTTAAGAAGTTGGGAATTGAAACTTTACCACAGCAATAAAAAGAATAATGATCCTTGATTAGTCTCTTTATGTTCTTAGTATAGTCTACTTGCATGCCACATTATATTAAAATCAGACCAAAACTGTAGGAGTTAAGTAGCATTTTGAGATTTTTTAACAGAAATTTCTATTTTTAGTTACCATGGCAGCACCGTTCATCGAAATCAAAAACCAATATACAGAATTACGTATCTTAGTGTAGTCTACTTCTGTGCCAAGTTATATTAAAATCAGACCAAAACTGTAGGAGTTAAGTAGCATTTTGAAAGAATTTCACAGAAATTTCTATTTTTAGTAACAAGGAAACACCGTTCATCGAAATCAAAAACTGATAAACAGAATTATGTATCTTAGTGTAGTCTACTTGTATGCCAAGTTATATTGAAATCAGACCAAAACTGTAGGAGGAGTAGCATTTTGAAAGAATTTCATAGAAATTTATATTTTTAGTAACAACGGCAACACCGTTAATCGAAATCAAAATCCGATATACAGAATTATGTATCTTAGTGTAGTCTACTTGTGTGCCAAGTTATATTGAAATCAGACCAAAACTGTAGGATGAGTAGCATTTTGAAAGAATTTCACAGAAATTTCTATTTTTAGTAACAAGGAAACACCGTTCATCAAAATCAAAAACTGATAAACAGAATTATGTATCTTAGTGTAGTCTACTTGTATGCCAAGTTATATTGAAATCAGACCAAAACTGTAGGAGGAGTAGCATTTTGAAAGAATTTCATAGAAATTTCTATTTTTAGTAACAACGGCAACACCGTTCATCGAAATCAAAATTCGATACACAGAATTATGTATCTTAGTGTAGTCTACTTGTGTGCCAAGTTATATTGAAATCAGACCAAAACTGTAGGAGGAGTAGCATTTTGAAAGAATTTCACAGAAATTTCTATTTTTAGCAACAACGGCAACACCGTTCATCGAAATCAAAAATCGATACACAGAATTATGTATCTTAGTGTAGTCTACTTGTGTGCCAAGTTAAATTGAAATCAGACCAAAAATGTAGAAGGAGTAGTATTTTGAAAGAATTTCACAGAAATTTTTATTTTTAGTAACCACGGCAACACCGTTCATCAAAATCAAAAACCGATAACCAGAATTATGTATCTTAGTGTAGTCTACTTATGTGCCAAGTTATATTGAAATCAGACCAAAACTGTAGGAGAAGTAGCATTTTGAAAGAATTTCACAGAAATTTCTATTTTTAGTAACAACAGCAACACCGTTAATCAAAATCAAAAACCGATACACAGAATTATGTATCTTAGTGTAGTCTACTTGTGTGCCAAGTTATATTGAAATCAGACCAAAACTGTAGGAGGAGTAGCATTTTGAAAGATTGTTTACAGACAGACAGACAGACAGACGGACGGACGGACGACGGACGCATTACTATGGCATAAGCTCTTCTGGTCTCTAAAAAGCAGCATTTTTGACAATCATTTTTTAAGGAACCTCCAGTTTATAATGCATATTGTGATGTCATCACTTCTGTTGTTTCACAAAAGAATGTTTCCATTTTTTAAATTGCCATGATAATAAGTTTTTCAGAAGCACAAGAAACACCTATTTTTTTTGTATGAATTTCTAACTTAATCAGTGATTTGAGTCAGTCAGAAACTTGGAAATATAACAAAAAAAAATTGTAAAACATGTAATACATGTACTGCATACAGGCAAGCAATTTTGCCCGTCTTAAATTTGCCTAGTTACACTTTTATTTAAGAAATTATACTGTATTTTTTGAATTCGTCCCGTTTTAAATTCGCCCGAACAAGGCTAGCGTGAGAGGGGCAAAAATAAAAGAAGGGCGAAATTTCCCTGTATACAGTACACTATTTAAGGGTATTTGGTGTTACTTTGTAATTATCCACAACCATTCTAAAAGTACATGTATTGCCCTAGCAATACTAATCCCTGACTTGCAAGTGTAATCAGCGGGACACAAATCAAATTTAATCTATAATTCCTCAAGATCAAGTCACATACCAAAAATCAGCTCAATATTTGCAAGTTTTAGAAGAAAAATGTGGAAAACTCTTAAAAATTAAAAAGACCGTAGTTCCATAAAATAACTGAGGTGTAACGAAATGCTAACTTGATCTGTAACTCACCAAAAATCAGATCAATAGCTCCAAATAAAATAAAATAAATAAGTGCAGGAAAAAAAAACAACCCGTAAGTGGGACTGACTGACAGACAGATGGAGACAGACATCCAGAATTTCACTCATTTTATGGCATTTTCTTAGAAAACATTAAAAAGAAAATTCAGGATCTTAAAAAAAAAAGAATCAATATAATCAACATTTATAACAAAAAGCATTTATTTCATGTTGATAAATAAATAAATCTTTATATATTGAAAGTCCATGAACACATTCCAGCAAAGTAAAGGATTGAAAATGTCAACTTGGACACCACATATTTCCATGAGAGTCTGGCAACTCTTTGTGTGCAATGTCCCATATCCATGGTTTATCTGAAAAAAAAATGAAAAGAAATATTACAGAGATAATATTATAGTCTTCCCTTTAAGGAAAAATAATGTAGAAAATTAATGATGAATCGAATCATTTGTTAACTACTGAATTACCTTCCTTTGTATAGGCTCTGGGAGGAAGATCATAAGGGAGTACCAGAGTTTTCTCCCCTGCCTCTCTTACTTTACTTGTGCATTTGAATACTGTCTTTCCAACCTAGATGTTCCAAAATATATACTTCATATTCTTATAAGAATTAAAGATTTAGTATGAGTAACTGTTATTAGAGATTGATTAAGCTGCCCATTCTTTGTTTTGAAAATGGATAGCAAATGGAAACTTTTTTTCCTGTTCATAAAATATACTTGTTGCATGCTGAACTGCATTTCTAAAAATTTAATAATGAACCAAATTGTGCCATGAAATGTAGGAATTTGATAGTACACTTCAATTTGATAGAGAAGGGTGCTTGGTCATTTAAGTCCTAGACTAATGGAATTTTTTTTTTCTATGCAAAAGTCAAAAACAGCAAGTCACTGTCATCATTATTGAAGTGATTTCACCAAAGAGATGCCCATTACATGTATTACCAAGAAGTGAGGTATAAACAGCACTCCTATTTCGTAAGAGCGTATCATGAGTTGACTCCCTTTCTTTTCCAGAGCTCCCCAAGCAGCTTTTGATAAGTTGGAACTGAAAAGACAAAAAGTGTCAATCAAAATGGTAAAAAATACCAGGTATTTTTTTAAAACACTATTTTATCAAGTACTTTATGGACAAAATTCATAAAAAATCACTTAAGAAATTAATGACAACATCTTTGTCTTGTGTGCATTTTTTCAAGGGTTAACAGTGAAAAGGAAAACAATTTAGGCTATTAAGAAGCTCACCTAGTAACAAGATACCATGCAGCATCCCCCCAGTCAGGGGAGGGACGACAGTAAGTTTTGATGTGGGGCATCGCTCGATTTCTTCCTCTACCCTCAGATCTCCACTGACTGTGTAGAAAAAATAAATGATTTTACTTTATTTTAATATAAATGACTTAATTTATAGTTCTCTTTGCTGTACCATGAATCAGATTTACAAAATGATATTAAAAAAAATTGGAAGTTAAATGCTGTTTATCTTTTAAATTTCCATTAAGTAAATTGACATCTTTGTAAGAGTTTGGTTTGGTATATAAATGTACATGGAATTGAAGTTAGATTCTAATCATTCATGATTAAGCATGAATAAGTTGCTCTCAACTTGTTAAGAAATTATAATTAAGTCAGAACTTATCTATGAAGGAAATAAAAGTTGACCAACAACATACTTATCCAGAGTAGCTTCCCTTTAATGCATTCTTTATGTGGAAGTTTGAAGAAACCCAAATTTCATTGAAATTTAGACAATATTTTGCATTACTAATATTTTAAAAAATACTTGTCATTCCAAATTCATTATTCCCAACAACTATTTTTATTGTACATGTAGTTAGCATGTTCAATGCAGCTGTTTTATTAATAAAATTGATCTATGTTTCTTTTTCCCTGTAAAAATTTTTTAGTTTTAAGATAACTAAAAGCTTAAACAAACATAAAATTTGATGTCCATGTCTGGTCCCCATCCTACAGACTTAATGTGTCTCTAATGTAAAAAAGTTAAAATTAGGTGTGAAATGCAATTACCCCCGTATTTGGCCGAGTATAATACGCATTGATGTAAAATATGCACCCCCCTTTTTGAGTCTGAAACTGAGGAAAAAACGCAGTTCGGATGTATTATACGCAACCGAAAAATTTACCAAGCGATGTTCTGAACTTTGAAAATCGCGGTAATTTGTTACGAAAATCGGCACGAGGATAAAGTGTTAAAAATTCACTGAACACATCTTTTTTAAAATAAACACTTTATAACTTTCTCTTGATCCTGACATTCCATATCGCAGCAATCTTGAGAAAATTATTTATTCATTTATTTCAACAAAGCACAAGATAATGTTGCGTAAAAGTATTAACAGAATTTTTTTAAGCATAGTTACGGTGATTTTGAAATTATGCGTCGCCATATTCTTAGATGAAATAATTTTATTTCAACAAAGCATGAGATATTGTTGAAAGTTTTAACAGTAATCATATTTAATGTTGGTTCAAGGCAATCATGCTGAAAATTATGTTACAATTTTTTAACAGTACACGAAATTGAATCATCAAAGTATTTATTTAAGAAGACTACGATTTTTCTCTTCTGAATTTTCGCGGATATCTTATTTTCTAAAGAGCACCAATAAATGATAACACTTAAGTTTTAGCATAATTCATATTTCATTTGTCAACTCTCAATCATTTAAAAAAGAGGCCGATAAGTATAAGATTAGGTAAAATTACATTTAACAAGTGTTTAATGTGTCGTAATCAACACATGCTCACACATACTAAAGGTCATAAACCGACCCCCAATTTTAACAAAGAAAATAATCAAAGCAATTAACAGGACAGTTAATAAACATTGCTCTATCTGTAAAAACATTGCTTTGGAGTCGGTAGACAATTAATTGCCCGGAGGGGTGTTGATAGGTAATTATCATTTGAACAGCGCACGTGTGTCACAACATTGGCTTCCTTTCATTGGGACGTATGGAGGGGTGTTTATGTTGCAGCAGATTTTCATTGAGTTATTTAAAACCTAAAATAAATTTTTATTTTATTGTATTTCATTAAAAAATGACTTATTACTAATTGTCTGGCAGATAAGGTGCATGTGCACTATCATTATGGAAGCATATGTGACATAGGCATGAGTGAACGTCTAAAAATAACATCGGTAATGGCGGCCTACTCGGAGACGATCAACATGCAGCCCAAATTACTTTTAACTTGCTTTTTCATGTTATTTTAGTATCAAAAGATTATGAAAGTGACATTTTTAACAAGCATACCTTCCAACAATAACTTTCCGAAGTTTAAAATATGGCGATAAACAAAAGAAATTGCATATGTCTCTAGGTAATACTATGGTATGTACGTATGATAGCCGTGTTTCACCTGAAAGAAAAACTTATCAAAATCCCATTGTGATGTACGATACGCATCCCTTTCTCACAGAAATTTATTTTAGGAAAAAAGTGCGTATTATATTCCCCCAAATACGGTAATGTGACTTTATAGCTTTTGCCAAATTCAAATTCTACAATAGTTAAATCATTTTGCTGTTTGTAGGGATATAAATTTTTTTCTTTAAAATGTATGTACATGTGTTGATTTTTAGAAATTATCTTTAAATGAAAAAAAACCTCACTGAAAGAAAGTATGAAGCCAGGGTTGTTTCTTAGCCACATTAATGCTGTATGGAATAGAGCCCCCAGCTGGATATCCCTCTAAACTGGTTCTCACATTGTCCACAGATGGAAAGATCTAAAAATGGATTAAAGTGATAATGTAGAAACACTGAAATCTAAATTTAGAGCAGAAGAAAATTATACAATTATCACTGGAATGGATTGAGATCAAGATGTTTTTAAATCAAACAAAATGTTATTGCAAATAGATAAAGTATATGAAAAGACAACAGTCAGTAGGATCTTTCTAATTCATAAAAACAGACCAGTTTCAGTGGGACGGAGGCTAGGGGAACACTGCTGGTCCCCTTTACTGTGGCAAAGGACTGCAGAAATTCTGTGGACAACCAGTTTTCTTTGGATGCTCCAAGTGAGCCAATACTGGAAAACTGTCCAATAACCGGCCATTTTGATGTCTGATCCTTTGGTGGACCATGGTCATGCAAAAGTTTTCTCAGCCTCATATGACCAAAACAATGTTTCTTGTCTGCCATATGCCTTCCTGGTACAGAACCCACCACAAATACACTGTAAATAAAATTTTAATGGCTAATGTTTTAATTCTAAATAAAGGTTAGCCAAAAAGTTGTCGTACTTTACAGTTCATGAACAGTGTACGCTAACAGCTTACTTTGCAGCAGAGAAGTCGTGCATAGAAATGTGGTCCTGCCACTCTTTCAGCTGATATGCTTTATAAGCTGCCAAATACTGCAGTAGATCCTTCTTAAAATGTGTAGCAGAGTCGCCGTGTATAGCAGAGGGTCCCGACTTCAGCTTTGGAAACACTGGGCTTATCCAAATCCTGGATAACAATATTCAAGTATAGTCAGTCTCTCAAATTCTTAGTTATTTATAGACATCAATCCCATTTCCACTAATTCATTAGATACAAAATTTTCTAACCTATATGTATGCTGACCTACCCTTGAGTTTTCTGATGCCAGTCTCTTTCTATCAGGTTTGCCGTATGGATCACTACCCTGAGTCCATCGTCATACAAAAGGAACATCATTTTCCTGTAAGAAGATTAACGTGGAAGAACTTTTTAGTACAAACCAGTATCATCTCTCCCTACCATCTAAGGTGTATAATCAAACTTAAGTACATGTGTACTGTAATTGATTACTTTTTTATTTTTACTATATAATAGAAAAATCTTTTTTTTTCAAAATGATAACTTTTTTTTCACTGAGATACCTCAAATGTAGAGATTCAGACAGTATTCTATTTTATAAAATACTTACGTATGATGTGTTCCATAGGGCATTTCCAATCTTGCCTAAAATAAAAATTAAATGGCTTATTTATAAGACCACAGGTATTGACCATTCAAAAGCAAGAACACTCAAGTATTTAAAGCTTTGAAAATTAATTTCATAAAAAATAATACACATATCGGGTAACCATCAAGATTTTACAATTTTATGACATTAATATATAACTACAACATGTGAATATTATACAATTATGGACTCTTTTGGTGTTGAATATGGTTTGGTATTCACCAGAAAAATATCCATATTGACCTCGGCTTCGCCTCGGTCAATATGAATATTTTTCTGGTGAATAACAAACCATATTCAACACCAAAAGAGTCCATAATTGATTTATTATATGGGCCGCATTTAGATAGATAAGCCTAAGACATCGAAGGCTAATGGCGACACCATTATATAATGCACTTTCGTCGTTGAAAAAATGTCCAGATTATAGTTTGTCACCTCCGTGTTTTCCTATCAGCGAGTTTCGATGTGTAAGACATGTTTAAAATTAATCCTGCAATAGGTTTGTATGATACTTTTCCTGCTCAGATACGTAGCTTGCTGCAGTCGTTGCAACTATTGTTTATAACATTGTTTGGAGGTGTTGATTGTGACATCACAATACCGCTGCACGCACAATGACCCTTCCGGTGAATACTGCCTCAAATCCAGTGAATATGTAGTGTTATGAACAGTTTGTGCTTGTATAGATTATATAGGGAATATAAATAGACTCTATAATATGTATTTTTAAAAAAATGTTAATTTTTTACCTTTAATATCTGCATGATTCAAATGATAAAGTTAAACAACAACAAATGAACAGATATCATCTTTTTTTCCTCATTTAGATAATCTTCTGTCAACACTTACTTGACAGAACTTGATATTGGTAAATTTCCTGGCATCAGCCTCTAGTGCTGATTTTTGTCCTCCCTGAAATCCATGCACACAAAGGAGGGGCTTCTGTCTGAAATTTACATACTATCTGTCATCTCTCTAAGAAAATACTCAGGTCTGAGGGTCTCCATGATTTTTCAAATAATAATGAATTGTAAAAGCATTTCCTGAAGACCAGGTCCTGGGGCCATAAAATTAAGAAGACGTCACTTTTAATTTCAGGTCTCAATTTCAAATCTCTTTTCTGTTTTAAAAGTGAGATTGAGATCAAAAGTGAGCTCATTTAAAATTTTTAGTGCCAGAGTCAGCTCATGTGAAGAAGACAGAACCTGTCTTTCCATATGTACACTGTTAAACTTTAAAAAATATAATACATGTACTTACTCTTGTTTAGTCATAACCTTAATCATCAGTGCCTCATCAATTACGAATGAGAGTGGAAATGGCTGTGTATTGCTTTGTCTTACCTGAATGATGCTGGATATTGCTGCATTAGCCACTGAGTTTCAAACATATAATTAAACTGAAAGATAAAAAAAAACATGAGAGTGGTGGAAATTTTATTTCTAAATTGGAATGCAATATAAACCATATTATGTTTATCAATCCAGTTAAGCAGGGTAAATATAAATACAGTCAAGCCTAATCAATACTTACAGTTGTTTATTTCTTATCAACTCACCTGGATCAATGAAACTAAAACATCTCTTTTACAATTTATATATAAGGTAAATTTTATTCACCAAAATTTTAACTTGAAATTAAAATGTCTGGATTATTGGCTTTCTGAAAATCCACATGAGAGGCCGTAGGCCGAAGGGTGTGGAAATTTTATTGGACCTGGATCGAATTTATTTCCTTTGTATCCATAAAAATGCTTTGTAAACATCAAAGTATGTCTCAATCTATCGATTAGATAACTACGTACTACAATCACGTTATTTGGTTTTTATCATAGAGAATGTATGCACTGTGACGTCACGTTTTATTTACACCCGGCTCAAGTCGGGTGCACGGATATTTACACCCGACTTTGTAACCAATCAAAGCTCGTGTTACGAGCTAGATAGGAAATAAAAATGTATATACACCTAATAAAGATAATTTACCTGACAAGATTCTTGTAAATTTCCCATATTCTCTGACAATATATCTGAAATATATTTAAGAAATGAATGTAATAATTTTTTCTTTGATCGATGTATCAAAGAAAAATTTGAAAGCGCTGAAAAAAAACATCTCTTTTACATTTAATTAAGATTTTATATATAAGTTTCTTTCACTTTTCTATTAAATTTATGCATCAAAAACAGTGCGCACGAATACATCACCATAACGTTAACGTTGCTGAAAATTCAAAATGGCTCTAACCAAGCTAACGAAGAACGTTCTCAAATATTGTCGTGTGAGTACCAACAGTCTCCAAAATAATTTACAGTTCTTTAACACAAAAAACTTAATTTGTATATTTTTAAGTTAAAGTTCGTAAATGTAAAGGGAAGCTACTCAAATATCCTAATAGTTCTAGGTCACAGAAATTTTGGATTTATATCTTTTCATTTGAATTTCAAACCGAATATAATTATATACATATCACAACCTGTCAATGCTGTAAAACCTTTGCTGCCGATATTCTTAAAGAATTCCATCCTCAATATATCTGATCAACGATATATAAAACTTTTTTTATATATCTCAAAGTCAAACATTTAAGAAAAGTATGCCGATTATACGATTTCTTCCCTTCTTTCCCGTAACTGTATTGTCGTCATTTTATGAAACGAAAATAGAAAATAAGCCAGGAACCTAACGGAAAGGTTCCGAAAAAAAATTTTACATTGTAAAATATATCATTGTCATTACCAACTAATAAAGGTTGTAAGTTTATAATTTTCTTAACATTAGACACAACATTTACCTTTGAGACTCATGGTATTTGCACCGTTGTATTCACTAGATATCCCGTGTACTTTTGTAAGAAAGAAACTAATTGGTTGAGCATGATTAAAGACAGCTAAAGGCTCCTTTGAGGTGAGTGCCTTGGTTTCTGTTTTATGTCTTTTAATTGGTGGAGACTGTGATCTTTGTCTTGTTTTACTTCCACTTGCTGCTTCACTGCTGCCACTGTCTGCTACAACAGTAAATAGTATAAATTCATAATTTAATAATAATAAAGAGTCAGAGTGTGGAATTGTTTTCTGCTTTACTTTAAAATTCAGTCTCTGGAAGATTTTACTCTTTCTCTGACTATTTTGTATAGTTCCTTTAGGCCATATAAAATTAATCTTTAGATTCTCATCCCCGCCCGCCCCTCTCAAAATGTCCCGCCCCGATGTTTTTTATTTTGATTTTTGGGTATTTTCATGTATTTTTATTCAGTAACAATTTTTCAAAGTTTAAGAGTTATCTCATGGTATTTGAAAACGCGTGTCGCTATTAATAGCAAAAACGCCATGTGAAGAATGGAGAAAAATCGGCAATAAAAGAAGTTTAAATGTGTAAGGAAAAGATAATTTGTCAGTATAGAGAAGGTAGAGAAGAAAAAATAGAATAAACACATATAGATACCATCACTGGCAGGAGCGAGTATGTAGAGAGATTGTAACTAAGTAAAAATAGACGAGTAAAATGACACCTGGTCAAGTTATATATTCTCCAGCTGTGTGACTTTGCTTTGAAATAAACAAAATCTACAACATCGTAGACAGACTTATGAGAAGGCCTAGATTTTTCAGTAAATTATTAGAACATTTATATAGATTTTGCAAAATAAAAAGTCACGCATCCCTACCTCATTTTGTTCAGGGTGTGCCGTATAATGTGTATACTTGATAACTTGTTAATTAACAATAGATATTTAATTTTTAAAGCAAAAATTTTCTTTAAATATTTAAAAGAATATGAAAAGAATTAAATCTATTCATATTTGCATTAAGGTAATGAAAAAAAAATGTGTACGTGGCGTCCATTGTTTTGTTGATACTTAGACCTATATATAAATTAACAATTATAAAAAATAAAAAATAAAATCACCCGGAAATTTTTTTTCAAATTCTGAATCTAAAGATTAATTTTACCTGGCCTTAGTATTTTCAACTGGAAAATTATTTTTTCCAAATTTAAAGAAATTTTCTGTTTCTGATTTTGCATGTGCACTTACAAGGATGTGAAAATTCTTTGAAATGATCTGGGTTCTTCCTGTAACATTTTGAGCCAAATTTACAAGGTGGCAGAGATTTTAAACTTTCTCTTGCTGGGCTTTTTCTCGCACTGTCCCCAGATGAATGTTTTCTTTTCAAAGATGGAGAATTTGTTCTATTTTCAGGAACAACTTTTCCTTTGTCTGATTTCTTATTTCTTGCTGAATTGTTCTGATCATTCAGTTTTTCCATATCTGTTGACTTCTCCTTCTTCAGTGTATTTTTTGAAGATGAATTTTCAAAAAGATGTTTATCATTCTTTTTCAGTAACTTTGGTGAACTTCTTCCATTATAAGAATCCTCTGTATTTTGATGATGAACTGTTTTTGTTTCATCGTTGTCAGAATCTGACAATTGATGATAGGAAGATTGCCTTTTTGAAATTGATGGTCTTGTTGGAGAAGGACTGAATAGATTTGAAGAATCCCATTCACTTGGATCTGGTTCAATAGTTGCATCAGAGTCTGTGTCAGACATTTTTTCTTCTGTCCTTTAGACAGCTGTTTCAGGGCGAATGCATACTGATACTGCAAGTTGGTAGCCTTCAAGACAAATAGCAAATAACTGCTTTAAAATTTATATATACCAAATGAGAAACTAAAGGTAATTTGAATGCTAACAGTAATTAAAAGCTTACCATCGTACCAAAATGTTAAAGAATACCCCCCCCCCCCCCCAACACACACAAAAACTTCTTTTAAAATTAAAAGAATAATTCCAAAATTGAAACCAAAACGGTAAGTTGTAATATACACATCTCTTGGTTTACAATGTAACAAGAACACTTCAGTGTATAATTAGACAGTAAAAACCAAACATACACTACTTACATGTGCAGTTCAGTTTCGAGTTTGTCGTTTGTTTAAATTTTTTACTTTTACTTTCACTTTAAGACAAAAAAATTTGGTTTGTTTTCGTATACATTCTAAATTCAAAATATACCTTATATTAAACTGTCCATATATACTCATTATACCTGGATTAGAAATAAAATACAATTTTAACCAACTACTTCATCTTCAATTGCAGCATACACACTATTTAAGGTGAGTTCGAAACTAAGGCTGAAGAAGACAAATGTAAACATTTTTGGCATAAAGATTTTGGCATATCATTTATGATGTCTAAACGTATTATCTGAGGAATTTAAACAAGGTAATATACACAGATTACTTTTTTACGTTTATACCCCAAAAATGTGATGAAAAGATAATTTTGTTTCCACAAAAGTGATCATATATAGCAAGTTTCTTTAAATGAGATGTTCCAAACATGTTTGGACAGAACTCTCATGTTTTGTGACAGTGTTTCTGCTTGATTTTGTCCTTTGACCTGTCCTGTTTGTACGACTTACACAATAAATTACTTAGTAGAAGCAAAATTAAAGAATAATGTGACTTTCTTTAATAGTTTTAATGAAAATATAAGATTGCTAGTGTTTGTTCTGGACTGTTTTAGCCATGGACATTTGCAGTTAAAGGAAATATTGATTGTAGGGCCCATGACTTTAGCAACCACCTTCCTCTTTTACATTTATACTTAACTACATTACAATGGCATTAGTTTTACAAGAAAGGAAAGAATACAATGAAAATAGAAATGATTCACTTGGGTTCTACTATTATCCCATGTTAGCATGTGCTTGCTATGCAAATTTCACAGGATGAATAACCTATCATGCATGCATGATGTATATTATTGGCCCTTACCAATGTTTAACTAGGGGATGGAGTCTTTCATGGTCTGGTTGCAGTTGCACATCATTCTGAACAGTCAACACTGTAGAAATATATAATTGTTCATAAAGGAAGGGACTTGAGTTAAATGTCAATAAATCTTCAATATATTCTTTTTATATGTGCATGTACACGTTACTCCAAAAAGTGCATTCCCATAACCTGTAAAAATTTTATTCTAATGATAATGGATACTCAGAACTCATTATATTAGTTCAGACAGTAGAACATATATATTACAATGGTTTATACATGTACATATTAAACCATGTCAATGTAGAAATTATGGACAGGCAAACAGACTCAAAACATGTCTCCTTGAATTTACAATGGACAGCCTTAGATAGAACACTTGAACTATTTTTAAATATCTTTTTTGTTTTAAGCATAATTTAATGCAGATTTCTTTTGAATTTTTAGATGGCAGAAGTTCATATTGTTGGACAAATTGTTGGAGCTTCAGGGTTTCCTGATCACAGTCTCTTCTGCAAATGGGGAGTCAACACAGGTGAGTCACACTATGATCAATTTCTAATGTTCTATGTGAGCTTTTAGATTTCATGCTTACAGCCTCCTCAGTCCCTATTTGTCTTCTTTATATACTGAATTCAGCTATTAATGGCAGAACAGCTAAATTTTCTCTTTTCACATATTATAATATACCGGGTAGACACATGTACTGTAAAAAGTACTTAATGGAAAAATATCACTACAGTTCACAATTTAAAAGTAATGGTTATGTAATAGTATATATGTATACATACATGTACTGGAAACAAACTTTTGCTCATAAACTATACTCAGTACATGTATATATTAAGGTAATATTTCACTGTGCTTAATTCAGGAGGGGCTTGGAAGGCATTAGCTGGATTGAGAGAAGGACAGACACAAGTGGACAATCCACAGCAACATGATGCTGCCTACTGGGCCCACCCCATAGATATCCACTATGCAACCAAGGGCCTTCAAGGTAAATGGTGGCCACTATGTTCTCAAATTGTCTGAATTCAACACAGGATAAATGTTATTAGAAAGAATACAATAAATAAGATGGAAAGTGGAAGGGAAAGATTTAAAAAATAACATTATTTCAAAAATGTACTGTAAACCAAGTATTATACGCGTGCGATAAATATCAGTACATGATATATACAGTTGTTCATTATAATATCATGATTTATTTAGAGTTATTTGCCCTTTTTTTCACTGGTTCAACATGTAATCACGGAAGAACTTTACTGTAAGTGTACAAGAAGCAGTTGAAATTTAATTAACAAACATTCAGAAAAAAAAAAAACGAATGGCAAATCTAAAACTATTTGTCTAAAAATGATTAAAATGTCAATAATCATTTCAGCTTGTGTTATTATTGTTCATTTATTGTTAAAGACACAAGCCTGGTTAATTCCACAGCAACATGTCCCAATCATTATAAAAATTGCCCCTTGGCTATGTAGATCTTAGAAGGCGTCGATTACCCAATTATTTTGAAGCACTTTTACATGGAGAGTTTTAAATCAATTTTAATCTCCTAGATTTTTCCTGATTTTCGTTTGAGCGTTGTGAAATTGCGTATGAAGTATACTCATGGTAAACATTTTACCCACTTTAGGGGCGGATATAAGAATTTAAATGAACGCAATGCACACTGAATAATGCTAAGCAACCTCAACCATTTTACAGTTTGTGGGCGGATATTAAATTTTAATTTGATTCAAAATACTCGTGGAAATGAAAAAAAAATATGACCACTCGTTCGCGGAAATAAATCGTCGCGGATTAGTTCTCTAGCGGGCAGTCGCGAATAAAAAATGACGCGTATAATAATTGGTTTACAGTAATACCATCAGTGACTTTCTATATTGCTCTTTTACAGGTTGGCCAAAGATTCATTTCCAAGTTTGGCATCAAGATTCCTTTGGAAGAAATGAGCTTTATGGCTATGGTTTCTGTCATGTACCAACAACTCCAGGCATGCATGAAATTGAATGTCCAACATGGAGACCTTCTGGAAGTTTCAGAGAACAAGTGTCACAGTATTTCCTAGGAGGTGGCCCACAACTAAAAAATCCGGACTTGATTTATAGTGGCGCAGATCGTTACAGACTTCATACTGTTGCCATGGGATCTGTACATTTAAGACTTGGAGTCATTCTTAGGAACTTTGACAAATATGGGATCGAATGCTAAAAAAATGTTTTCTTCAGAAAATAATTTCCATTCTTTTACATGTTCTAATCTCAGAAAATGTGTATAGACGCCATTTAGCATATCAAAGGCAGAGTCCATCATTAGTTCTGAGGGAGGTGATACATTGATATGTTGTCATATTTTGTAGTTATCAATTTTAATAAATTATTTATCTACATTATCATGATTATACTCATCTTTTATTTTAACATTTTCATGAAATGTGAATACAGTACATGTAGTAGAACAGTCTTTTTTTTTTTTTTCAAACAAAAGATCAATGCTGAAGTATGGAATTATTTTGTTCAAATTTGTTGATCAGTTTCCAGAGATGGTCGTCATCAGAACCTGTGAGATTCCTGAGTAAATATACACAAAGATTTTCAAACATGGCATATAATTAAGTATGTTTATTGTTAAATATTGGGGTACAGAAACATTTAATACATTAATAAACACTTCATTTTGACTTTTGTTCTGTATGAGCTGTCAATGGCATGAATCCTGGGGGTACATAGTCTGTGTTTTGGGGAGCAATGGCCATGAATTTGAAGGCGTGTCCCATTTCCTGTGGATGCATCAGTCTTCTGACACTCTCAATTTTCTTTGTTGGTGTCTAAACATTCTGCAGCAAGGCCTAATATTTACAGCAAAAATTTAGACATTGTAATGATACCCAATTTATTACATATATGTATATTGTTTGTCTACCTGAAAAGGAATACACATCTGAAAAGAGGGAATTTAAAATGTAATAAGTGTGTAACTGCCACTCAGATGATGTGCAAAGGTAGACAGTGTAAACTCAAAGGCTAAAGTCATGAGGTCAAAAATATTGATACCCCAAAACAGAGCTGTCTCAAGAAATACAGGTGAAAGATATATTGTGAAATATGCAAAAATATCTGCAAGTAAAAATATTATTCTCTGATATGTACATTAATTTGTATATCTAAAGGTGATATAAAACAATTATCAAAAGTACAGGTAGTTATATATTTACCAGTAATAAGTATCTCATAAAAGATAAGGTTATGAGAATTTGCTGATTGACTTGTATAAAGTTCTACTATTTGTACTCTACCTGTAGACGGACTCCAATCCCCATTCCATTCAGAAAATTATTCTGTGTAACAGGTCCAAATGTTTTCACTACAAAAGTTGGGAAACATCAATATACTATGAAACTAAGAACTATTAACTAGAACTGTCCAAAGGGAGACAGTGTAAATTAAAAGGCTGGGTTATTTGAGGTCAAAAATATTTTCCATAAAAAGATATGTATCAAACATGAATTATGAAATTTTTCTTCAAAAGTGACCTTGAAGTTCCACAAATGACCTTAAATTTCAAGGTCATGACACACATTATAATCATGGTTAAATCTTAATGTGTGAAAAAAAAACCTACCAAGTTTATCCATAGAGAGATTATGACCAGACACAAATTAGGTATTTTTTCTTTCAGTGACCTTGAAGTTCCTCAAATGACCTTCAGAAAATTATTCTGTGTCACAGGTCCAAATGACACACCCAAAAGTCATGGCAAACACTTGTGTGAAATGCTTTTTGCAATACATATATATTTATGATAACATACTTTTTTAAGGCACAAACAAATTTCTGCACAGGAAGTATTACTTAAAAAAAATCTTGATTATTATATTCCTACTTTCATCAATCTTTGTGTGAAATGAGAACCTACCAAGTTTATTCAAGGAAAGACATGGACCCGAATTATGAAATTTTTTTGCAGTGACCTTAAATTTTCCCCAAATGACCTTGAAAGAGGTCAAGGTCATGACACACCCTTGGGTCATGGGCAATTTTTGTGTGAAACTATGAAACCTACCAAGTTTATTCAGCAACAAGAAGGACAACAATGGACAAATTTGAAATTTTTCTTCCAGTGACCTTGAACTTCCCCAAATGACCTTGGGTCAAGGTCATCACACACCCTTAGGTCATGGGCAATCTTTATGTGGAGTAGTAAATCTAATGTCCCTGGTTATCAGAAATAGATAGGTGACCGTTTACATGATTGCACAAAATTTGGACGGAAAACTAAGTACCACTATGTAATTTGCATTGTTCATTTCTTTTTCAGAATTTAAATTGGAGGTTGGTGGGTAAAGTAATTACATAAGGAAATGGTTAGCTGTACCATTACTTTTCCTAATATCTACCTTTTTTGCAATGCATTCATATATCTATTGGGTTGAAATTAGCCAATGTTTTTTTTTCTAGAGTTGAAAATGAAAATATGATGGTAAGAAAACGACAACAACAACGACAACAACAAAATACAACAATCTATCCTTGAAATATTACACACCGTAAATCATGCAAAAAGTCTTTAGTCTAATAATTTCATTGTTGAACAAAATTTTCTTAGTACCTTTATCTCCACAACAGTGCTTCAGATAGGCAAAGTCTACATCAGCAGTGAGATCTGCAGAGCCTGGCTTCTCTAGCGGGTCATACAGTTTGTGATCTTTAAAACCCTGTACAGAAAGAAATCAACAGTATGGTTATCAGAATATACACTAAATGACAAAAGTCATATCATGAACTAGATACGTTAAAAGTTTTCTCCTCTTATATCACAAGTAAAATATAGGAATACACATCCTGTCCCCTTTAATACTAAATTTCCAGATGTAATTTATTTCAATATATCATTCCCTTTTTTGAAATTAGCATTGATGTAAATTTACAAGTATTATTTCATGATAAATGTATTTTTATAATGTACCAAAATATGTCGAGTCATTTGAATGTTGTTGTTCTAAAAACCATCAGGCTTGTAATATGTCAAGTGTAACTCTTTTTCAGAACTTTTGGTGGTAAAACATTGGCATTCAAAGAGGTGGGTGATTTTAAACTAGCGGATCAATATAAAATGATATCCCCATGGAAATACTGGGAACTCCCCACTTATAATTTATCTGCTTTGATAGCGTTTATAAAACGTTTTTTTTTACCCTAAATGTATCAGTCTTTGTTCCCTCATGTCCATAGTCCACAATGAGAGCCCGTCCACCGTGATCACTGATCGTCTGTGACATCTTCTGTACGACAGACCCACCCTCTGGGCTCACCTCCACATGGTCTCTCTCATCAGACTCCGACAGATGCTGAAACCACAACAAAACTGATTATCAATGTCTATAATCATCACAGAATGAAGTACTTTTGTAACCTCTGTAAATGGCAGAGAATTCTTTCATTATCAAACAGTTCTTACAGTAAGGAACGCCTTTGTATTGGGGGTGGGTCCTCGTGACATGATAAATCGTAGGCCCCCTCCCTCCTGGACGTCCACCAGAATCTCATTCCACTCACCATCCTTCTTCTACAATTCAATTAAAGATAATACCTGTTAACATACTTTAACCAAAAAAATCATAGAAGGAATTTTATCTGTTGAAAGTTGATTAGTTAAAGGTTGATTTATCTGGTCATGAGCATCCTTTGTTATTATCATCTAATACTTGACTATGTCAAAGTTACTGCTTTAAAAAAATTGCACCTTTGACTTTGCAAACTTAGAAAAGACTCAAAACATTCCTTTAGCCATAAGTTATCTTTTCATAAGGTTTAGGATTTAAAGATTCTCAGTTTAAAACTATATATTGTATACAGGGTTATTTTCACCCCATGTTATTTTCTCCTTTCACACTTGAAAACAATTTTTATCCCATTTTAAATTCGCCCAGTCATAGTTTTGTTTATGAAATTATACTGTATTCTTTGAATTCACCCCATTTTAAATTCGCCCAAAGGAGGATAGGGCAAAAGGGGCGAAAATAAAAGGTGGCGAAAATTTCCCTGTATACAATATTTAACCCAGAATACCACTTGTTGTACTCATGTTATAGAATTCTGTTAAATAAATCACCATAAATGAAATTGTTTCAAAATATTCATGATTGCATGAAATTACCTGAAATTTATATATAGGTAAAACATCAAAGAATTCATGGGCAATGAAGCAGGAACATTCCTGGGGAACTTGCTCTAGGAACCTATACCAGTGTACATCTGGTCCATACTTGGTTTTCTGGCTTTGGTACTCTTCAGCTGCTTTGTTGTCAGGAGTTGTTTCCCCTGTCAGAATCTGGGACTGAAGCTGTCTCATATTAGGACTGACTTCTACCAGGTGGAGGGATACAGCTTTGTTAAAGTCCTTGAACTGTGCAAAAACCTGGAAAAGGTGCTAGAAGTTAACAAGCTGCATCTGAGGTTAACAAAGCTTAATGAATCTTTATTTGAAAAAATAATACCCATGTGAAAAATTTACTAAACAATATTAAATATGTTTCAAATATCAATGACTCAATTCTTTTTCATTTATATTTCCCTTTTCAGCAAAACAAGACATGATTTTGAAACAATGATGTCCCAATATTGCAATTCTTTGCTTAGGTAAGTTTAAATGTCACTGTTAAGATCTTAAAGTAAAAAATGTTGGTAACAAAAGAAATTTTTGACACAAGAAAAATACTCATCAAAATATTAAAGCCTTAAAACCAAGTGTTGATGTACAGGAGGTCAAAGTTTGACAAAAATAGAACTAATGTAAGGTCAAGGTCAGACTAAAAAAAAAGCTTATATCACAGAAATACATCCTCTAAATACTTAACCTTTTCATTTTTCAAAAATCAAATACTGAAATCAACTAACTTCTAACATGTAGATCTCCTTACCGACATCATATCAGCTGCTAGAGTTCCTCTCCCAGGTCCGAGTTCTACAATCTGTAATTTGTCTGGTTTACCCATTTGTTGCCATTCATGCACACACCACACTCCTATCAACTTCAAGTAAAATACATGTATAAGAAATAAAGTTTGACGATATGCATTGCCATAATTTTAGAGAAAGTTAAATTTTCCAAAATATCCCATATTTTGATTTCAGAGTCTGTAATAAAACTAGAAGAAACTAAAGCAATTAATTTAAAGATATTGATTTTTTTACTTTGTTCTTACTAGTTCATTTTCATACCTCTCCAAACAGCTGACTGATTTCTGGTGAGGTGATGTAGTCTCCACTGCGTCCAAAAACCTCATTATTGATGTAGTAACCCTGTAAATTAAGTACAAAATCAGTTAGGTTCTAGTATCCTGCCATTCAGGTAGTTTATACTTTTCAAGATTATTCTGAATTGTAAAATTAATGAAAAAATGCTAATAATTTAGTCTTATAGGAAAACAACATTTTGTTTCCTCCTAGATGTTATGAATGAAGTATTTGTCTGATAATTGTTTGTAAATAACCCATTTGCCAGATCATTGAAAAAAATATGTGCACTATTTCAATGTCTCTTTGCACAGGCAAAAAACAAAGGTGACATAAGAAGGTGATGTTATATTTTTAAGTGATAGCATCACCACCTCATTAATGTACTTTTTTGGAGATTTCTGTCTATTTCATGTCATAATGACAGTTTAGGAGTACTGTGTTAGCTGTCTTACAGTAACAGGGTTAATAAGGACTTCTTTCATGTACTCTGCGACAGTGAGTGGTCCGTTTGCCTTGATTCGAGATGTCAGGTGCCGCATGAACAACTCTTTGATGTCTTGTGGCTCTTGTGTACAAAACTCTCGCTTCGCTTCATGTCTCCTTCCTGTAAATCAAAAGAACAGATACATAGAGGATATTCGATGTTTTGTAGTTGAATATGGAATTTATTTTACGAGTGGGACAGGATTTTTGATATTTTCACGAGTGCGAAGCACGAGTGAAAATATCAAAAAATCCTGTCTTACGAGTGAAATAAATTCCATATTCAACTACAAAACATTGAATTTTCTGTTTATTACATTTTAAAACAAAAATCTTTGATTTTTCCTTTGCCTCTGTCTTTTTGTAATACAATAATAGGCTACATGACGTCATAGTTGAGCGGTTGAGACGTCATAGCTAAGTGAGGTGAAAACACTGTAAACATGGATTTAGCAACATATTTTTGTAATTTTTGACAGTTTTATTCGCTGTCAGAATGGTTTATTTTTTTCCATTTATCTTATATTATGTCAAGAAGCTTTTTTACAACAATCTTCGTTATGGGAAGGGAAATCGAGAGTTTTCCAGCACTTCTGATATTTGTCACACTGTGACAGGATATCATTTTTATTCAATGAATAAATTACAGTATTTCACGGGTAAAAATGAAATAAATACATGTATTTCTGTTTATTTATTGTTATAGGCTAAGAACACTCAATTCATCGTGCCACATAAAAGGTGAAAAAAAAGATCTATCTATTAAGAATTTATTGAGGAATAAAGGTGACTTATGTCAAAGGTGTTTTGTTTCTGTGATATGGATATCAAAGCACAAATTTTTAGCAATCAATAAGGTGAAAATACATCAAATTTTACTTTGAAAAGTACATTCTAAAAGCTGAGAACAACTTGTAAACAGGCATAGGCCATTTTCTATATTGCCATCTGTGATATCAACACTAAGGTATACACTTCACATTTGTTACATCTGACTGCTTTATTGTCTCAGCATGGAATGGTGACCCGTGTTTGTGCTGGTTATATCTTGCAGTACCTTTGTTTACATTTTAGAACAGTTCTCAGGTAAGTTTGGACTTTCAGTAAGGCGTGGCATTCTCGGCAACTTAATTAGCGTCTGTCAAATGGCGAATAGATTCTCATTGGTTGAGAAATTGATAACATCAGGAATTTTAAATTGTTATTGACAACGATGAGACGACTTAAAGGCAGAGATTTTAAGCACCGCCTTCAAAAATACCTGGTCTGGGTAGCCCTGTCAATCAAGCGCATGAAGGTCCATCATTGGTTGCTGGAACTTGATTGACACTTACTTACTGGTCCCTGTGTATACCCTGAACACCTTGTTTGGGACTTGTGGCGACCTTCTAGATAAATGTTGATCCTTTGATGTTTACTGAACATAGTATACAGAAACTGTATTACTTTGAAAATATTGATAATGTTTGAATTACGTATACCTTTAGTATTCGAAAGGATTATTATAATATGCATTTTTTTTAAATTTAAATTAACCTTTAGTGCATGAAACTTTTTTTTTCAAATGAAATTTCGATTTAATTTTAATATGCTAAATGGTAAACCTACAGTGGAAATGTTATCAATAAAGTCCAGAGCAGCACTATGTGAAGAAAATCAATTAAATTTAAAAATAATCTTTCCAATCATGGGTCAACTTTACATGTATATTTTCCTTTTTTATTCAGATAAGAATCAGGCGCGGATCCAGGAATTGAAGTAAGAGGGGGCGCCAAAAGTAGGCAAGGGGTCTTGTGGCCACCTTGGGTCCAGGCAAAGCCCTGGTGGGGGCCCAGGGGGCGAAGCCCCCGGAAGCTCCTGGGTTCTAGAGATTTTGTAGGGTAAAAATGAGGTCTACCAAGTAGACATATTTACATTTCCTAGACGAAACTGTGATTTACGATAACTTTGACAATTTTAGGGGGGGCGCGCGCCGGGTGCGCCCCCCTTAAATCCGCCACTGAGAATTTACTAGCAATCTTTTTTAGCATGTTTCATGGTGATAAAGTCTTATTCATAAGGTTTGGGTAAACCTAGATAGTTTTTCTAGTGAAATGTGGTTAACATAAAAGTCAACTTCATTTTATTAATAGATGGGATCCTGGGGATGAAGGAATTAAGTCTAATTTGGTTGTTACAGGAGTTGTTTTTTTTAATTAACACATACATTAACATCTAAAACAATCTTTGTTTTAATATTTGAATTTATAGTGTGATAAAATAATAATTTTTTAAATGGGTAGGGGTGTTTTCAAACAGTAAAAAATAAATCAATATATAATTGAAAAAAAAACTTTTTACTACTAATTTCAAAATTGTCTCAAAATCCTCAATACAGGTAAAGTTTGACACTTGGGGTATTTCACTGTGTATTAAATCGCTTCCTGTGTATAGGGATTAGGAGAAAGATGTCCACAGGTAGACTGCTAGCCCCCAAGGCTTTCACACCTGTGCAGAATAAGCCCCTCCCTCACCTGGAATTTACCACCCGGTAAAAAATCTCTGCCTTTAAGCCCCGCCTCTGTGCCTAGCTAGAACTTTTAATTGGCTATTTGCTACACCAGTTGACATTCGGCCGAATTTCTATCCTTTGTACATTTCAACAGTGAAGGAATGCTGTGTAAATTTCAGAAGCTAATTATGTAATGTCGTGAATGCCATACCTTACTGAAAGTCCAAGCTTAACCGGGAATTGTCCTACTTGTATTTGTGTTTGTTTGTATAGCCTACTGCACTAACCTGTGCAACTGTTGTAAGTTTGTTTAGTATCTTGGTCTCCAGTTTTAACGAGGCTTTTATAGATAGGGGCTCTCAGATATAGCAAGATACCAATCAAATATGGCAGGCAAAATCCTTTTACAAAACGTGTTCAGCTTTAACTATGAAATTAAGCTATGTAAGTAAATCAAGCTACATAGCTAAATCTAGTGACTATACCAGACCTGACAAGCTGACTGTCTACATTGAACAATTAAGATAAAGATTTGTGAATGTGCTACATGTTGCAGCTGGATCATTTTCTTTCTGAATGTCCTTATCTTTTAGCTAGCAGTGATAGCTTCATAGAAAAGTGAATACAATGACTGCAATCATACACTGATCTCACAAACAGTAGTGATTTGTCGGAGAGTGGGAAAATGAATTATTCATTCTTTTTTTAATGCCCAATGCTGTCCTAAAATAACTGTTTGCAATACTTTAAAAAACATAATCTGAATTAGTCATTACTTCCAAATTTGTTGACACCGGCAAGTCTGGAAACAACAGACCACGTCAGACCAGTGAAATTTCTACGTGACATTGCACACACGTGCGGCTCTCCGACATTGGAAAACCCCCTTCTGCAAATAACCTCGCTTTCGAATGAGAATTCGCCTAGCCTAGGTCACGCAAGTCGTTTGACCCCCCACTCAAACGCCTTGGAGCATACTGTAGATAAAATTTACACCACGGGGCGGCGCTGTTAAAGAACGTTAACTCTAAATATTTATGGCGACTCCGCGGAAAGTAAACATTATAGCGAGCGCAGCGAGCGTCGCGAAGCGACGCTCGCGAAGCGAGCTCAATAGACTAACGTGTAAGAACAGAGGAAATTCGGATTGAAATCTGTACATACGTCAGCCAAATTTCTCTGTGCAACATTCCCAGAATTCCTGCACTACCCAATGTCCTTTGCGCGAATATTGCCGAATAAATAAATAAATAATAACGTAAAGCATATATCAGACTTTCAGTTTGTAGAAATCTTTCAAAGAAACAAGAAATAACTCTGCAATGGTTTTCGACAAAAATTGCACTAGTTCTATAGTTTCAAACAGACGCTCGGCTGTTTTAAGCTCCGACGAGCTTTGTGACGTGTATGACGTCACAGCTAGTCGAGATATTCGTGCGGCTTGACGTTCGAAGTGGCTGATCTCAAGTGTTTTTGATGGTACAACTGCGCTCGCCCCAACGGTCACACCGTAAAACATATTATTTAAAAAGTAAATGAGCTTATACTGTCAAACATTCTATACATTTCGTTTTTTTTAAGTCAGCTAGTGATTAGAAAGTGTGTACTCCAACATTTAGACTGCTGATTATTTCAACTGCAAACTCCTACACCTGCATACGCACTGTGTGTACTGTACCAGATGACTAATGACCTATATAAATTACTATGGCACACTGTAAATTATCTTCAACTTCAAGCTTCAATTTCGGTAAAATAACGTATTAACAGCGACTTCCCATAACCCGTAGGTAGCACTGCAAATATGTCCAACCTATTTGCTAATTTCTCCAGGCATACTTTCTGTGATGTTTTTAAAGGAAAGTCGATTGTAAGATCAGCCAAAACTCTGGCAATCGTGATGTCAAACGTTTATTTTTGTTCAACCAATCACAGGCTTTATCAAATTCTGGATAAGCCTCGTTCTGAAGTAAAAATATTTATAGTGGAATGCTCCTAGACGTTTGGTGTGAGACCATGCATCGATGCAACAAACGTGTAGGTGACCTAGACTAGAATTCGCCACGTCTGCCACATATATTAATGCGCGTGTGGATATTTCTTACTTTGTTTCCTATAATTTAACCATTTTTATGCTTAAAATATATTTTGATAAATTTAAATAAGTTTTAAATTCAGAGTTATGAAAAAAATTATCACTTATTTTGTAATTACCAGCTTTAACGTTTAAAGACTATATTTAAGCGACATCATATCCTGTTGTATGTTCTTAAGTTCACTGTATATTTAGAATCAAAACAAAAATTAGCATATGGATGTCTGTTTTAGTGTTGGATGAAGCGGTGTAATATAACTAATATACAATAAGTGATAAATGACTTCACTACTAGTTAAGTTTCTCATCTTCTCAGCCATACTTCCATTGCTGTCGTTCGCGAAAAATGGAAGTAAAAGCCAGCCAAATTCCTGCTTTTGCAAGGTAAGAACACCCAAATTCGAATTTCCTCTTCAATTCATTAACAGTGTACATGCTGCAACTACAATGCAATATTTGTAGGATTGTTATCTTGAATACATTTTTTATGAAACTCCAGCTCATCAAAATTTGAGAGCAATACAACTGACTACGTTTTCACGAATAAATTATTAACAAAAAAAAATTGATTCTGAACATTTCAAACACCTATATAAAATGCAACAGGAAAGGAAGAAATTAATGCGTGGATTGAGCAGGATTAGACCCTGAGACAACCAGCAAACTGTGCAATATTGTTCTACCACTGAGCTACCAGACCGACAATAATTTTTCTTCCTTCCCATCACAGATTTCATTCCATATTTGACAATCCCTTAATTTGCAGGAAAAAGGCAATGTTTGAGCCCTGCATATTGACCAGGGTAGCTCAATTGTAGGGCACATGGCTGGTGATTGCAGAGGTTTCAGGTTCGATTTCCAGTCCAGCAATACATTTTCTCTCTTCCTGTTAAAATATTTTCATCAATATACACGATTAGATCCCTGAGCACTAGAGTATGGAGAAGGAAGAGTATCATATTATACTATCTAAAGTAGAAACAGCTAGATCATTATAGCTGTTTTACAAATGTTACTCAGTTTCCTCAATCTCAGTTTTTAAACAGAGAATATCAGTACACATGTATTTGTCACAAGTGTGGTTTTAACCAAGTGCAGTTTTCACTGGGTACCATTTGAACAATAATTCACACAAATGGTCTTTTTAACTCAGTATCATGTATTATACATGAAATATTTTTGCATATTGAAAACAGACAACAAAATGTTTAAACAATCTTTTGATGTAAGTCAAAGACATAAAAGGTGGGGAATACCGTATTTATGCTGTTTGCTCTGGATAAGAGTATACTTTGTTCTCCTTAACATTGAAAGAAGCTGCTACTACATTGTGAAACTAACCTTGTATGAAAGAACTAATTACTACCAGTCGGAAGCATATGTCTGTTATGTATGTTTCTTACAATAGCAAGAATGTCAACCATTGTATTTTGTTTTTTTCATTGTAACATATGTTGTTAAGATTAGTTAGATTATGCAATTGAAAAGGATTCAAATGAAATAAATTTTAAAGCTTCACGTGCAATTATAGTAAAATAATTAAATGATAAACAACATTAAGATTAAATGAATCAATGAAAGTAAATCATTCATTATTTAAAAAAAAAATAAAATTACAAAAATATTATAAGTGAATGTTAAGCTGCACTAAGAGAGAAAATAAAAATGCATAGCATAGATTGTTCTTGTTTCCTGCTATGATAAATAATTTGATCTTGATAATACAGTATTTCCATTAGTTTTTCCATGATTATGTATACTTTCTTTTTGGGGGGGTATAAAATGATTTTGTGACAGAGCGCAAAAGTGCACGATTTAATACCTGCATTAGAACTGAAATAGCACTAAGTACTTGATAATGTGATAGATAATTTTAAACACACCTGTTACTCTACTAAACACATAGAATTTGAAGATTAAACAAAACATTATCATGTTAAGTGAGTTATAAAGTTAATTCATTTTATCTCTAGCAAGCTATTATGTTGTTGCTTAATGTTTTATTGATTGAGAATTGAATTGATTTTGGTATAAATGGGGAAAATAAAATAGCCATACAAGTGATAAACAGGTAAACAGATGGAGATAAGGAAATTACCTCCTATTTTGTAAACAGTTAAAAAAAATGAAATACATGTATATACATCATAATGTAATGTATTTTGATTTTTTTTAGTTTAATTTAAAGAGAATAAAATATTGCACACTATACAAATTGCACCAAAAAAAAAATTTAAAGTTGATTTTTATGATAATTGACAAAATGACAAAAACTTCCACATGTATGAAACTAATGAAAGATGTCCTCCAACATGGGACACATATATTTCTAATGTATTTAACAGAGAACTTTTCCCCTCCAGGTAGCATAGATTTTTGAGTGACGTGGAGCTGTGTTTGCTGGATTCTGTAGTTTATCTGTATGTCTGTCTGTTTCCTTTAGCTACATGGCGAGGTAGATGACTGCTCCTGTAAGGTGGAGAATTTGGACTCACTGAACAACAAAAAGATCTACCCCATCCTAAAAAGCCTACTACAGCGGGACTACTTTAGGTATTTTAAGGTAATGTTGGAGGATGATTCTACTTGCATGATTGCAAGAATGTGTTCCATTATGCTTCACTTCTATTTCTGAATATTTAAGTGATAATACGTGAAGAGGTTGTTTGTAAAAGCCTAAGGTTGAATGTTATAGTTTGTAAGAGAAGAACTATTGATAAATGTAATAGCATTTTGTACAAAAAAGGGGGCCACAAAACTTGCAAGGTCAGCACTATATTAATTAGGAAATGTTACTTCAAATGTTGAGTGTATTGAATGAGCATAAGGAAGAAGTCCTTGAAAAATATAGTTCTGATTTTAAAACTCTAGGAGACAGGAATATGAGTACATGTAGGTATTATACAGCATGGATCAATAACTGGTCTGGTACTTTACCATTGGCCTTGAGTTAGTCAGAGAATGTCATGCCTATATTGGACACATGATATTTCTAACTCTATATGTCCTGTGAATGAAATTGAGGTCTAATGGTTTTTTTTAATGTTATTTAATATTCAGCATTTGCTTGAATTCAGTAGAGTGACCTTTAGTAAAGGTTAGTTACAATTTCATGCATATGGAGACTTTACATTCTCAAAGTTAAAGTTAAAGTACTGGGCAATAAATAAATAAATAAATGCTTCAATAAATTATCAGAATTTTATTTGACTGTGATAGAGGCATAAGATATCAAGAGTTTGCACCTGTCATAAGTCTGAAACGGAAATATTTTATTGGCTTTTTATATGATGGTACATGTAGATGTAACAGAAAACAGAGATGTCCACATATATACTGTAAAACCACAAATGTTCTTGGGGGATTAAATTTCGTTTATTTTGTTGTTAACAACTATCAACAAAATTAAATCCCACACGAAATTTTGCATGACTATATATTGAATAGGGTTAATTTCAAAACAACGAAATTAAATGCCTTGTATTCGAAACAATTTTAGATGGCAAATCAACGAAATTTTATCCCAACGAAAATCTGTGATTCTACAGTACTTAACAGTACATTATTTTTAGTAATACCCATTTTGAATAGATGGCATAATTCTTGTCTAAAGTGTGTTTAGCTTGCTTAATAAATTTACAGATTTTTACAGCTCACTGGAGAAAATGGCTAGCTAGATTAAAACCTATTTTGGATAAAAATTCAATTTCCAGAACAAGATTCTAAGATTGATCATATTTGTTTTAGGTGAATTTACTGAAGCCTTGTCCATTCTGGTCTGATGACAGCCGGTGTGCTCTAAAAGACTGCCATGTCCAATCCTGTTCTGAGGTATTATGTCTTAAAATTAATTCAGTTATCTTTAAGACTTATTTATCATTTCACCAAAGATTGATAAAAAAAATCGATCTTAATGTAAACCTCAGACATAAAAAAAAGTTCCTTTTGTCAATATTACATGTTGTATATTCCTGATACAATATTCTTTCATTACAGTTTCATATTTATTTTCACTAAATGTTAAAGTAAATAAAAAAAAAAAATAATGAAGAACATGTAAATTCTTCTCGTTTATAATTTTCAGCACTTGCAAAAGTGTTAAAGAGAATTTCTGTAGAATTTTCAACTCAATATTTTCATAATATGAAGAGAGTAATGAAAAATGGATGGAACTTTCAATGGCAGTGAAGCTTAAATCTGGAAAATCAATTTACTTAAAATTATTTCCTTTTGTAGGATCAGGTGCCAGAAGGATTAAAGGAAAATGGAAACCCAAAGGAAATCAATAAGGTAGTGGAATTATCCAGTGTCAATGATTTATTTCATGTATATATGCTGCAAGCAAATCAATTAGTGTGGAAATTGGATAGAAATTTTTGTGTAATATTGCCCCGAATACATATTTTCTGTATTGTAAAACTATTATGAAAATTTTTGCTAATGACAATTTGGTTTACTGATGTGAAATTTAATGAATTGCATTCAAATTACAACTCAAGAAAAAGTTATTGTAAATTATCCAATATATTTCCACATTCATTCACTATTACTTACTAAACACGTTAGTATCTTCAGTTCAAAAACTTTCTTATTCTTTGTAAGCAATGAAGTCACAGAGTTTTGTAGTTTCCTTATTCATATTAAGTTAATGCAAATGTAATTGTATAATATATGAAGTATTGACACGTTATGAAGTGTAGCTAATTATTTATGTAATGATTTTGACAGTACTCAGAAGAAGCTCAAAAAGATCCAGAAAACTGTGACCAGGAGAGAGAACTCAGTGCTTTAGATAGGACCATTAGGTGAGAAGGGATTCACAAATAGAGCACTGTAAAGGTGGATAGTTACTTGTTAGTGATTGAGATATAAAGAAGCAAGAACATTACACGCAGGGTTATTTCCAAAGTACATGTACTGTTACTATGTAATTATTAGAACTGAAAAACATATGTTTGAAGTAGGCAGAGGGACATTTATGCAGAAGCTTTCTTATCTAGTGTAAATCACTCCCATTTGTAAATTTCCACAGCTACCACATTGAAATCCATAAAACAAGGGATATTGACAGCTTTTCATAAAAACAGAACCATTACAATGATTTATAAAGTGTCATTTATAAATCCCTGATGAGATTTTGATATATTGCGTACTAGTATCTGTTTATCTCATTTAGTGCTGAAAGGATGGAGGCCTTTAAGAATTGGACTCGTCATGACGACAAGCAAGAGACCTTTTGTGAAATAGATGGTAAGTATTATATATATTGTAATATTGTTTAAATATATGCAAAATATAACTACACAAGGTGTGACAAAGCTAAGAAAAGCTATAAAAAAGGAAAAGTGAAGCAAAGTTGTTATCAATGATGAAAAAAAAATAGACCTATCAGATCCTGGTCTGGTGGCTCCCCATTATGATCAGTCTTTCTATATAAGATCAGTATTATTTACTCTTCCCATATCCCAATCTGGCTAATACCTAATACAAACTAACAAAGAGAAACTATATATGCTTAAGACTCTGCAGTGTCTCTGATTCAAATTAAAGCTAGGTCATGGTCATAACTGTATGTATTTATACCCCCCGCAAACGAAGTTTGTGGGGTATATAGGAATCACTTTGTCCGTCTATCTGTCTGTCCGTCTGTCTGTCTGTCCGTCTGTCTGTGCAAACGTGTCCAGTCCATATCTTTCTTGAGGAGGGACATTAGAATCTACTACTCCACACAAAGATTACCCATGACCTAAGGGTGTGTCATGACCTTGATCCAAGGTCATTTGGGGAAGTTCAAGGTCACTGGAAGAAAAATTTCATATAATTTGCATCCAGTTAAAGATAAAATTAATGAGTTTGTGTGTTATCTAATCTCCAGGGAATGTCCAGTCCATATCTTTCTTATGGATAAACTTGGTAGGTTCTCATTTCACAAAAAGATTGCCCATGACCCAAAGGTGTGTCATGACCTTGACTCAAGGTCATTTGGGGAAGTTCAAGGTCACTGGAAGAAAAATTTCATAATTCGTGTTCGGTCCACATTTTTTCTATGGATAAACTTGGTAGGTTCTCATTTCATGCAAAGATTGCCAATGACCCAAAGGTGTGTCATGATCTTGACCCAAGGTCATTTGGGGAAGTTCAAAGTCATTGGAATAAAAATTTCATAATTCGTGTCCGGTCCATATCTTTCTTATGGATAAACTTGGTAGGTTCTCATTTCACACAAAGATTGCCCATGACCCAAGTGTGTGTCGTGACCTTGACCCAAGGTCATTTGGGGAAGTTCAAGGTCACTGGAAGAAAAATTTCATAATTTGTGTCCGGTCCATATCTTTCTTATGGATAAACTTGGTAGGTTGTCATTTCACACAAAGATTGCCCATGACCCAAGGGTGTGTCATGACCTTGACCCAAGGTCATTTGGGGAAGTTCAAGGTCATTGGAATAAAAATTTCATAATTCGTGTCCAGTCCACATCTTTCTTATGGATAAACTTGGTAGGTTCTCATTTCACACAAAGATTGCCCATGACCATGTGTCATGACCTTGACCCAAGGTCATTTGGGGAACTTCAAGGTCACTGGAAGAAAAATTTCATAATTTGCGTCCGGTCCATATCTTTCTTATGGATAAACTTGGTAGGTTCTCATTTCGTGCAAAGATTTTCCATGACCCAAGGGTGTGTCATGACCTTGACCCAAGGTCATTTGGGGAAGTTCAAGATCACTGGAAGAAAAATCTTATAATTCATGTGTGATACATATCTTTATTATGGAAAAGTTACTTCTGAAAAACCTAGCAGGGGTATTTTGTCCCGTTTGGACAGTTCTAGTTGCTTTAGGAGTCTATACATATTTTAAGTATTAAAACAAATGATTTCTATTTTTTTAGATGATAATACCCCTGACTGTCAGTATGTAGACCTCCTGTTAAATCCTGAGCGGTACACTGGCTATAAAGGAGCTTCCCCTCACAGGATCTGGAACAGTATATACGAGGAGAACTGCTTCAAGTAAGGCTATATATCAAAGTTCTGCTCGTAATGTGTATATGTATTACTTTAAAAGTTTATGTGTTTGTTCTTTTTGAAAAATTTTTATACAAGGAAAATACAAAAAAAAGTTGTACATGTATATAGAAATTGATATTTTTTATTGACAGGCCAGAGGGAGCTGTGTACGGGTCAAAGAAGACGCTAGCAGGTAGGAGGTCAATTTAAAAAAAAATATATACATAAACAGTGTCATGAATTGATAAAATTTTCATTCAAATCTTTTGATTAATTATTAACTGATTGCTCTCTTGTAGCAAAATTTTCAAGATATACTGTACATGTCTCTGTAATATTGTTTGGTTAAACATTCATTTTTAGATATTTAAACTTCTTTATGTTCAGATTTTTTCAGAGGTTTGTTTATCACTCAAAACAAATGTTGCACATTTTTCTTTTTTTTTTCTTCTTTTTTTGTTGAGAAATCCATAAAAATTGGTATAAATTGGTATACTGTGACAGTTGCACTCAGAACTACAAATCATATTTTACACACTAGTATTTCATGGATTGAATAATGGTAATGCTGTTGAAATGGGAGCTTATTTTTGTTTATTTACTTTTTCCTTTTTCATAAATTTTCTACATTCTGCAGTCCAGAATTTTTGTTTTGAAGGAATATTTCTTTTATATTTTTCCTGATTATTCCTTTTATGTCCACATGTGGCTATATTCGGATTACTTAAAGATTTGTATTTTTTGAATCCATCTTCCTGGTACTAAGGTTGATTATCCCCAGAGGATATGATCCTCAACAAAGATCATAATCATTTGGACAAGCTCAAGTTAAATTATTTTATAGTGTCAAATCTCTCCTTGGACCATACTAGTTAATTAAAGTGTCTGGGAAGGTCATATCTGGCACAAAGATTGCTCATGGGCATAAACTTTATTTTGCCTATCTAAGCATTAGTTTTGCCTGTAAACAGAGACCCTGCACTAAGTTCAAGAACTACAAACATAAAGTTGCTTTTGAAATCCACAACTTTATAATTGAGAAATATTTGAAGGTAAAACTTTTCACAAAATTAGCTACAATGACTTTGTCACGACAAAATTGTTATAAAGATAAAGTCAGAGGACAAGTCGGGGAGGGGGTTGTGGGTGAGCAGTGTCATGTGATGCAGATACTGAGTACGGAAGAAGTTTGTATTTGATACCAAGAAGTGTCTGACAATGGACCCTCCAATAAGGACGGCTAAACAATAAATGTGTACACATACATTAATATAAATAATTAAAATTAATTGTGCAGCAATACTACCCTTTTCTCTTGCCTTATTTTGTTTACCCTTTTAATTTTACTTAACACTGACAAATGCATAAATGATGATATATTTTTTTTAATTTTATGCCCAACAAATGACCACTGTACTAATTTAAAGATATTCCAATTTCATTACAGGCTCTTTGGAAGGTATGCTGGTGTTGCTTTTTTATTCTATAATCTGTGTACTAACTTTCTCTTTTCTCTGCGTGCAGCTCAGAATGCATGCAATATAATAGATTGATGCATGATTAACATATATTCATGTATTGTACATGTATTATGAATATCATTATATATAAGATTATAAGTTAGTGAGCTTGCATAGATACTGTAGTTATCTTTGTTCTTTTCATTCTCTTTTCTTTTAGAATTATTAGTGTGAGCTTTTTAAAGTCAGTGGCTCTAAAAGCCTATGATTTAAATTGTTTCTCCTCTCTAATTTATAAAGCTGATTATATAGTCATAATACCATTAAAACAACTATTTTTATTAATCCAAACTATTGCATATTGCAGTAATCTAAATGTTTTATTCAGAAAATTTAAAATATTTTTATTTTGATGATAAATATTAAAATGGTGTGAAAAATTGGATAATTAACACAAATATGATATACCTAATCCTGTTTTTCACCTCTGGAATGGTGGCACAAATCAATCTTTGCTTGTACAAATTGTTGTTATCAAAATTGAGAGTGATATTGAATAACAACAAAGTATGCAAATATTAGTTCATACACAGTAGTTAGGATGAAGTTTAAAGGAACACAATTTAGTATAATGACAATATTTGTTTCACTCTATATCACTTTTGAATGAGAAATTTCATTGTATATAATAAACATTGTGTATTTCTTTTTGATTTAGGTCTATGTCTGGAGCAGCGAGCTTTCTATAGACTTATCTCAGGACTTCACACCAGCATCAACCTTCATCTCTGTAACGAGTACCTCTATCCTTGTGAGTAACTTTATTTTCAAGAAACTTCAATTTCTGGGGCTCTTTCACATTGACAAACATGAAAAAAGGGTTGTATAAGTATATTATCTGAAAAATAGGTTAAAGTATTAGAGTTTCACATCAAAATTTGTCTGTTGTATGTCTGCTGTCATCCTCATAGTTGTACATTGTAGTAGTTGTTGTTAAAAACAATTGACAATTTCATCCTTTCACATTTTCATCTTCTTCTCTAGAACCAATGAGCCAATTTCAACTAAACTTTGCAAACATTATATTTCTGGGTGGAAGGCATTCAGATTTATTCAAAAGAGGGGTCACAGTCTATTCCAAGGGAGATAATTAAGAAAGAGGGTTAATTGGGTAGTATGATTTAAAAAATATATATATTTTTGTAAGAGTTACTGGGTCAGAAAATATAAACCTAAATGAAATATCTTTTACTTAGTGTAAATTCAAGTTGTTTAAATCATGCCGCGTGGGATTAGGGTGGGTCATAGTGGGCAATCAAAATTATATTTGAAGCTAGTATATAGATAAAGTCTTTGAAAATATATATTCTTCTCAAGAATAGCAAAGCCATATTTCTACGTAAGCATCCCCAAGTAGTGTGGATTCAAGTTTGCTCAGATAATGAGCCTAGGGGATACAATGGGCATTCAAAGGTTTACATAGGATTTTATAGAGAGAAACATATATTTTAAAATTTCCTCAAATCAGCAAAACCCTGAATAATACAGAAGCAACCTCAAGTAGTGTGGACTCAAGTTTCTTCAAATTATGACCTTGTAGATAGAGTAGGGCACAACAGGGGATCAAAGTTACATGTACACATGTGCAAGTAAATGAAATATTTTATTGAAAGAAAGAGTAAACTCATGATTAGACATATTTATATTGGAACATCCTCAGTTAGTATATAGATAGAAATGTGCCAATGCAATGTACAGATACATTTATAATACATGTACTTTTCAGCAAAAAATTTATTGTCAGCACCAGAGTTCAAACCAAATACTGAGGAGTTTATTAAGCGATTTGACCCTAAAGCAACTAAAGGTCAAGGACCACAACGTCTGAAAAACCTGTATTTCACCTATCTCGTAGAACTGCGAGCCCTGGCCAAGGCTGCACCATATTTAGAAGAGGTTTGTTTAATTGAGACCATAAATCATTTAAAGTTAAATTTAGTCAATTATTTATGAAATTTTTCCAAAAAATATGCTTATAGTGCAGTATTAGTGACATACAATTTGTAGATATATTGAAATAATCAATCTGCTATAAGTGTGAATTCATTGTAAGCTGTAACTGTATTTTTCTATGTACAGGAAAACATCATTACATTCCTTGCCATATAAATATATTTTTATCTCTTCCTATTTGTTATTTATATATATTCCAAATATTAGAATTTTTTCTAAACCTAGGAAGATTTTTTTACGGGCAATCCAGCCGAGGAGACTGACGTTAAGGAAGGAATCAAAGACTTACTTAAAGTCATCAAGTAAGGCTCAAGTATCACTGATTAGATATTTAATGTATTACCAATTGGTTTGATTAATTAAGACATTAAATATGTATATTACAAAGTAATTCTACTTCCTGTAAAAAAGAATGTTTTATGTTTTACATCAGGTCATTTCCAGACCATTTTGATGAAAGCAACCTTTTCAAAGGAGATCCAAAGGTGGCAAAGAAACTTAAGGTACATTAAAAGGTTTTTTTTCAAAGAAAGTTTTGAAGTGGATACTGCTACTAAATTTTAAAAAGAGAGAATTTTATCATTTTTGAATGTATAAATCATTCCGATCAAATCTATATTAATTTGCAGACTGAATTCCGAGAGCATTTTAGAAATATTTCCCGTATCATGGACTGTGTTGGATGTGACAAGTGTAAGCTGTGGGGAAAATTACAGGTAACTTTCAAATTATTTTGTGATGTAAAATACATCACGATCCTTTTCTGATCAAAGTTTGTCCATCATCAATCAATAGCTGTTTCTCTGTTGTCATTGTTTGTTAACATTGTACATTTTTTACCTCTTCTCCAAAATCACTGTGCCAATGTCAATTGAACTTGGCACAAAGCATTGTTTGTTTTTATGCAATGGAAGGGCTTTCCTTTAAGAGATAATTAAGAAATTCCCCAAATCCCAAATGAAAGGAATCAATGATCCAGAAAACAAAACAAAAAAAAATTATGTGAAAGCTTCTTTATCTAGTGTTCATTCAAATATGTTCAAATTTGAAGTTATGGTCCTGGGGGTAAAATGGGACCACAAAAAAATCTCAAGAGCAGCAAAACTGATATATCAGCATCTCAATATACTTAAGATTTGTTCAAATCATTGCCTCAAGAAAATTTTAAATGGAAAACATTCTTGAAAAAAAATTATCAAAACTTATCCAAATGCAGGGATAATTAAATTTGTATTTTTCAGGTACAAGGTATGGGGACAGCTCTGAAGATTCTTTTCTCTGGAGATAGTATTGGATTGCAGTCTACAGTTAATGCCAATCACAAACAAAAGTTCCAGCTCAGGAGATCAGAAATCGTTTCTCTGGTCAATGCTTTTGGAAGGTATGTTTCTTACATATATAGTAGTTAAAATTTCACATTTATTATTTTATTTATATCTGAAAACCTTCAATTCTCCTATCATAAAATATTGTGAGTGTCAAGTATAAATTATCAGAAGTGTTTATCAAATTTTAGACTGTCCAGTAGTATCCACACTATAGAAAAATTCCGTAAGTTGACAAGCTGACCAATGGAGGACATTGCTGCATGCCCAGGGTAACTCTGGAATCTCCTGATGCCTGATATTAACAGTCTACAACAATGGATCTCATTCACTGCATAGGAGCTATCACTGTAAAGCTGGAGATGTTGGCAAGATTATTTATTCTGTTCAATATTTGGAAGCTTATTCAACTGTTTCCAATCTAGGTTCTAGCTCTTGTAGAGTGTTTTTTAGCTCACCTGAGCCGAAGGCTCAAGTGAGCTTTTCTGATCAAAATTTGTCCGTTGTCTGTCGTTGTCGTTGTCGTTGTTGTCGTTGTCGTCGTCGTAAACTTTTCACATTTTCATCTTCTTCTCAAGAACCACTGGGCCAATTTCAACCAAACTTGGCACAAAGTATCCTTGGGTGAAGGGGATTCAAGTTTGTTCAAATGAAGGGCCACGCCCTTTTCCAAGGGGAGATAATCATGAATTTGTTAAAAATTAATGGCATTTTTAAAAAATCTTCTTCTCCAGAACCGCTGGGCCAGGAAAGATGAAACTCTTGTGAAAGCATCCTTAGGTAGTGTAGATTCAAGTTTGTTCAAATCATGACCCCCGGGGCAAGGGTGGGGCCAAAATGGCCGACCCAAGTTTTACATAGGAATATATAGGAAAAATCTTAAAAAATCTTCTTCTCCACAACCACTGGGCCAGGAAAGATTAAACTGATGTGGAATCATCCTCAGGTAGTTTAGATTCAAATTTGTTCAAATCATGACCCCCGGGGCAAGGGTGGGGCCAAAATGGCCGACCCAAGTTTTACATAGGAATATATAGGAAAAATCTTTAAAAATCTTCTTCTCCAGAACCACTGGGCCAGGAAAGATGAAACTCATGTGGAATCATCCTCAGGTAGTGTAGATTCAAGTTTGTTCAAATCCTGATCCCCGGGGCAAGGGTGGGGCCAAATTGGCCGACCCAAGTTTTACATAGAATATATAAGAAAAATCTTTAAAAATCATCTACAGAACCACTGGGCCAGGAAAGATGAAACTCATGTGGAATCATCCTCAGGTAGTGTAGATTCAAGTTTGTTCAAATCTTAACCCCGGGGCAAGGGTGGGGCCAAAATGGCTGACCCTAGTTTTACATAGGAATATATAGGAAAAATCTTTAAAAATCTTCTTCTCCAGAACCACTGGGCCAAGAAAGATGAAACTCATGTGGAATCATCCTGAGGTAGTGTAGATTCAAGTTTGTTCAAATCATGACCCCCAGGGCAAGGGTGGGGCCAAAATGGCCGACCCAAGTTTTACATAGAATATATAAGAAAAATCTTTAAAAATCATCTACAGAACCACTGGGCCAGGAAAGATGAAACTCATGTGGAATCATCCTCAGGTAGTGTAGATTCAAGTTTGTTCAAATCATGACCCCCGGGGCAAGGGTGGGGCCAAAATGGCCGACCCAAGTTTTAAATAGGAATATATGGGAAATATCTTTAAAAATCCTTCTCCAGAACCACTGGGCCAGGAAAGATGAAACTCATGTGGAATCATCCTCAGGTAGTGTAGGTTCAAGTTTGTTTAAATCATGACCCCCGGGGCTAGGGTGGGGCCAAAATGGCCGACCCAAGTTTTACATAGGGATATATAGGGAAACCTTTTAAAATCTTCTTTTCAAGTACTTCAAAGCTATGATTAGTGATATTTATATGGAATCATCCTCAGGTAGTGTAGATCCTAGTTTGTTCAAATGATGAACGCCTGGAGGGGGGGGGAGTAAATTCAAGCCTGATGTGCTCAGGTGAGCGCTGTGGCCCCTGGGCCTCTTGTTTTTCATCTTTTAAAAAAATAAGAATTTCTTGGAAATTATGTTTTTACATTCCATCGTAGTTCTTTGGGGTCTATTTTTCCCCCTATGAAATTGCACCTTCATGTACATGTATTTACTTTGGAGTACATGTATATTCATTTATGCTTATAACATCATTACAGAAAGATTAAGATTAGAGTTATTAAAGGAGGTCATCACAGAAGATTTGTGATTTTCAAGTGTGTTGTGAATAATTTTAAAACATCTACCGGTTGGTGCAATATGAGAAATACAACATATGTAGAGGTAGACATGTATTTTTATGTACATGTATGATATTTTTTATAACATGAAGAGTGTCTTATTTGTCCAGTGTAACATATATTGTAATTATATTGTGCATGCATGTTCATGTTTTTATAACTTGTTATTGGATTACAAAATTTAAAATACAAGAAAGAATATTGTATAATTTGTTGATTATGTTTGTTGAACTGTGAGTTATTTATTTCTTCTCAGTATTCAAAATACTGAATGATATATGTTAACAATGGAAATTAATAAAGGAATGTACTTTGTCATTTAGAGAAAAAAATCTCTTTACCATGTTAATCTATATATTTTACTTTGTGTTCATAAAGGTGCTGGGTATAAGAAATATGATCTTCACTAGCCAAGGGTTTGTAATACCCTACTCTCCTCATAATCCACCACTCCCTCTGATTAATGCAAGACATCCTTTTCTCATGGATACCATGTTGGCCTATCTGTTGCCAGACGCCCAGACCTACTGCATGGAACTTTCTAAACCGTTGAAATTGTGGGGAAGGGGGGGGGGGCATACTTTTTAAAGTCTCAAATGTGTTTTACTGGGATCAGATCCGAGGATTTTGCAGCCTAGTGCATATCTAGTGGCGGATCAAGGAATTTCATAACGGGGGGTGCAGTAGAAGAGAGTAGCGTAATCAGAAACCCTTGGCTAGCAAAAATGAAGAATTATATAAAAAAAAAGAGATTGTATGTGGTTCTGTTATACTTTTATGTCAATCTGATTTAGACGGTTTGTGTTTATTATATCCAATAAGAAATCCGTTACTCTGTGTCTTTAAGGAAGTGAAAACCATAGGTTGTATATCATCAAGGACTGTTATAAAGCATTTTGTATAGCACAGAAATGTTCAGTACAATAATACCTTCTTGTCTAACAAAAACAGGAAACTTACCAGGTAATTCTGGCCTATGGAGTTATTGAACTATTTATTACATGATTTATTAAACAAGTAGTAGATTTGTAATTCTCAATGAAATGTAGAAGTAAGTATATAGATTATAATGAAAGGGAAGTAACCCACATCAACATTCCTAATGAATTTCCAGCATATGTGTTAGAGCAACCCTGACTTATCTTATATTCTTCATAACATGACATAACTTGATAAAACCTGGGCAGGCTATGCACTTCTTTTTTCTGTGATATCTAGAAAACCACCACCATTTATTTATTTCTTATTGGGGTTAACATATATTGTGGATAAACTACAAAAAATTTGATATGATGCATTGATTTTAGATATAATGTACAGTGTACATGTACAGTATAACATGCTTATAGCAAACATGCTTTAAACGAACTGACGCTTTTAGCAAAGTGATTTTCATTCACTGTGACCTTAAAATGTGTTTGTAAACTTAACAGATATAACAAATTAGGTTTATAACAAAGCAAAAGTGTCCATAAATTTGTTATGAGCATGATTTATTGTGTATTTATTTATGAAATAGAATTTTTTTGGGGGAATTAGATTTGAGCTTAATATATGTATGGACATGCATAAACAAGTTCTTTGATGCAAAAACTTTGATATACATCAACAGGAATATAAAAGAAATGTTTTAGTGTTGTTCACTAATTATATTACATTCATTACATGTTTTTATGTGTACCTTTTGTTGAATCCTCCTTTCAGACACATCGTATAGTATTTCATGAGTATATTATTCTCTTTAATTGGTGCTGCTATGAAATATAATTTTTATTTCATTCTTTTGCATGACATACACTACATTATTCTCTAGACCACTACACACTGTATACTTGTTGTTGCTTAAGTTTGAAATCCACATGGTCGTATATTCTGTCTTTCTCATGTATATTTCTATAGAAACTGCAATTCAAGTAGTAAAATAGTAAATATACTTATGAATGAAGTCATAAGAAATGTCTTTTTTATGTAAGCCTAACCACCTGTTTTATATACAATATAGCTACCAAATGATATTTATTAGATAAGTGTAATTTTTAAATTATGTTCAAAAAACTGTTTTAAAGTAAGGACTTTCTCTGCAGAATTATTGATGATAGTAATTAGTTGCCTGTACATTGCACTGATTAAATGTTTTGCTTCTCTGTGATTGAACAATTCATGTAAAGAAATGATTTATATTTTCTACGTCTAATAAAATTAAATGTTTATAATCAAGTTTCAACTGAAGTTGCATTCTCTCACAAACATTCCTCCTGGTAAAAATGAATCCCGTAGATGCAAAGTTCTAATTAATTAAGTTCTTTGAACAGATAAAGAATAACACATAGAAAAAAAATGTATATTTTATTTTTTGGTAATTTTAAATAGCTGAGCGGAGTGTGAAGCCAGAGAACATTAAATAAAAACAGGTACATATAAAAATAATCCATAAATGGAACACATAACTCTGAAGATTTATGACATTGTGTAGAAAAGTACATTTATATCCCCCATCCCTGGCATTTTGTTAAATGGTTGTACTGTATAAAAATAAATGATATCATGGAACATGAACAATTTCAGTAGCAGTTTTCAAGCTCGGGCGATAACTTGAATGCCTTCCTGTACAAGTCAGCTGCCTGCATACAATCTCCTTGGGCCTGTAATAAAATCAAACACTCCATGAAACCTACGCATACATCTTAATATAACTGATGGATTATATATAACATGCAAGGTTTGTAAGATAATACATGTAGCATGAAGAAGAAAGTTTTCTTTTTCCTTTTTATTCAATTTTTGGTAGTTTAACAACAGCATTAAGGAAGGTCCATACTTTTAGGGATCCGGTTTTTCATTTTACACATCCATATAAAATTCTGATTATCAATTTTCTCTTTAAACAAAATCTTTTTTGATGACTGAAAATAATTTTGCAAGTATATTTTTGTTTATTATAGTCCCATTGTGCATACAAAACATTTAATAGACATTATTTATGGAAATTAACACTTTGCACTCTGTTCATAGGATCTACATGACATTTGGTACATACACAGACACAAAATTCTTAATTGCTTTTATGGACCTAAACTTTTAATTTTTTATTTAAACAAACAAACTTTATATCTATTTTTATTGATTTTGCGCCTATATCATCATTTTAAATTTTACTTTTTTCCAATTTTGCGAATAGAAGAGTAATTGAAAAGATTGATATTTCAAAAATGGGGGTATACGTGTTCAAAAGGCTGTTTTGTTAAATTTCTCTGGTCAATCTTAATAAAGTTTGTGTTTTTGTTAACTTTGGATATAATTTTTAATATTTCTAAAGAAAAAATGGCATATTAACAATTCAGATTTTAAGAATTATAAAAAATATGATATTTTGCGATTTTTCTCTGAAAGGCGTGGACAGCTTCAGAATCAAAATTTTAATGTTATCCAATAAAAATTTCAAATATTTGTTTGGCAAATGAATAGTTTTGATCTTCATAAGTTTTAACAAAAATTTAATATGATTTGGTGCATAGCTAAAAAAAATATGACATCACACTTCATTATGTTCATTTTTGTTTGTTGAATCTTTAGAGGTATGTACTCTGAGACGTGTTGCATGAAAATTAACCTGCAAAGATATGTCTTTTATGGGTGTTTTAGTTAGTTTATGACTTTCTCAAGGTATTTAAATACAATAATTATCAGTTTGACAGAAAATTTTGAAAGTACGGACCTACCTTAATTGAATCCCATTTTTAGCTCTTCTGAGCCAAAGGCTCAAAGAGCTAATGCTATGGCAATTTGTGCGGTGTGCGTTAACTTTTTAGAATATGGGCCATAACTCAAGAACACCTTGGCCAATTATTGTCAAATTTGTCACAGGGTATCCTTGGCCCAAGGGCTACCATTTATACTAAAATTAGGAGTGGGACCCTAAAACAAGGGGAGATAATCACGAAAATAAAACCAAAAGTACTGGTTGCTAAAATATCTTCTTCTCCAGAACCACCAGGCAGATTTTCACCAAACTTACATACAAGGGTCAGGATGTGTTGAAGATTAAAAATTGTTCAAGCCATGACCCTGGGGCAAAGGGCGTGGTCTCAAGGTCACTTCAAAGTTGACCAAAATTTACACTTAATATTAAAAACGTTGATATTTTGCTTACTATAAAGACTGGGATCATCAAATCTTGTAAGTTGATGCATCTCAGGACTTGACATCATGTTAATACAAAAGTAGGTCATGGTGACCTACTTTTTAAATTTTACGGACTTTTGTTTTCAAATTGATTTAAAGGCATATTTTGGACACTTTAAGGCCTATGATCATAAAACTTTGTCAGTTGGTGCATCTTGGGTCCACAAACAAAATCAACTTAAAAGTAGGTCATCGTGACCTACTTTTTGAATTTTTTGGCTAATCTTTTCTAAAACATTTAATCCCATTATTTCAGACACCGAGAGGTTTAGAATTACCAAATCTTGTAAGTTGATGCATCTAGAGGCCTTAAAACATATTTATCAAAAAGTAGGTCACTGTGACCTACTTTTTGAACTTTGTAGGCATTTGTTTTTAAATTGTTTAAAAGGCATATTTTGAATACTATTAGACCTATGACCATCAAATTTTGTCAGTTGATGCATCTTTGGTCTTCAGAAAATGTTGACCAAAAAGTAGGTCACTGTGACCTACTTTCGACATTTTATGGCTAGATTTAAGTATCTCTCATACTAATTGGCTTAGAATCATGAAAATTTGTCAGTTGATGCATCTTGAGTTTTTGGAGATTAAAGACCAAAAAGTAGGTCACAGTGACCTACTTTTGACATTTTATGGCTATATTTTAGTATCTCAGGTACTTATTGTAAGTGCTTAGAATCATCAAACTTTGTCATTCGATGCATCTTGGGTTTTCGGAGCATGTCGACCAAAAAGTAGGTCACAGTGACCTATTTTTGACATTTTATGGCTAGTTTTATGTATCTCAGGTACTAATTGGTTTAGAATCATCAAATTTTGTCATTTGGTGCATCTTAGATTTTCGGAGCATGTTGACCAAAAAGTAGGTCACGGTGACCCACTTCTGAATATCTCAGGTACTGATTGGCACAGAATCATCAAACTTTGTCAGTAGATGCATCTTGGGTTTTTGGAGAATGTCAACCAAAAAGTAGGTCACAGTGACCTACTTTTGTCATTTTATGGCTAAATTTAGGTATTTTGGGTACTTATTGGTTTAAAATCATCAAACTTTGTTATTTTATGCATCTTGGGTTCTTGGAGAATATAGGTCACCGTGACCTACTTGTGACATTTATGGCTATATTTAAGTATTCTAGGGTACTTTTTGGCTTAGAATTGTCAAACTTTGTCAGTTCATGCACCTTAGGTTTTCAGAGAATGTTGACCAATAAGTAGGTCACTGTGACCCACTTTTAAATATCTCAAGTACTTATTGGCTTAGAATCATCAACCTTTGTCAATTAATGCATCTTGTGTCCTCAGAAAATTTTAATCAAAAAGTAGGTCACCATGACCTACTTGTAGTATTTTATAGTTACATTTAAATATCTTCAGCCCTAACTGGCTAAGAATCATCAAACTTTGTCATTTGATGCATCTTGGGTCTTAGGATAGATTGTATAATTCATCAGAAGAGCGATTCAAGGCCCTTGGGCCTCTTGTATATGTTGGAAAATGCAAGAATAATATGGACCTTATTTCAAAAAGGAGGTAAATGCAAAATATTTACCAAAGCACATACTGTAAATGTATTATATTTGACTGTTTATTCTGTTTAGTGCCTTTTGTGGAAAGCATCATTTGCTAAATCAAGTATAACAAGTAAATGTTTTGTTGCATACATGTATTTAAACATTAATTTTTTTACTGAACATAATTTACCTCAAATCTCTGAGTGTCCTGTAACTTTCCTGTTATGTCCTTATGTTTAGACATTTACCTCTAATCTCTCAATGTCCTGTAACTTACCTGTTAGGTCCTTATGTTTAGACATTTACCTCTAATCTCTCAATATCCTGTAACTTTCCTGTTATGTCCTTATGTTTAGACATTTATCTTCAATCTCTCAATGTCCTGTAACTTTCCTGTTATGTCCTTATGTTTAGACATTTACCTCTAATCTCTCAGTGTCCTGTAACTTTCCTGTTAAGTCCTTATGTTTAGACATTTATCTCTAATCTCTCTGTGTCCTGTAACTTTCCTATTATGTCTTTATGTTTAGATATTTACCTCTAATCTCTCTGTGTCCTGTAACTTTCCTGTTAGGTCCTTATGTTTAGACATTTACCTCTAATCTCTCAATATCCTGTAACTTACCTGTTAGGTCCTTATGTTTAGATATTTATCTCTAATCTCTCAGCTTCCTGTAACTTTCCTGTTAGGTCTATATGTTTAGACATTTACCTCTAATCTCTCAATATCCTGTAACTTTCCTGTTATGTCCTTATGTTTAGACATTTACCTCTAATCTCTCAATGTCCTGTAACTTTCCTATTATGTCCTTATGTTTAGACATTTACCTCTAATCTCTCAGCTTCCTGTAACTTTCCTGTTAGGTCCTTATGTTTAGACATTTACCTCTAATCTCTCACCTTAACTTTCCTGTTAGGTCCTTATGTTTAGACATTTACCTCTAATCTCTCAGCTTTCTGTAACTTTCCTGTTATGTCCTTATGTTTAGACATTTACCTCTAATCTCTCAATATCCTGTAACTTACCTGTTAGGTCCTTATGTTTAGATATTTATCTCTAATCTCTCAGCTTCCTGTAACTTTCCTGTTAGGTCTATATGTTTAGACATTTACCTCTAATCTCTCAATATCCTGTAACTTTCCTGTTATGTCCTTATGTTTAGACATTTACCTCTAATCTCTCTGTGTCCTGTAACTTTCCTGTTATGTCCTTATGTTTAGACATTTACCTCTAATCTCTCAATGTCCTGTAACTTTCCTATTAGGTCTATATGTTTAGACATTTACCTCTAATCTCTCAATATCCTGTAACTTTCCTGTTATGTCCTTATGTTTAGACATTTACCTCTAATCTCTCAGTGATGTAACTTTCCTGTTAGGTCCTTATGTTTAGACATTTACCTCTAATCTCTCAGCTTCCTGTAACAGGGCTATTGCTTTTTCCTGACTGGGATCCAATTGTTTCTCCCCCATCTTTTTGTACATAATATCAGTTCTCAAAATATACTTCTTGCCAGACCTGACAAAATTATGAAAGTTATAAAAAATGCCAATCTCAAAATTCATCTGTATGTTTAAGGACATACGCAACGTACCTCACCTACTGATAATTTTTCAAGATATTCTAAATTTAAACTTACAATACCATTACATGTTCTTAGACAAAAAATCAGCATGCGTTACCAGGGGTTTTGAAAAGATATTAAATTGTGAAAAATTTTGCATTATTCAAAGAAAGATACACAAAAATTACAAAACATAAATTTCAGATTTTTTTTCATCAAAAATTGTTTTAGAAGAGGTGTACAAAACCATATATAGACATTAAAAGTATTGCACATGGGTCCTTCATTTAGTGGAACTCTTCAACTCCAGGGCAGAACCCAATAAAGTTCAAACTACATTGCGTATGACCTTAAATGCATTTAATACTGTGTGACTTAACTAATTACACATCATGTTGTCAATACTCACAAGAGTTGTCCCCCCTCATGAAGTCTTTGGTGATTAAACAAAATGGCCATTCCTTCCTCTGGCTGAATCTTACAAAGAACATTTTCTTTTTCTGCACAGTATTTTCCATTTTCATCCTGCCAATATAATTTTAAAATGATGTATTTGGAGAATGTGTCATCACAGTATTTACTTTTCAAAATTTTTTTTACAACATCAAGTCATTAAATATTGATTATCTTTCTTCAATTATCTAATCTGTTTAGGTATAACCAGTTCATAAAAATTGTAAGCATGAGGTTACATAAGAGTCTCTTTTTTTAATTAAACTTAAATTTCAGACTGTAAATCAAATCCTTTGTGACACTTTACTTTGTGCAGTGTTTGAGCTTCATCAACAAAGTTGGTGCTTCCTCCATCAAAGTCTCCATTAAGGTAAATCATAAAAGTCTTCAGAGACCTCTCCCCCGGGCTCTTGGTGTAGTATCCATCAAAGTGTGGAGCAAAGTGGCCCCCTGGGTAATATCTACACAGCCGAAACAACTGGGGGGAAGAAGAAAGTTGTACATGAATGACATTCAATTATAATTATTTTAAGTGTATAATTTCTGAATTTATTTAACCTAATGTAAATAAGTGTTACCGGTATATGAGTTTACTGTAAAATCACAATTTTCAATGTTTGAGGAAATACCTCTGTTTGTGATGTCAGATTTGATTTTGTGGATGAAGAATTGTTGAGTAGTTTTATATATATGTAAATTTGTGACATTTTACATTTGCGCTTTGTGTCGGACATGAATTTGTGTGTCTCGATCTTCATGCATGCCTCAAAAATAAAACCCCCATGAAAATTTGTGATTTCATAGCAGGTTGCAATTGCTATGCCATCACTAAATTTACTACTTGCAGTTGTACCTTGTTCAATCCAGCAGGTTGCCATTTGCCCTTGAGTAAGTATGGTACACCATGAATGTGTAGGTCTTTCATAGATGAATCTTCTGTAACATCAAAGTCAGTTAAATGGGGCTGTATCCTTCTCCAGAGAATAAGTGCCAATTCTTCACTTTCTATCACTAACCTGTGTACATACAAACAATGGTAATAATATATGAATATGACCCCCTTCTCTCTCTTCTCCCAAATTCCAGTAATTTGGAGACTGCTGTACAGTATTTGGGTCTAGAAATTATCACATGTATTCTCTCTCTCTCTCTCTCTCTCTCACCTGTCACAGCTGCGGTAGTCTCTTTTAGCTCCTTTAATTTCACCAAACCCCATCTTTTCACCATTTTCGATTACATGTTGACACTCACGGGATGTCATCAATTTATGAAGTAAAAATCCTTGATCACTGAAGTCTAATATCTCGGTTCTTGAGACATTACTGTCACAGTAAGAGGAGTCCTCCAGTGCTGACAATCTGTGTACATTATCAAGATCACTGGCAAGTTCTCCATTAACATCGGCTCCTGCTTCTACACCTGGTCTAAATTCTGAACTCATGATAATTGTTTCACGTCGACAACAGCAATGAAACAATGTGCGCCGAATGTTATTGTTTATTTCACAACACCGTTTTCCGGCATTCCCCATCTATTTTTAGGTTTGACGTATTAGTAGGGAAATATTTTTGATAAGTTGATCAATTATCTAGTCGATTAAAGTTTAAAAAAAAATATTATGTACGAGAATAAGATTGGGCGAATATATACATAATATTTGAAATTTCCGCTGATTTTGAACTTTAAAAACTTCTCATGAATTGATTTTTTTTTAAAAAAAAAACTATATTTTTATATAAAGTAATAAAACACAGGCGCGAATCCAGATTTTTTTCCCAGGGGAGGGCAGGGGAGACAGCAGAGACAAATAAACATATATCTCTGACCCCAGTCAAAAAATTTTCAACCCAAAAATTCCTTTACAAGGCGAAGCAAAAAAAAAAAAAAAACGAAACAAAACAAAACAAAAAACAGCCCCACCCCTCATTTCCCAAACGTGAACGAAAACGTGAAAGAGGGGAGTTGACTTTTAAAACTTCTAACCTGTGATTTTTCATGCATATTTCACATAGATCTTTGATAGATGTTTTCGAGGAGGGGCCCGCATTTTTTAAGGGGGGGCCAATTAAGGTCACTTAATTTAACTTAGTTTAGTATATACATTTAATATCTCAGCAAATTCCAGGCGAGTCCTGACCCCCCCTCCCCAACGTACCCCACCCCCTAGATCCACGCATGAAGCAAACAGAAATACCTTTTCAATTTTTGTTACTTCACTAATCAAAAATAAGCCATTATAAGCCTATATCATTTTAATGACGATCGAAGTCCATGGTTTGCCATGGAAAAACCTCAAATAAGACCAAAATATTGTAATGGGAAATATGTTCAATGACATTGTGTAAAAAAAAATCTGTTTAAAGTCAATTAAAAAAAATTATTGTCTAATAAAAAATTATTTTGTATCCATCGCAGGGGTTGTGGGTAAGAGATGGATACTCCATATACCACTGAAAGAATGGAAAACTCCGTATTTTGCTCTAAAAGCTTAATAACTTTCTGATCAAATAGGATCTATCTATGGGGCGCCGTTTTGGTGATATCACCTATTCGAATGGGTGATATTATATAAATATAGCCCTTTGATGAGGTGGATCCATAGATATATCGACTTCACAGAAAAGCATATCGACCTCGCACTTCGTGCTCGGTCGATATGCTTTTCTTGTGAAGTCGATATATCTATGGATGGACCGAATTAAAGGGCTACATTTGTTATATTATTTTTTTTACAGAGGTCGATAAAAAACAATTTGAAAAAATGGTAACAAATGTATTAATTCGATCCATCCATAGATATATCGACTTCACAGAAAAGCATATCGATCTCGCACTTCGTGCTCGGTCGATATGCTTTTCTGTGATCTATATCTATGGATCGACCTCATCAAAGGGCTATATTTATATGATAACAAATTATCAATTATAACAAATTACTAATTTGTTTAAACAAATTGATAATATGTTTTAACAAATTAATAATTTGCTATACCAAATTACTATTTTTGGACATTTGACATGTACACAGAACTATGGAATCTATATCAGATTAGAAATCTTTAAAATATTGAATTTGTGAAACAATAAGCACACTGTCTGCAAGGCTTTTGACCTAAATGTTTCTTCTAGCAGCTCAGAGTTTTCACTTCAAACATCAGTGTCATGATAAATTGCATCAAAGTCCTAGATTCTATTCCTTATAGCTTGTTCTTAGAAGCTTTAATGAAACTTTGTCCACACGTGCCCCCCCCCCCCCTTCCGACTCTGAACAGTCACATTACTCAATTTGTATGCTAGGAAAAATATTATCTTATTTGAGGCATGCAACAGAATGTTACAATATAAATTGTTTTTATTTGTGTTTTTGTTCATCTTAACCTCTCTCTTTCTCTCTCTCTCTCTGGATTCTTTCTTTACATGTGACATGATCTACTTTGAATACTGCTTTTCGACAGGCATTTATGTCTACTGTTCAACCCAATTCATTTATAAAGAATAAAATCTTTAAACCAAACCCAATTCCATATATGCAAAATCCTGGATCTGCGCCCGTGGTGAAACTCCATGGTTTCGTATAAAGCTGTGAGCAACAGAGGCAACATTGAACAAAATGAATTTGCAGGTAAATTATCAAGAAAAAAAAATACATTCCGTAACAACCTTCCCCAGAAAACGAACGAAAAAATAAAACCCACAATATTCTCGAGCGGGTAGCTCTTGGTGAAATTTAATATTAAATTCCTAATGTGTCATTCAATTCTTTTGTATGCATGAACTTTTTATAATAATAATAAAAAAAGATCCTCCTGAAAAAGCTCTCAATCGTCCCACTAAAGCCTTATTATTGGCCAAAAGCTTTGACAGTTGCAAATTATTTTCATAATTCCGACATATACTACAGTGTGAGATTTTTGATTTGATCTGGCTTTCGTAGATTGTATACATTTCAAATTCTGTCAAAAAAAGTAATTTGTTTTATCAAATTACTAATTTGATTTATTAAATTAATAATTTGTTTTAACAAATTAATAATTTGTTTTAACAAATTGATAATCTGTTTTAACAAATTAATAATTTGTTTTAACAAATTGATAATCTGTTATATCAATTTTTTTTGTTTTAACAAATTATTAATTTGTTTTAACAAATTATTAATTTGTTTTAACAAATTACTAATTTGTTTAAACGAATTACTAATTTGTTAAAACAAATTTAAAAAAGATACTGCTGCAGCCCTAATACGCTTCCGTAGATATCACCTATTCGAATAGGTGATATCACTTTTTGGCAGTAAATACCAAAACGGCGCCCCATATCTATCAGACTACATGTAGTTTTAAAATATTCTGTGACATTCTCCATGAGTGCAAGAAATGAATATGGTATGAGCAATGTTATAGTACGAAAAAAATGCGTAAAAGTGGACTAAACTACAAGGTCAGGAGGTCAATTTTGGTGATACTCTAAGAAAGGTCTTGACACAAGGAACACACCGGTGAAATATGAAATTCATAGCTTCATCTACTCAAAAGTCATGGACAAGTTTTAATAAGTTTTGCGGACAACAGATAAACAGACAGACGGGCGGACGGACAAGACAAAAACTCGATATCCCAATCTTCTATTAAGGGGGCATAAAAATAAAAAAAAAATTGAATTTCTTTTGAAATTGTAACTGTAGCCTTCTTTCAGTTTTTTTTTTTCAAAACACTTATAGTACACAAGAGGACTACACCAAGATACTAAGTACATAACGCCGTAATACTGTACATCGGGTATTAGCGCACCTCGATGAAGTTAAGGACGGGGCCTCAACATCAGTGTTAGAATTGGCGTCCAAAGCAAATATAAGTCCTCCTTCATTCATATACATTATGCTGTGTCATAAATGTATAGTTTCAAGGTGGAGTGGGTCTTTGCATCTTCTTTTTTGTGGTTGATTAGCAGTAAACTTTATATCATAAACACTTATGATGAGCAAGTATGCTCTTCCGCAAAGCCTCTGATTCATCATCTTCGCTAGTCAAGGGTGACGATCCGCTCCTCTCCTCTTTTCACCATGAGTAAAAATAGGAGAGGAGCGGATCGTCGCCATTGGTGAAAAGAGGAGAGGAGCGGATCGTCGCCCTTGGTGAAAAGAGGAGAGGAGCGGATCGTCACCCTTGGTGAAAAGAGGAGAGGAGCGGATCGTCACCCTTGGTGAAAAGAAGAGAGGAGCGGATCGTCACCCTTGGGTAGCGAAGATGATGATTCATGGGATTCTGGATGGGGCGAGGACATCGATGATATAATAATAAAAAAATACAAATGCATTTATGTTTGCGTCTAGGAGGCAAAAAGAGTTGTAAAGTTACCAGATTTGAAAAATTCTGGACCACTGGATCAAGCACAACTTACGTATAATCACCACATGTATATCATTTTTGTATAAATACCCTATAGATAGCTATTATGTAAATTAAAACAAATTTTGTTACTGGTCGCAGTGGGTGAAATCTATTCTGTTTCTATAAATAGATAATAAGTACTGACAGTAATGAGAAGCGTTGAGCTACATATACATGTACATTATGCTGTGTCATAAATGTGTGGTTTTAAGTTGGAGTGGGTCTTTGCATCTTCTTTTTTGTGGGTGATTAGCAGATAAACTTAATATCATAAACAATTATGATGAGCAAGTATGCTCTTCCGCAAAGTCTCTGATTCATGGGGTTCTGGATGGGGCGAGAGGACATCGATGAATGACGATGATATTAATAATGAAAAAAAATACAAATGCATTTATGTTTGCCTCTAGGAGGCAAAAAGAGCTGTATAGGTTACCAGATGTGTAAAATTCTGGACCACTGGATCAAGCACATGCAGGGACCGGTAACTTACGTATAATCTTAATATCATTTTTGTATGAATACCCCATATAGCTATTATGTACTTGTTACTCGTCCCAGTGGGTGAAGTCTATTCTGTTCCTAGAAATAGATAATCAATAAATTAATACGACGACTCTTTAAAAAAAAAAAAAGACTCGATTTAATTAAAATAAAAGGTGATTCAGAAAAAAACAACATTGGTCAAGCTATTAGAGACTTTCACCACCCCTCAGGCCCCAGGGGGGCAGGGATCATGAAAATAACAATTTTTGTTCCCCTTCACCCATAAATGCTTTGTGCCAAATGTGGTTGAAATTGGTTCAAAAAAAAAAAAAAATCCGCACCAAATGTATTGTAGACCTCGTCCGGATTGTCTTACGTGACATTCTATATCATAATAGATATTGGAATATCTTTACCATTCCATTGGAGCCACCCACCCATAAGTAGCCATCACTGTCCACAGCGACAGAGAAGGGCTGCTTTATAACACTATCTGATTTGGTTAGGTGACTAACGAACTGTCCCTGCTGGTCCAAAAGATGGATGCAATTGCCTTTATAGTCCGCAATGATCACGTTACCGTAGCGATCACACGTGATTCCACATGGCTCGCCTAGTTTTTTAGACTCTGTTCCTGTGTATTTGCGCTTAATTTTTCCATCGTACGATATAATATGAACACATCCATCTTTGTGATCCGAAACATAAATGTCGCCGTTAAGATTTTCTGCAATTCTTCTAGGGTACTTCATTTGGAAGTTCGCTCTCTCAAAATCAGCAATGACCTTGCTTCCCACTTTAGAATATTTTATGAGGACGTTTTTATCGGAAGGGCGATAGTCGTCATACGTGCTCGACTTGGTTAGACAGATGAGAAGATCCCCTGACTGTGATAACGCTATTCCTCTCGGAAAGTCATTCAAAAGCACCAAGTCGCGAATCCTAATGTCTTTATTTAGCAGTTTAATGCATTGATTCTTCCGACATGAAATATACACGTTGTCATGATCGTCGGAAGTGATGTAATCTATGTCTATGTCCTTTCCGACTTTAATCGTGCGTAAACGTATGCCGAGACGGCTAACGAGGTGGAGGCGTGGGTCGAATCCACAGACCACCCATGCTTTTCCTCCAGATATAGGTGCTATCCCGCGAATCAAATGCATTCCTGGAACTTTATAGTGTCCACATTCTGAGACGGCTATAGCTGTGGTGCCTTGTTTGGAGATCTTGCCAAACATTTCTGGTAGTATAGTTTCCTCTGTTTTTGGTTCCGTGAAGTTCAGTTCGAACTGAGGAATGAATCCCACAGGCAACATCTTCGAAGCTTCCTGCAGATGAAACTGTAAAGTTTCTTTGCTGACGACTATGTCTTGATTCGAGCCGAAGTCAATACAGTGTTTTGCTGCTGCTACGTGGGAAGTGACGAACGTTATCGCCTCTGACACTCTGTTCTTGAAAATGACTAATCTGTCCTCCTCTATTTGGATTTCTGAATTTATCTGAGTAATGAATTTTTCTTTGAGATGATCAATTTCTTTATGCAGTTGCTCAGCACGTGTCTCTACTAATGCGATTAAACCTTTTCTCACTTTCAAAAATGCATTTTCGTGTGTTTCAACATCTTTCAGTCTGTCTTTCAGCGAGGGCATGTAACTTTTCAAAAAACTAACCGATTCGGTCAATTCTTTCTTTACTTCATGAGCAAACTCTGATATGCTTCGTGTATTATGAAGTTTATGGGCTTCATCTCGACAAGTTGGACAAACTGGCAGTCTGCATTTGAAACAGAAGACGCTTATTTCCTGTTTATGTTCATCACAATAGGAATGTGACGTCATCTTCTGGCCGTGTTCGTCTGGTTTTTCTGAAACCAAATGGTGAGATTTCGACATTTTCATCTTTAAATGAATCATTCCACATCTGGCGCAAAAATTCTGTTTACATTCCAAGCAGTAGGTCTCTGCACGCGTTTCGTTGTCATCACACGTTTCACAAAGAGTCTCCGTCAGATGTTTAGTCGCCTGCAGAGCCGTGATGTAAATGTTGGGCTTAAAACCCTGGATTCCGTCCACAGGGACTGCGTGTCTGAATTTACACAGTGGACAAGCAAACTGACCAGAATCTTCAGTCTGGTCAATGTAGTCTTTCAGACACCTACTACAATAGGTATGGAAACAGGGAAGCATCCGAGGGTCAATGTAATCATCAAAACAAAGTCCGCACCACTCGAACTGACTGTCCTCCTTCAGTACGGTCCGAGGAGTTCTGACGGTTTCCTGTTCCTCAGAAATTTCTGTCATTTTTCTTTTCAAGGGACAAGAACTTTTTGTAGAAGTAATCGTCGAGAGAGAAACACTACTAAGACTGGAAGAAACTTCTTTCAATCGAACATACTCGCCGTTTACTGTGGGAAACATAATAATATTTCAGTATCACAGCATAACAACATTGATTTACAATTAAATTTTAGTCGATCTTTCTACTATCTATCCGATTTCATTCTGAAAATACGCATTGTTAAACACACATTGTTTCTTCGCCAGTAAAACCCAGTTTCTAAAAAATCTAAAGACATGGTCTTTTCACTTGAATTAAAGAAATCATTCTTGTAGAGAGTAGCATTGTGTAAAACTTGGTCGCTATCTAGTGCATTAAGCTTGTAATCTTGTCCACAATAGATCTGAAATTATTTTTGATTTTTTAAAACGTTCTTTTGTCCTAAGTATGCATACATAACTCTATTCTTCATTGATTTAAATGCCCAGTGAATCTTGTTTAATCGATGATGTCTTAATTGGCATATTCGTCATTCACTCAGTAGTAACCATAGTAGTACGATAGGAGAGTCTGCTTCAGCAGACTGTTAAGGAACGTGTACATGATGGACAGAAAGTACACGTGTACACGATAGACAGGAAGAAGTTCACATGTACATGATGGACAGGAAGAAGTATACGTGTACATGATGGATAGAAAGAAGTACACGTGTCCATGGTGGACAGAAAGATGTACACATGTACATGATGGACAGATAGAAGCACGTGTACATGATGGACAGAAAGAAGTACACGTGTACATGATGGACAGAGAGAAGTTCGCATGTATATGATGGACAGAGAGCTTCGAGAAGTTCACGTGTACATGATGGACAGAAAAAAAGTATACGTGTACATGATGGACAGAGAGAAATACACGTGTACATGATGGACAGAAAGAAGTACACATGTACATGATGGACAGAGAGAAATACACGTGTTCTGTACACATTTCAAGTCTCGCCACTCATCTTTTGTCCATTGTCCTCTGTATGTCCTGTTTCTTTCACCCGAAACCCTTTACTCCTCAGGGTTGGACTTCTTTTGGGTTTTTTTATGCGCCCGGATCGATAGATCTGCGGCGTATATTGTTTTTTCCTGTCTGTCTGTTTGTCTATTTATCTGTCTGTTGTCAACTTTAACCTTCGCCATAACTTTTGAACCATGAGAGATAGAGACTTCATATTTTGTATGCTTAGTCCACTAATTAAGCTCTTTCAATTGACACCAAGGGCAATGACCTTGTGACCTTGACTATGACCTATACATGTATGCTAAAATAGTTATTTTTAACTTTCGCCATAACTCTTGAACCATAGGAGATATAGAGACTTATGGTGTGCATACTCCATTATTTAAGATCTCTCAATGATCAAGGTCAATGACCTTAATTGTCCTTTATGCTAAAAAATAGCTTTTTGGAACTTTCTTGCCACCGGACGCATATAATGTTTTTACAAACACATCTTTTTCTTCAGAAATGACTTTTTAGACTTGTTTTAAATTTTTTTGCGGACAAACAGACAAAAAACAGACAGACGGACGGACACGACAAAAACTATATACACTCTAAACTTCGATTAGGGGGGGGGGCATACAAAAGGAAAATTATTGGATTTGGGTATAAATTTAAATTGTTTTTATTTTATTTCTTATGCATAATTTGCAATTCACACTAACTCATCAAAATATTAAAAAATAAAAAAATTAAATCTAACTGTATAGCACTTGTAACTTTTTTCTGAAATGTTGAAGTTGCGCACGGTGTTGGTGTCAGTTGAGTAACGTCAAAATGACGTTATTTTACGTGAAGTTCTAACTAGGCTAGTGTATAGGCTCCTGATCTCACTTTGATTGGGTGACCTCTTTTGGATCTATCACTGTGTGAATAAGATAGCCTAGTAACTTTAGACAAGGGATATTATCGACAGTCTGTTCCACCAATTTGTGTGAATACAGCTTGTAATGTACAACATCTAAAATGTCAGAAAATAAGAAAATCCCCTTGCCTGGAAAGCAAGAATTACCTACGAATCAATATATGTATGATTTAATTTCGGAAAATAACAACCTGCCATCTACCGGGAAAACACCCGCTTAAACGGAAGTAAACATGTGTCAGCCATGTTAATGATTCTGAACTTGAAAAATCATGAAAAATGTTCAAGAAAGAATACTAAGTAGGTCCTAACTGAAAAAAAATTATTCTGCAGCTTGAAAAAAAATGTTTTGAAATTGGAGTCTGACATTAATTTTTCTGCTTTAAAACGTCGGGGCATTTGAATGATTTGATGTGTTGCTTTGTTTTGATTGTTTGACAAAACACCGTCGGATCAACAATTTGTTTCAGAATTGTAAGAGAACAATTTAACTGACTACATGGTTAAAATGAGCATTTCGTCAGTACCGTCTGCAGGGTCTAGTGCTCGAAGTACCCCTGTACCGACGCAGAATTCACCGGGGCCAGGACCATACAAACCGATTACTCCCAGCCAATATGGAGCATCAATCGGTAAACAGAGTGACGAGGAACTCCGAAGAAAGGGGGTAGATGATCTCCTACGCATGGTGCGACGTCTTGAGTCGGAAAACAGGTCAATCATTGCTGAACACAGTGGTATCATCAAGGACGTAAATCGACGTATTCAGGTTTACAATCTAGAAATGAGGGGTCTGAAGGATATTAACCAAAAATTACAGGACGACAATCAAGAACTGAGAGACTTGTGTTGCTTTCTGGATGATGACAGGCAAAGAAGCCGGAAGCTGGCACGTGAGTGGCAGCGCTTCGGTCGATACACTGCGTCAGTCATGAGAAGTGAGGTGTCCGCATACCAAGAAAAACTCAAAGCTCTGGAAAGCAAGCAGGATGAACTTATCTCAGAAAACTTGGAACTTAAAGAGCTCTGTTTGTATCTTGATCAGGAGCGTGTCCATTTTACCCAAACAAGAGATGATGGGGATGGTAGCAGTAATAGTACAACAGCTGGGAATGAAGAAAGTGTACAGTCACCTCAGATTCCTGATGTAGCTGTGACCAATGAATTGAACAGAAGAGGTTCATTTAATTATGATATAATTATATATCAAAATTCCTAATATTAAAAGTAATTAAAGATTCTGAAGACAATAATGCTTGTGGTCACATTTTACATGATAGCATTTAACTAAAAGATCCACAAAAACTGTACATACTGTATTAAATTCTCTCCATTTCAATCAATCGATGAATCATCTAACAGTTCTCAGGCTAAAACCTTATGATAATTCATTTTCCCATTTTACAGATTCAGGTCAAGGTTACATACAGCAGTTAGAGACACAAGTTAAACAGCTGGAAAAAGAGAAATCAGATTTACAGGTACAAACCAGTTTTGCATGATTATAATCATTGTAATTTTTAGCTCACCTCAACGAAGTTGGGGGGAGCTTATGTGATACCCTCGGCGTCGGCGTCGGTGTCGGCGTCGGCGTCCCAGGTTAAGGTTAAGTTTTTTGGAGCAGTTTTCTTTTTAATTACTTCTGAGTCCTATATTGATTAGACATGCATGGAATATGGTTCTAGTGTGTTTCATTGTACCAGACAGAGTTTCAGATGCTGCAATTTCAGCAAAGGAATGACCAGGTTAATGTTTTTGGAGCAGGTTAACATTTTTGGTGCAGTTTTTGGTGTAGGTTTCATTTCCAAGTAACTATAAGCCCTATGTTGACCAAACTTGCATGGATGATACATCTAAGGATGCATACTACCGGGCTTGCTTCGGATGCTGAATCTGACCTACATTTTCCGGTTGAGTGAACAGGTTAAAGTTTTTGGTGCAGGTTTCATTTCCAAGTAACTATAAGCCCTATGTTGACCAAACTTGCATGGATGATACATCTAAGGATGCATACTACCGGGCTTGCTTCGGATGCTGAATCTGACCTACATTTTCCGGTTGAGTGAACAGGTTAAAGTTTTTGGTGCAGGTTTCATTTCCAAGTAACTATAAGCCCTATGTTGACCAAACTTGCATGGATGATACATCTAAGGATGCATACTACCGGGCTTGCTTCGGATGCTGAATCTGACCTACATTTTCCGGTTGAGTGAACAGGTAAAAGTTTTGGTGCAGGTTTCATTTCCAAGTAACTATAAGCCCTATGTTGACCAAACTTGCATGGATGATACATCTAAGGATGCATACTACCTGGCTTGCTACGGATGCTGAATCTGACCTACATTTTCCAGTTGAGCTAACAGGTTAATGTTTTTGGTGCAGGTTTCATTTGCAAGTAACTTTAAGCCCTATGTTGACCAAACTTGCATGGATGATACATCTAAGGATGCACACTACCAGGCTTGCTTCGGATGCTGAATCTGACCTGCATTTTCCGGTTGAGTGAATAGGTAAAAGTTTTTGGTGCAGGTTTCATTTCCAAGGAAGTATGAGTTCTTTAATGACCAATCTTGCATAGATGATACATCTAAGGATGCATACTACCAGGCTTGCTTCGGATGCTGAATTTGACCTACTTTTTGTGGATGAGTGAAAATGTTAGTTTTTGATGCATGTTTCATTTCCAATAAACTATGAGCCCTATAATGAGTAAACTTGCATGGATGATACATCTAAGGATGCACACTAATGGACTTGCTTCGGATGCTGAATTCGACATACATTTTTCAGATAATAGACAAGGTAAAAGTTATGGTTGCAGGTCTATTTCCAAAAACTATAAGGCTTATATAACATTGTATAAACCAAACTTGCACAAATGCTGCATCAAGAGATGAAAACTCTCAAATTTGCTTCAGATGCTGGATTTTCATTATATTTTCATGAAGAAGAACTAGTTTAAATTTTTTATGTAGGTCTATTTCAAAGTATCAGATCAAAATTGCATAAATTTTTCATTTTTGGAATGTATACTTTTTGTTGGTTAATTGTGTGACTTTGCCTTACTTAAAGACAACATTCGTTGAGGTGAGCTCTGTAATCTCTGATTACCTATGTTTATATATGTGGAAGTTGTACGTAGAATTATGAAGGGGAAAAATTCTGCTGATCAATATAAAAGTGAGTGATGTAACCCAAGGACCTCCTGTTTATAATATAAAGTATATTAACTATTTCTTATTCTTTAAAATGAAAGTGATGATTTTTATTTGATTTTATTAAATGAAATGTTAATTATTCTAGAAGTCAGCACAAAGATTTCCAAGTTCATCCAATGATAAACAGTCCCCGAGTCCACCCTCTCACCCACAACTCCGAGGTTCTCCTGTCAAACCAGTGGTAAGATGAACATATCCTGTTATAAAACAAAGAAGAAACCAAATGTTCCAAGTTAATTTTAGCAATACATGTACTAAGAAAATGATAATCTAGTGATTACTCTGTGAGGAATTGAAGATTTGGTATTGAAATTAGTGGAAGTTAATCAATTTATGTATAAAAAAATCTATATTAGTTGTATAGAAACATTACAGGAATGAAAATCAGATACCACACAAACATTGAATGAAATTTTGAGGAAATCATTAAATGTTTGACTCTCCACATACATGATGTATCTTAAGTATCAGAATATACCATCTATTTTTACAGCATTGAATTTTTCTTTTTAAAATCTATGGAGATATTTGAATGGTTCAAGCTCTTCAGTTTTCTCAGAACTGTGTTTAATATTTTGATAGCAGAGCCTTTTCCCCACTGAACAAAGAGGTACCCCAGTGGGTAAAAATGGAGGGGATCATCACTCCTCTACCCCCAGCACCCCCAGCACTGTGGCAGAGACCCCCTCCAAACCAGAGGCTGTTGTGCATGCTATGAAGGTAAAATTCATTTGTATGTTAAAAAGAAATGATGTGACAAAATTTTACCTGAAAAGGATAAAATTTCAATTTGGACCTTTTTTATCAATGATTATACAATGAACTAAGGGTTTATTTACTGATGTACTTGATTTTTAGGTGTTGGAAGTCCATGAACAGTTAGAACGCCCTAAGACTGAGGTTGGTGGGGAAAATCTAGATGACAAAGAAAAGGCCATTGTCAGAGAAATGTGCAATGTAAGTTCAGCAGTAGACGTATGCATAAAGTGTAATATGCACTTGATTGTCAAATTACTCAGATGCCTTACATTTCTTAGCATATATTTCACATCTTGCATTGTATATTTCTGAAAATTTTACCTACATTTTGCAAAGCATTGTATATTTCTGAAAATTTACCTTTTGCAAACCGTCAATACTTTAATTGTTAACAACTTTGAATTGTCTGTTGGTCTTCTAGTCTATATTAATGTTACAATGTTAAAATATGGATTATTGATTTTTACAGGCAATCAGCATATTCAGTTTCTATACATTTATAAATAGGCTTTTGTATATTAATGTATTTAAAATAGCATTATGCCATGATTATAGAACTATTATTTACATTTTCTTACAGGTTGTATGGAGGAAACTAGGGGACACTGGATCTGAAAGAAGAACCCCACACCCTGTCTATGAGAATATTCCACCACCCCCACCACCATTACCCCCTCCCCATAGGCAGCCAACACACACTCAAATGGGTGAAACAAGAAAGCCACCATTATCATCTAATGCTCCCAAGGACTATCAACAGAATAATTCCCAGAGTTACCTCCCTTCTCAAACATCACCACAGTACAATGCACCATCAGATCCCTTTGGCCATTCTTCTCAGCCCTCTACCCCAGGGGGCCCCATTCTTCAATGCAATACTACAGTCCCACATCCAGGATCTTCCCATACAGTGCATTCTCACAACTTACCCCACTACCAGCAATATAGATCCCCACCTCCCCAGTACCCTAACGAGAGACCCCCTACTTCCGTGTCCTCCTACGATAGTGACCATAGCTCCTATCATTCAAAGTCTTATGACAGGCCACACCTACCCTCTAATTTCTACAATGATAGACAGGGGAACAAAAGCCAGCATGACCAATCACATGCTCAGTATCAGCATAGGGCAAGTTCACATTCAGACCTGGTACCACCCCCTTCTCCCAGACAGCCCTACAAGAAAAATTACTCCAACTCAGATGTCAGAGGGAGAGATCACAGAAGGGGGCAGATTCCAGCACAGGAGGCATATAATTATAACCAAGAACTGAAGGATAGAGGAAGACCTAGAGAGAGCAGTGCTTCACGGGAGGTGCGGGAAGGTAGCTATTCAAGAGAGCAAAGTGCCTCAGAAAAAGGTGATCCTAGGTTAAAGAGGGATTCCCGTACTCCAGATCCTTGGGATTTCAGAAATCCTAGACATGAGGCCATTTCTAAAACCAGTAAAGGGTCCTATCACTGATAAGTAATTTTACTTTATGTTTCTGGGGACATAATCCTTGGATTTGCAATTTATTTATTGCATGTATACAAATTTACACGTATTTTTTCTCTCAATTAATTTGTAGATTTATTGTTATTGAACAAATATTTTGAATATTAGAATTTGACATTACAGCATTTATGGTGTGACGTGCCATGACAAGCATTTACATGTTGGAACAACCATTCCTTTGCAATCTCAATTAAAAAAAGAGTTATTCAGTGCAAGTGTTAGGTAAAAATGAGAACTCAAGATTTTGATGTTTTTTCACTTTATATACAATGTTTTTGATCTCTTTCATTTAAAGGCATCTGTATACAATTGTGCCATTAATTTGAGGTTGTAATGTTTTGAAATATAACTTGAATTTAATTCAGATTCATAGCTTGTTAATTTTTTTTTCTCCTCATCATGCTTCAACCTAGATTTTGCAAATATGTACTAAAATAGGGCAAAGATTTAGCACTGAACACTTAAGAATATTATTTACTTTTGCATTTATAAAAATATATATTTTTTGTATGTTTTGTGGTTTCTCTGTGATGAACAAGAGAAAAAGATATTAATTTTTTTTTAGATATAGATCACAATTTGAACAAAATACTATTCAATATAGGGCATGGCTTTTAGATAGTTTTTCATGCACTTGTACAGGTAAATGTAGTAGTTTAATATTTTCTCCATTTTGTTAGATACAGATTATAGTTACCTATGTTTACAAATGCATTTTTCAGCAAAGCTGAATTGAATTAAATCGTACATGTAAATATATACAACAATATTATAAATACATGTATACCATTATATTATAGAAAAGTTGTTTTTGTTTTTTACATATTTATCTGTTGTATATTTGTAGATTTTGCACTTAAATTTGTATCTACATATTATAAATGTGATGATCTCTGCTATGTTTTAATTTTGAGGTATAAAGATTGAAGTTCACAATGAAAAGATGATAAAGAAGCTGAAGCTTGGTGTTAAGAAAATCCCCCTCCTCCTATATAAAATAAACATTGAAATTGTAATTAATTTTTATGCCCCTGCCATGAAATGCCAAGGGCATTTAGTGTTTTAAACTTTAAGACCAGCATGAGCATTCATGCTATCCCAAAACATCTTCATATTCATTTTTAGAAATTGTTTGAATGTTAATGGGAAGTCTAGTATTTTGCTTCCAAGCCTTTGTTAACTTATACAATAAATATTATAATTAATTAATGACATTGAAAGGTTGTCACAGATAAATATGGTTTTATATTTTGTTATTTTTTGAACATCTTAATATGGCTTCTTCTTTTTTTTGGCTTTATACATGTAGATTGCAGGTTATCTGACTCCTGGCAGTTTTGGAATTTAAACCACTTTTTCTTTTTAGTTTTAAACACAATTAAGCCTTATTTTTGAAGAATTCACAAGCTTTGAGAACTGATTCTGACAAGTAAAATATATAAGTGGTTGTATTATTTCTTTTGTTTTGAGAACTGCATACTTTTATGCATTAGTATGTCTCAAGGGTATACTTCACTGCATTTGTTGTATATATATATATGTATGTGCTCAAATGTATAAATGTATTGAAGGGCAAGAATCTCTGCACTGTGTTAATGAAGTTTGGCCAGTATCTATATGAAAAATTGTAAAAAATAAATTGAAATGGTTTGTAGACTGGTATTGAAAGAAACCTTCAATTTTGTACAGTATAAGCGAAAGGGAGAGAAAAGAAATACAATTTTTGGTAAAGTTTAAATTTGTTAGTGGATAATTTTGTGAAGTGTTGCTATGAATTGATTACAACAGGATTTGCAAACACTGATGAACTATTTAGCTTTGTAATTTGTTTATGTATTAATCAATATCATGAAGACAACTGTATGCAGAATTAAGATTTGCAATACTGTGAATACATATTTATTGTTTTTTAACCAAAGGAGAGTAGCTTTTGGAATTTGTTATAAATGGAATGAAATTTGAATGATTTTATTTTGATAACGTTTTTTTTTTCTATACTATAGTGAAATATGTTTAATGTTTTCATTGATTCTATATCTACTATGCATATACAAAGAGTGAATTTCTTATATGTAGAAAAGGTGCTCATTACAAATAAGTATACACATTTGTCATGTTTGATAGAGAATAAAAATTTGTTGCAGCATAGCAAACTGTTCAGCTAGATGTTTATTTCAAACCAGACACTAAGAAGAAAAAAGCAAAAGGTACACTCAAGTAAAACCTATGGTAATTTTGACATTGCAGTATTATTTTTTGACTTGCGCTAGGCTAAGAAACAAACTAAAGGTACTGTGGGTAATTAACTCACCAAATGATATTCCCGTCTCCCATATGGTTATAATGGGAAAGTCCATGTTTTGCTCTAGGAGACTCAAAAAATAATTGTCAGATTAATAAGTAAAATAGCATGTCACAATGGCATTAGGTAATAAAGAATCTTGAGAGTATCGTTAAATTTTATTCAGTCATATCTAAATGGAGGAGTTGAGGATAAGAGATGGGTACCCTTCAAAATTATAGAAAGAATGGCTGTGTCCATGTTTTGCTCTGGGAACCCCAAAATATGTATCAGATCAAAAAGTAAAATAGGAGGTGCACAAAAGTACTATGTAACAAAGATTCTGTGAGTCTCATTAAATTTCAATCGATGGTAAAAGAGGAGTGGCTGGTAAGATATGGGTACCTTAAAGGGTAACAGATGGACATACAGGTGCATGGACATCCCGATCATATATACCATCCCACTTTTCAAGTGAGGGGGGGGGGGGTGTATAAAAAACAGGAATAAATTTAAATTGAGTTTTAAGTGAATAGATGTGAATGGACAATGCGAGAGGTTCATGAAACCCCAACTCATACATGCTCTTCATCACAATATCAGCTCTGTTTTTCAGTACTTGTATTCCCTGTGGTCAATTATGGTCAAAAGGGCAAACTACAAGTATATTCAATGCATCTGGCCAAAGGTTGTCCAGCACTAAAAGCACCATTGCAAACAGATGTGCAATATGTGACGACATTTCAGGACACTCAAAACATTCTACATACATTTACCTACTACCTTTTAGCTCACCTGAGCCAAAGACTGGTCACATTTTGTCAGGTCAGTCTCTAATCTTCTACTGGAACCACTTAGCCATTTTCAACCAAACATCCCACAAAGTATCCATGAATAATGGTGACTTGAGTTTATTCAAATAAAAGGCCACACTTTTTTTGCAAGAGGAGTTTATAATATATTATTAAAAAGTTATAAGCATCTTTTAAAATCTTAAGAAACACTGTGTGTGAAACATAAAAAGTACATTAATTCAGATAGAACTATATTCTCTGTTAGTGCAGATCCAGGCCTAAGTCTGTTCAAATCATGACCCTGAGGACAAGGAGGGGCCACAATGTACCATCATTTTTGTACAGGAATACATAGGGAAACAGTTTTAAAATCTCTGTAACAGGTCCATTAAGAAAAATACATTGTGAGACCTCACTTGGCACGCGAGCCTTAAAAACTGAAAAATTAATACATGTACATGCTTTTCATAACGTGCGTCACGCATGCAGTTTTGCATATACAATAGTGCAGTATAGTGAGACTCCATCATTCAAGAATTCAATTCCTCATTAAGAACACGAACTATTCATTCCACATAGGCAGTCTGGGGATTAAAAAAAGGTAATGGAAATTTGTCATTTTGCATGCTATTCCACAAAATCTAAACAAGCTTGAAACTCAACTATGCTTATTTCTATTTCCAAGAATCTTAGTTCATTTTGACGCGATTCAGAAAAATTTTTATGAATATCATTTTTTATTTTTATGTCCTCTTTATAACAATTACGAGGAGAATATTATACACTTTTTAACAATACATGTACACATATATCTTGTTAAAATATTAATCCAAATGTTAAATCAACAAGAAGTAGTTATAACTTCATGCGTGCTGCATTTAATTGACATTAATATACTTTATAAATTCAAACGTAGGTAGATTAATTTCCAGACCTCAAAATTCCATAAATCCCCACTTTGATGATGGAATCAATATCCTGTCTGTCATGCAGGAAAAACCACGGAATTTCCAGTTGTAATTATAAGCAACCAAACTGTTATTTAATATGCTTTCAAGATCCAGCCATACAGAACTCTGCTCAAAGAAACAATTTAATTTCTTCTATCAAATTTTGTCGGAAAAAAATTGAAGTTATGCTTTGTAATTTTTGTACATTTTTAGGTGTAAAAAAATTTTTTACACCTTCAAAAAAAAACATGACAAGCAAAAAGAAAAAAAAAGTAAAGTGCCCATTTCCCAAAAATATATAATCCTATTTGTCATTGAAGTAAAGGTACTTAAACAAGTTTCCTCGCAAAAAATCAATACCAAATTTTTTTTCCAAACACCACCACTTTTCCCCATTAATAACCTATACTGCGACGTGTCTGTGGTAAGTGTGTGTGTGTGAGGGTGTGTGTGTGTGTGTGTGGGCTAAACCTACAAAGCATATATTCAATGTCTATAGTAAGTATATATTTGGAAAAAAAGTGGGGGGGGGGGGGGGGTAGGTAAGGTACCTTGCGTATGTCCTTAATATGCTTGATCCAGCCATTTTGAGCTCTGCTCAAAGAAACAATTTAATTTCATCTATTATCCATTAGATTTATTAATTCGAACTGATAATAATTTGGTTTAGAAATAGCAGTGTGGAGGAAGCAGTTCGTCTGTGATGCAAACTCACTTAAAAATACTACTGCTGCAATTTTTTAAAGTACTCATTCAAATTTGTATATGTGGCCTTGAACTTGTCAAAAAGACCTTTAATAATCAAAATTACGCATCCTCTGGCCATATATTAATCTTTTAGTGAAATATAGACATCAATAATTTATTGGCCTGGCATGAATTTTACACCTTACACCTTTATACTAGTTACCTTGAGTTATCTGATTAACCCTTGACTATTGGGTCAAGGTCACAATAGAGCCTGAATGTCATGATAGAGCCTCAAGTCAAAACCATGTTTCTTCCCGGGAGAAAACACATTTTAACCACAGTACCGTAGAATTCATTCATTATAAATTCCATCCTATTTGACAAATATGGCGGTAAAAAAATGCCACAATAATAAAGTAAACATCGTTAAAATCACTCTGATTCTACAAACAAAGCTGATGTCGATATAAAAAAATGCTATCGTTTCTAACTGACAACATTTATGTAGTCTTCAG